CAAATTACATTACACATTTTTTTTATCGGTCCATATCCACTTGGTCAATGCTGAGGTCGAGATTTACCAAAATATCTCAAAACTTGTCTTTTTGACAAATGTAAAGGTATAGATGAAGACAGTGTAGTTTACGAGAGAGGTATTAAAAAACAATAACGTTGAATTGGAAAGCTGTCCGTGTTCATGTCTACACATTCGTTATTAAGGGTTATCAGCTGCAGAAAGCGACAGCCGTATAGAAACCTTGAAAGATATTATCTAACCTTTTTATATTGAATTCACACTCAAATAGGGTTCGTTTCCATGTTGGACCGGGTAAATCTCACGTACTACATTCCGAGATGACCTAAAAAAAAAACTTGAAGCAGCTATCATTGTCTCTCAGTGAATGTACTACTGATAAGAGGGATATTTTATGGTAGGTCCTTACGGATTATCCTGGATCACACAAACACTGTAAAACACTACCATTAAAACATATGGGTGGGCGTTATTTGAGAGAAATATATTGCAAAATAACCGACCAAAACAAAGACCACTGACTGAGCTAAAATAATAGAACAAAGGCCAAGCTATGTTATTGCAATGAAACAATCTTAAGAACAATAAAAGCGATCAGAACACAGATGTCAAAGGTCATCACCACCATGAACTGGGTCATATCCCAATTTCGGTCACTATAGAAATGCAATCATGTCAGTGTCATCACCATGGGAACATATTAGTTCTACCTCATATTTTGAAATATATTAACACGGAAAGATAATATAGGCGACAGTAAAAAATGAATTAAGTTCCAATAGATATTAAAAAAGTCAGTTATCAGGTTCGTTATAAATATTCCACAGAATTATGAATCGCCTGGCAAGAAGATAAAAAACACGAAAATTTTTTTTTTGCAAAAGTTCCTTAAAATATATTGGAGGCAATTGTTTATTTAAACAAAAATAACAAGAAAATATCGGGATTTAGCTTAAAAAAATCATCAAATCAAAATTGAGGAAACGAGGTCAAAATATGGACTAAAATTGCTTACAAGAAGATGATTAAAGTACTATGAGGATAAAGCCATGCGTTCCGGAAAGCTTTGTGATTATTCACTCCAAATCAGCACTGTCGAGTTCTCAAATGTAAACAGTGTTTATATCAACGGAATCACCAGTTAAACGAAAGAGTTATGGAGCTGACAATGATCATGTATAATGCAAGAAAACTATAGGGTAGGGACAGACATACATACAATGCTCCCTCGAAATGGAAACGAGCTTTCAGGATAATTATCCAATATTTTCCCTCTTGTGGTGTCGTGAAAAAGAATTCCAGCTGGGGCAATGATATATGTTTACAACTTAATTATTTTCCAGCTGTTGTTAAGAATGAATTACGATACCTGCCAGAAAAAGTTAAGTTTCCTGTAGAGATGATTCTGGTACTTTTAAATTTTGACACTTAACTTGTTGGTTTTCAGAAATGGTTATGTCCTACAGAACGAGAGAAATATTGTACAAAAGACACGTAAAAACACCTTTCAATACAATTTAGGAATTACATGTCTGAATATAAAGTAGAGTTAAATAATGAATGAAACAGCATCATACACCTGTTTCGTCCTTCTAGGACTCGTCAGTAATGCTACATCATACACATGTTTCGTCCTGCTAGGACTCGTCAGTAATGCTACATCATACACATGTTTCATCCTGCTAGGACTCGTCAGTAATGCTACATCATACAACTGTTTCGTCCTTCTAGGACTCGTCAGTATTGCTACATCATACAACTGTTTCGTCCTTCTAGGACTCGTCAGTATTGCTACATCATACAACTGTTTCGTCCTTCTAGGACTCGTCAGTATTGCTACATCATACAGCTGTTTCGTCCTTCTAGGACTCGTCAATGATGCTACATCATACAACTGTTTCGTCCTTCTAGGACTCGTCAGTAATGCTACATCATACACTTGTTTCGTCATTCTAAGACTCGTCAGTGATGCTACATCATACATCTGTTTCGTCCTTCTAGGATTCGTCAGAGATGCCATAGGACTAAATTTTGAAGCCTAAAAGGCGAATGACGAAGCTCCAAATGGCGGGAAATCAATGTCAATGAGTAGTTTGAGAGGTTAACTGGCTCCGACATTCAATACGGTTCTTAAATTTCATCATTTAACTGCTACAACACAAGGTAAAATGCGTGTGTTTATTCTGAACCGTGCCATGCATGATGTGGCAATATTAGGCGACTAAAAGTCCACCAGCAGTGTCTGAAGGAAAGTCAATCAAATCTAACTATTGACGAATGCTGTTCGTTGGTTCGGACTGATTGTCCGGTGGTCTGTATAATGTGTCATGTTGCTATTTATTATATTTCATCGTAATAACATTATAAAAGTCAGAGAGCACAGCCGTCATGTAATCTCATTTATTACAATGATTTGGAACCCCAAACCTCTGTAGAAGAATGGTCAGTCTTTCTGTGTATGTTTACATTCCTTTTGTTTCTGTGGCTTCATTACATCTACAACTTGAATAGTTAGTGACTAAGTATAATTCTATAATTTTGTTTCAATGTTTATTCTTGCAAAGTTGATAACTATTTACAATTACCCGTACTACGACACGGTCAATGGAGATACTGCTCTGTTATTTTCACCGGACGATTGGCTGGGTAACGTCAGATGTCTTTCCATGGTACCTATATTTCTCATATACCGAGAAACAAATATGATTCCTACTTCCAGGTTATGTAAATTCATAAACGACTCGTTCTAAATACATAATTAGCCTACTTTGCCACCAACATTGATATTACGTCATTGTGCCATTTATATGAGTGTACCTCTAAACTTATAATGAAACAACCTCGACGTTGAACATTGATTTATTGATACAATGTGTCTTCTGTCTCGTCAAAGTAGGTTATGGCGGAAATGAAGAGTTATAAATGAACCAAAGACGTGTGCCTGTGATTTCCGCCAGATATTGGTCGGCGCCGGAAGTAGTTATGGGTAATTATGATATTCGGTCAAACACTTGTGAATAATTTGTAACCCTCAGCATTGATTTGTCAGATCTTCGTAAAGTCATTTCCGGTCTCATACTACAGCACCAACAGCTAATGGAATTATAATTGAGAGTGACTTTCACAATTTGAAATAAAGAACAGCTTCCGGTTTGTATTTGGTCTCTTGAGCATGCGTGAGCATTTGCAAGGCTCTTAGTCATCATTGATTTCACCTGAATATTTCACAAATACGTTACGTTTGAACTCTCGCTGCCAGATTGACGGCAGAATCAATATACCAAATAGATTTGCTTGTTTGTTATGTAACGTTTCAAATGGTAATATATAGCGACAGATACAAATTTAAACAGGCACCGGAAACACAAAATTAATGTCACATTATAAAATGCTATTGGTTCTTGTGTCAAAATGATTTTTTTTCTCTTTTTACCTTGATAAAATGTCAAAACGACTTAATTCCTCACCTGCCAATGCTCTTATTATTTGTAATGATAAAACACCATTAAACTACAAAATTTCCGATCTCAGAAATAAGCATTTTCTCAAAATAAGACTGTAGTTTCTTATTAAATAAACCTGCTTTTCAATTAAAGGAAATTGAAATTCGTGTCCATTACTTTAAAAAAGTATACCTCTCTACAGCGACTCTTAACGAAATATAAAACCGTTTATAGAAACCTGATAGGATTTTGTAAAAAAAAATGTCTAGTTCCCATAAATAGTAACTCTTGTTGAATGGGTTCATTGACTTTAAGATGACATACTAATATTTACAGGGTTTGCAACGTCATCATTAGCCTGGCTCTTCCCGGCACAATTGTACACCAGAGAGATTATTTCAGTATCAGGACCGAATTCCCCTCCTCCACTCTTGTCTTACTTCTATCGTTATTCTATTTCTGTTATCTAATTAACTCGACATTTCTCGAAGATTGTGAATGTCTTTAACTTTAACTGAGATATATGGGCGATCAGATAAATACCACAGGGCGGAAGCAATTCTCGAAAAATGTAACTAATTGAACTTCCGGTCACCTTGTCGCAACCGGAAATTAAGGTATGTGTGGGATGTAGATGAATACCTATTAATTGAGATCTGTTTAGTGCTTCCTCTGTGGCATAAATATCGGATTTTTGTATCTCCGCGATGAAGTATGATGTTTTATCGTAAATTGTTCAACGCCCACGGTATTCCGTGTATGGGAAAATTGCTTACGTTTTTTGGAGGATTCCATTTTAAGCTTAGTACCGTCCTTGTTCTTAATTTTAATTAAGTCATTACCGGGCTTTATCGATTAAAGACAGTGTCCTTTTTCCAATAAATGATATATTCTTGAGTCATGAACTTTTTCAGTCATGCAAATCTTTTTCAACCTCGAAATCATGCAGAAATTAAACGTATTTATATCATTATTAATTACCTACATCCCAGCATAGACACTTGTATCGAGCTACTGTGGGGGACCATCAGGTCTGTAATCACTGATGATGTCGTATAGAGGGGGACACTGTGAGGAACATCAGGTCTGAAATCACTGGTGATGTCGTATATAGGGGGACACTGTGGAGAATCATAAGGTCTGAAATCACAGGTGATGTCGTATAGAGGGGGACACTGTGGGGGAAATACCAGGTCTGAAATATCTGGTGATGTCGTATATAGGGGGACACCGTGGGGGAAACACCAGGTCTGAAATCTCTGGTGATGTTGTATATAGGGGGACACTGTGAGGAACATCAGGTCTGAAATCACTGGTGATGTCGAATAGAGGGGGACACTGTGGGGGACATCAGGTCTGAAATCACTAGTGATGTCGTATAGAGGGGGACACTGTAAAGGGGGACACTGTGAGGAACATCAGGTCTGAAATATCTGGTGATGTCGAATAGAGGGGGACACTGTGAGGAACATCAGGTCTGAAATATCTGGTGATGTCGAATAGAGGGGGACACTGTGGGGGACATCAGGTCTGAAATCACTGGTGATGTATATAGGGGGACACTGTGGGGGACATCAGGTCTGAAATCACTGGTGATGTCGTATACAGGGGGATACTGTGGGGGAACACCAGGTCGGAAATATCTGGTGATGTCGTATATAGGGGGACACTGTGGGGGACATCAGGTCTGAAATCACTGGTGATGTCGTATATAGGGGGACACTGGGGGGGACCATCAGGTCTGAAATCACTGGTGATGTCGTATATAGGGGGACACTGTGGGTTAACATCAGGTCTGAAATCACAGGTGATGTCGTATATAGGGGGACTCTGTGGGGGAACACCAGGTCGGAAATCACTGGTGATGTCGTATATAGGGGGACACTGTGGGGGAATATCAGGTCTGAAATCATTGATGATATGGTATATAGGGGGAAACTTTTGGGGAATATCAGGTCTGAAATCACTGGTGATGTCGTATATAGGGGGACACTGTGGGGGAACACCAAGTCTGAAATCATTGATGATATGGTATATAGGGGGACACTATTGGGGAATATCAGGTCTGAAATCACAGGTGATGTCGTATATAGGGGGACACTGTGGGTTAACATCAGGTCTGAAATCACTGGTGATGTATATAGGGGGACACTGTGGGGGACATCAGGTCTGAAATCACTGGTGATGTCGTATAGAGGGGGACACTGTGAGGAACATCAGGTCTGAAATCACTGGTGATGTCGAATAGAGGGGGACACTGTGGGGGACATCAGGTCTGAAATCACTGGTGATGTATATAGGGGGACACTGTGGGGAAACATCAGGTCTGAAATCACTGGTGATGTCGTGTAGAGGGGGACACTGTGGGGGACATCAGGTCTGAAATCACTGGTGATGTCGTATATAGGGGGACACTGTGGGGGACCATCAGGTCTGAAATCACTGGTGATGTCGTATATAGGGGGACACTGTGGGGGACCATCAGGTCTGAAATCACTGGTGATGTCGTATATAGGGGGACACTGTGGGTTAACATCAGGTCTGAAATAACAGGTGATGTCGTATATAGGGGGACACTGTGGGGAAACATCAGGTCTGAAATCACTTGCGTTGTTGTATATAGGGGGACACTGTGAGGAACATCAGGTCTGAAATCACTTGTGATGTCGTATATAGGGGGACACTTTTGGGGAATATCAGGTCTGAAATCACTGGTGATGTCGTATATAGGGGGACACTGTGGGGGAATATCAGGTCTGAAATCACAGGTGATGTCGTATATAGGGGGACACTGTGGGGGAACACCAGGTCTGAAATCACTGGTGATGTATATAGGGGGACACTGTGGGGGAATATCAGGTCTGAAATCACAGGTGATGTCGTATATAGGGGGACACTGTGTGGGAACACCAGGTCTGAAATCACTGGTGATGTCGTATATAGGGGGACACTGTGGGGAAACATCAGGTCTGAAATCACTTGTATTGTTGTATATAGGGGGACACTGTGGGGAAACATCAGGTCTGAAATCACTGATGATATGGTATATAGGGGGACACTGTGGGGGACCATCAGGTCTGAAATCACTGATGATGTCGTATATAGGGGGACACTGTGAGGGACCATCAGGTCTGAAATCACTGATGATATGGTATATAGGGGGACACTGTTGGGGAATATCAAGTCTGAAATCTCTGGTGATGTCGTATATATGGGGAACACTGTGTGGAAACATCAGTTATGTAACCACTCGTGGTGCTGTATATACCGGAACAGTGTCGGGAACTAGCAACACAGTGAACGTCGTCACGGTTAGGTTTTGGTATAAGTCAATGAAACAGAAGCATATAATTAAGACCCTGATATTTCTTTAGCCATAAATGAAAAATATCCCTTTGAACTATAACACCAGACATATAATTGATCTGTAATGGGCCGCGTAGGAAGAGTCTTTATTGCGTCTGGTCATCTTCATCACGGGCTCTCCAACTCTGGGTCACGGGTTCGAGACTAACGTGGGGTCGTTGTTAACACTGCACGTAATTTTGAGGGTTTTTCTTTGGGAACTCCGGCTTTCTTCCACCACCCAAACCTGTCACGTCTGCTGTTAATAGGACGTAAAGCAGCAAAAACTACGCCATCAGGATAACACCTTGTCCTGAGTTATGAACAATCCATTAAAATGTCAGATTTCTTTTGGTTCTTCAAAACTGGTGTCATTTCTATTGTTTCATATTTTGTCATGAAGTCATTTGATGAAAAAAAAACAGATATACACCTTCATGAAACGGACGTAAAACAAGCCCTGGGATTTGTATCTAGGAGACTAATTGGTAGCGTGGGCGACTGTTGTAAACACAGACTGGTCCCTAATTGGTCATTATGTACGGAAAAAACAATATTCACATTCAGAACGAAGCGTAGCAAATGTATGTTGAAGGACATATTTTATTCAGTGAACAATTCTGTTTACATGGAATATTGATCGATTGATTTTGTTAACATTGTTTAAAAATCTCTTTTGTTTTCCTACTTGTATTAAATTACAGTTTTTGCTGAAATATCCTTTTATTGAGAAAGAAAGAACGAAAGAAAGAAAGGAAAAGAAAGAAAGGGAAAGGAAAACGAAAGAAAGAAAGCAAAAGAAAGAAAGAAAAGAAAGAAAGAAAGGGAAAGGGAAAAGAAAGAAACAAAGAAATATGGAAGGAATCTTTGGTTTCGTGAGTTAAAAAAGGACGAAATCCTTGTAATACAATTATGTTTCTTAGCGGATTCATTGATCAATAGCTTATTATCTTGTTTTAGGGGTCTACACACATTCTGCAGTCAAGGAATCCTTTACAAGCCAGTCGCGTCTGTGTCAAACCTTGGCCTGACCACGACTAGAGATTGAGTAGGTGGTAACGACATGTGGAGTTTATTTATGGTCGCTTAGTGTATTGTAACGACACATGCCACACAATGCAATGTCACTAAACCAATTAGTGTCTTACAGTATGCTGCGAAATACCACGGCTATAGTAAAACACCTTCGTTGTCTCGGGGTCTCTAGGGTCTGAGAGCACTTGCAGTAATTCCTCGAAATGTATCGGACTCTGTATTTATAGAGTCGGACTATGAATCCGGAATTTTCATATTTAAAATTTTTGCCTCTCGATATGATTTGGTGATTCAAACATGTCATGTGGTTTCATAAAATGTCCAAGCGTGAAAGGTGAAGTGGACAAAGTAAACATGGTTTGTGATTCGCCACATACATGTATTGTTAGTGTTTGGCCCGTCTGTAATGTTTGTTCGGTAATTAGTCAAGTAAGATCAAACAACACCAGCAAAAACAGAAAACGATCACAAAAACTGAAGTACATCAAAGGGAATGTTGAGTAAACACGCGTCATCAATTCATGTGTTCTTTGTGTATTCGTCAGCACTTTCTGTAGTTTTATTCGTGAATCCGTCCGTCATAAGTTGTTAGTTCATGTTTTGTGGAACATTACAGGAGAATCGGTCACTGTTGTTTTTCACCTATTTTCTACAGTATAAATGCTTTTTTTCAACTTGAAAACTTCCAAAGGAAAATCATACAAATGAATTTATAGCTAATGGAATATTTGATAGGACTGTCATCATTATTCAAAATACACGCACAGTGGTAAATCAATATAACGCACGTGTTCATTATTCAGGTAACTTTTCACCTTAATTAAAAGAGATGTCATACTTTGTATGGAAAAATGGGTTCTGTCGGACAGAGTGAAATGTACTCTGTCGTAATTCAGAGTGTATATTTCATTTCTAGTCATGGTCATGAAATTAAAAAAATATATATATCGTTTATTTTCACGGACGAACGGGCTGCACGATGTATAGCATGGCTACCGTATGCATGTATATTTGCTTGTGTCCGTTCGAATATATCTTGTCAGTAGGAATCTTTAATATGATGCGCAACAGATTTTAATGAGACTTCAAACAACAGCTCTTTACATCAGGTTAATGGTTTTACTAAAATTTTAGAGGTCAAAGGTTACGCATGAATGTGTGATAAATTACCGTTTATGTAACATTCTCGAAGAAATAATGAAATATATAAAAAAAATGTCAAACTGATTTAATTAAGATTTCCATGTAATTGGTCCTGTTATCACTAAGCTGTTCTGTCATCCCACGATTTCAATTCATCTATGCATATGTCAGTAGTGTGATAAAAAAAACTGTAACTTTTTCAGTGGCTGTCTCCCTCAGAAATCTAGGATGTTCTGATATGGATAATGACGTCACGTCATACACAAATGGCTCAACAAAGTGACTGCCTCCGTATGAAATTAAACCCTGTCAAAACGTAACTTCTCGGAGTTATGTGTTTTCATTTCATGTGTTTTTATGAAGCTCGTCTTAAAGTTTTTATTCTCCCTAAAATAAAATCTTCTAAGACTCGTTTCTTAAAATCTGAATATTTGAAATGAAAAACCTATTAAGATCATATTCTAAATTACATATTACTCTAACCATGCAATTCAGAATTAACATATTAACAATAAGAAATGCATTAATTTCCATGCTTTAAATTTATTGCTTTAAACAATTTCTGCAAAATAAATGACCGTTACCAAAGGATGCCCCTCGGCGCTTTTGTTTCATACCACACGAGTTTCATCATATTTCCAATACAGAAAGGTCACTGACTTAATCGTTTAATACAATTGATGCCAATAAGAGTCTGACAAACGAATTAACAGCATTGCAACAATTTAGTATTCCTTTCGGAAACAGGAAACCACAGAAGTTAAACATCTTCTAGTTGGAAGTCAATGTCGTGTCATGACTACCTAAGATTGATGTAACGTCTTTTTTCTATATGTAAGCCGACCTGAGGGGATTGTCCGTTCGCATCATTCAACGATGTAAAAGGGGACGAGATTTTCAACTTATTGATCAAAATTGATTTACAAACCTTTATCATATATCAGTGACATTTTCTTAAGAATAAATACACCGCTCTATGATACATCTTACAGCTAATTTAAGGATTTTATTTCTTCATACAAATGTGATATACATTGGTTTTGTATATACATTATTGAGGGTGAAGTTGACAGCGTTTTCGGTTCACGCACAAATCACCGCACAGCGTACAAATAACTAGTTCGTCTTACGAGCTACCAAATGTGGCGACTGCAAATTAGTTCTTTAACCGTAGTGGTCTAATTGGTGTTGACTTGGCCGACTCGTATGGTAAGTAATGGTATATATTTAGAGTCGAGCCAATTTACAGATAATCGTATGGAGTAATTCATTTTGTAGGCCTTGGTTTGATTAGAAATGCGATGTACAGACCGCTATTCTTTCTATAAATACGGCACGCTACAGAACACATCCATTACAGTCAACTGTGAACACGTAACCGTGATGATCGTAAGACTTTTTCTTTGTTACTCTGCAGATAAAATAATTATAAAATTATCATTCATCGCTCTAGTATATTGCTGTAAATAGCACTCGCAAATATGAAATATGATCTCTCAGAAAAATTAGACACATGACAAAACCGCCACCCACACCGAGTCCATAACGGACTACACAGCAAGTTTGATTTCACTAGTACGAGCAATCTCTGTATGTTCCATATCTAACACATTTAAAACGAATTTATCTTTTTATTCTAAATTTTTTAAAAAAAACTTTTAAATGTAATAAGAAAGTTATTCAAAATCTAGTGAGTAAAAGAGATATTCTTGGGTATTTCCCTTTAAGAAAACTTTGCATGTGACGCCTGAGTTTTGTAACACAGCACAATGCCATCAGCCTGTTGACATGTGGAATAAGACTGATGAAAGAGATGTTGCTATGGAGACGTTTTCTATTTAGAATAAACGCCCGATCCTGCGTTCAGAACAAAGAAAGCTGTGAATAATGCATTAATTTTCACCTTGTTTCGGCTGAAATTGAGTAACAGCGCGCAATTCAAATAAATGTCTGTAAACAGCCGCAAAACCTACAAACAAATAACTAACAATTTCTTGCCTCATAATTTTAGACGTCAAGAAAATTTTGGAAGTTGTCAATATTTCCCCGCAGGAATTAATCAGATGGAGTAGAGAATTATGTTCTCGTGAAGTTGTTGTAACAGAATTATCTCAATTTCATTTGAAGTTTCCAATAAAAGGTTTTCATGTAGTGCTTTTAAACTATCTCAACGGAAGTCGTTAACAAATTACTTTAAATATTAATGTTAAAAGACGAAAGACGCGCTGTCTTTTCGTTAAACTAATATAAGTTAAACGGCGTGTGAAAATCATCATTTCCATCATACAACACTGTGTATAAGGAACGCTCTGTGCGTAAAGTCAAACTGTGCAAGCTCCGTGGGATACTGTATTTGAGCCATCGGCATTCTAGATTTACTGACCTGTTTGCAGACAGATTTGTGGTACACAATACCGTTGTAATCAACACCGATAACATTTGTCCAACAACTCGTTCTAGTTTTATGTTACTGCAACTGGCTGAAGAATATGGGGACATCCTTGTCAATAGAGGTTTCTTACACGGGTGTCGATGTTAATATGAAATTTAATAACCGAATTTTATAAATAATTTATTTCATGCACACAAGTGTAAGATTCTGTTTATCATATTTTTTATATGTAAGCGAAAGCTCTCGAATTAATTTCTCTGGAATGCCAATTTGTTTCTATGCGGAGAATACGATTTGAGGTAGTGAGAGAATGACGCGCAAAGCCTTTCACTATGACTTTTCATAATGTATTACTAAAAATAATACTGACAGTTATATTAATGAAAACATATATCAGAATCAACAACACCATATATGTAGCACTGTTTCTGTGTGTGTCTGTAAGTTATAGACATAGACGCTGATACAGCTCTGAACTATAAGATAGTTAACTTGGCCGGGAATGCTTGGTTTCGGTGTATGTGAGTGATCTACTTGCATTTTACGTTAAGTGGATTCCAATATCATAATAGATCGGGGTCGATATAGATGGTATAGGATTTTTGGCGTTCCGGAAGGAGTTTTCATGCGCTGTCTTTTTCACGCTGTCCTAGTATCTAGTTCAAATCATCATTTTCTTCTAGCGATAAATGTCGAGAAAGTTTGTTCGTCAAATAAATTATAAGGACAGCGTTAAAGATTGTGGTGGCACCTCTTTCTTTGCTTGGTGATGACGTTTTGTCTCTTAGAAACGTAATTATAAAGTAGAGTTTGAATTTATCTTCAGGCCGGTATCCCTGTTTACCTTCACAATGAAATGTGTAAATGTAACACTATACATGTAACTGACAGCGCTCTAAATGATTTGTCCTGGTAACAATACATTTATCACGTAACTGGCACGTTGGTTCATTTCATACACTGTGTCATAAATATCGTAAGTCACGTGTAATGATTCTATTGTGACGTCGTAATCAGTGTTCACGTAATGATGACGTCAAACGACTCTCTCGGTTGTGAAAAACGTGCTGTCCTCGTCGAAAAAAAATCTTCTTGGGGAAAATTATTAAGAGTTCTCACTTAATTATTGGTTTTATTATTAAAAGAATCTTACACTCGCGTCAGTGTATTACATCGATGCTCATGCCAGACATTTTATTTGACTTATGAAGAAAATGGTGATAATTTTTTGGTTTTCTTTTATTATCTACAAAGTCAAATTAAGAAAATATAAATCAATATGCCGTTCAATAAGAAAAGCTATCATCTAAAATATTTTGTGTGTAAATCGCACACATCCACACAAGGGGAAATAACAGTATCAGTAATATACATTATGATTTCGTCTTTTGGAAATGCAGAGTTATCTTCTCTTGCGAGCGTATGTATTGAATTTACCTAATAAATGAGGGGCAATTTACTTCGTTTTCTCACAAAATGACATAATTATATCACATTTAATGATAATGACAATCAATACCAGCAAACAAGAGCAGATAACTCTGTATTAAGAAAAGACGGAATCAAAGCAATGGACGTTTACTTATTTTTGATATTAATTTATTAATTTTCATTCCATAAAAAAACATGCGAATAATACATGGCAAAGTATACTTAGGAATTGGAATTGGAAGCAAGTTAAACAACTTATATAAATCCTTTTATTTTTAAACATCCTTGTTGAAACTATGACATAATATATATATATATATATATATATATATATATATATATATATATATATATATAACTATATGTTGTAATACCTTACAATATGATAAAGCATGATAGATAATATAAGAGTGTTCATAGTATACAAATTAATTATAACCTCCTCGTCAAATATATTATATGTACATTCTGTATAAGGTCTGCAGATACATTTTTACAACTATAACTATCTATATGTTTCTAATCATGTATGATTTTTATGTCTATTTAAAAGCACGTGATCTTTCCGCTAGCAATAAAGATGATTTATAATGATTTAAACAGAAGAGTTCATGTACACAACCATTTTATTCCCATTTAAATACGCCGCTGGCCTGTTATAAAAACAAAAGGTAGGTTAAAAAAGCACACACACACCAAAACGACTCGCGCACAAATCGTTTGTGTGTGAGTTAATGTGTAAGGACGTTTACGACAGCGTTACATTAACGCTTGTCAAAGAATATTTGCATATAGATAGATCTTGTCCACTTCGCGGCCGTGACCTCAGCTCTTGACCATCAACTAGTGGACAAGTGACTGCCCTGAATTTTTCTTATGTAAAAAAAAATGACACATGCTTACTCTCAAGTTACATCTTGATGTCAGTTTACGTTGAATGACCGCGTTACGTAATTAGATCACAATGACAGCGTCATCGTTTCATATCACGTTCATGGTTTATAGGGTGTCACTCTACAAAGCACGCCATCGCCTTTCTCTACATGCTTAAAGTAATAAAAATAACGTATGTAAGAATAAAAAAAACATTGTCGAAGTTTTTTAAAGATCATAACACTAGCATTGTTTGTCCTTGATACAAGTAGTTATGTATCCGTATTTTGAAATGCACGTATTTCAAGGTGCGGGGGTTGAGACCAGACTGGTAAGTCTAAACATGCCTTCATTTACATATATATATATATATTCAACTTTGCAGTTTAAGTATCGTATTCATTTGTATAAATATATGTATATATAACGTTGGTGTGTCATTGAGGCAGTTTATGGAGACGATGAGTTGAGATAATGAGTTCTCGGACACTGATCAGTTTCCGCTCTTAGTACGTATCGTTCAAAAGTGCAAGAAGCAATCCAAGATGGCGGCAACCTTGTTTGAGACAAGTCTCGCACCCGTCGCCCCGGGCGAGACAGGCTGTGTGACAGGGGCTGACACTTAGGCCTCGTGTTCTTCTGTTGAGAGCCGTTAGAGATCGAGGACAAAGAGTAGGCATATATGAATACACTACATATATACACATCTAGTTAATACTCCACACACGATCCGCGGACATGCTTGCACCGTTTTGCATTTTGTGTCACTTCAGTTTGTTTCCTTGGGGGGCCTGTGAAAGGAATCTCATCACAGAAAGCGATTTTATGGAAAAGGAAACAAATAACAGTTAAATAACTGAAGTGAAAAAACAAACTTGATTTTAAATGAAAATGCAATTAACGGATTAATTCACCGGAAGTGCTGCACTAAACTCTCATTTTAGACTAAACAAGTTTCGCGGATCTCGACCACTTTCGATTTTCAGAAGTTTCCTTTGTTCTGTCAACAGTGAATAAGACAAATCAGTCGCTTTGTCATTATTTTTTATGTGTGTGTGTTTTAACATAAAGGATGACGTTTTAGAAATCGCGATATTTAAAGAAAACAGGCTCACCAACACGACGCGGGGAATAAAAAATGTAACATTGATCATGATGAATTTACCAGGTATAACGAATAGAGTGTTGACCGTCTGATGCTCGTGCAGAGAGCGTGATGGGAGGTTCGGTGATTGGAATTTTATTTTACATTTTGTCTTATTTGTGCGTAACCATATATGGACATGCACGGTTATGGGAGCCTCCTGCAAGGTCTACAATGTGGAGAAGAGGTTTTTCTACCCCTGTTAACACTAATGACAACGAACTTAATTGTGGGGGATACGAGGTAAGGTATATCATCTAAAGTGGAAATTATATACGGTACAGGTCTGTATTAGGTTTAATAGGTACTCTCGGCACATGTAATAATATGATAGAAACACATGAGACGTGCTATTGATTGTTTGAGACACTAGATATGTGTTCTAGACTGTTGGAGATATCAGAGGTTCGTATCGGACTGCTAGAGTCATAAGGAACATTTTCAGGTATGTTGCAGACACCAGCGGCGTGTATCGGAATATTCGAAACACCATAGACATATACCGGACTGTTAGAGACACCATAGACGTGTATCGGACTGTTAGAGACACCAAAGGTATATACCGGACTCTTAGAGGCACAAGAAACGTGCATCGGGCTTTAATAGACACCATGGACGTTAGAGAGACTGTGTATGTTAAAACACTTGAGACATGTCCCGAACTGTAAAAGACACCAAACACATGTTTAGGACTGTTAGAGAGACCAGAGATATGTTTAGGACTGTTAGAGACACCGGAGACATATTAAGGACCGACAGAGACACCAGAGACATTTAGGACTGTTAGATACACTGAATACATATTAAGGACCGATAGAGACACCAGAGACATGTTTAGGACTGTTATAGACACCGTAGACATGTTTAGGACTGTTATAGAAACCAGAGACATGTTGCGGACTGTCAGAGACACTAGAAACATGTTTAGGACTGTTATAGACACCGTAGACATGTTTAGGACTGTTAGAGACACCAGAGACATGTTTAGGACTGTTATAGACACCGTAGACATGTTTAGGACTGTCAGAGACACCAGAGACATGTTTAGGACTGTTATAGACACCGTAGACATGTTTAGGACTGTTAGAGACACCAGAGACATGTTTAGGACTGTCAGAGACACCAGAGACATGTTTAGGACTGTCAGAGACACCAGAGACATGTTTAGGACTGTTATAGACACCGTAGACATGTTTAGGACTGTCAGAGACACCAGAGACATGTTTAGGACTGTTATAGAAACCAGAGACATGTTGCGGACTGTCAGAGACACTAGAAACATGTTTAGGACTGTCAGAGACACCAGAGACATGTTTAGGACTGTCAGAGACACTAGAAACATGTTTAGGACTGTTATAGACACCGTAGACATGTTTAGGACTGTCAGAGACACCAGAGACATGTTTAGGACTGTTATAGACACCGTAGACATGTACACCAGAGATATGTTTAGGACTGTTAGAAACACCGGAGATATTTTAAGGACCGATAGAGACACCAGAGACATGTTTAGGACAGTCAGAGACACCAGAGACATGTTGAGGACTATCAGAGACACTAGAGACATTTTAAGGACTGTCAGAGACACCAGAGGAGACATGAACCGTTCGTTTCAAAGCTCTGACATCTTCTGTACGCTGTTTAAAGAAAAAAATGACGATACCCTGTGACTTGATAGCCCCACCAGGCAACTCACAATAAGGACCCGACGATGAATGTGTCAGACTGATTTGATAGAGAAGAGAATCTCAAATTAACTGATGTGATACAGATTCCTCATATTCATCACGTGGTTTTAACACGTTATTAGATAATCTGTCTGAAAAAAGCATGCTTAATTGCCGATGAGACCAATATGTGGGCCAAGTAGTGATAAGAGATTGTTATCGCAAGGGTTTTCCCGTCCTAAAATTTTAATTTGTAAACCTAACGAAATAACTGCGAATATGTACATGTATTGTTGCCGCCCAGCCTCTATTCTGGAAGTTATGCTATACATTCGAAATAATACATAACAAATAGAAACAAACAAAACAACGTTATGACTTCTTATCATATTACAGAACCTCTGGATAAAATATTCAGGAATGTGTGGAATTTGTGGAGACCCATACCAACAGCATCCACGCGAGAACGAGGCTGGGGGAACATATGCTACAGGTACCGTTTCACGTCACTACAAAACCGGTGACGTCGTCACATTTTCTGTAGATGTCACCGCCAATCATGAAGGTTATTTCGAGTTCCGGTTGTGTCCTTCCGATGGCGTTGTAAGTCAAGCTTGTCTAGATCGGCATCCAGTTCCGGTTATTGGTCATCCCGATGGCCGTTACCACTTAAAGGCGCACGAGAACGGAATCATCGATATGAAAGTAAAACTTCCTGCCGGTTTAGCGTGCGACAAATGCCTCCTTCAATGGCGGTACCGAACTGGTGAGTAATGTTTAAGTGGATTGAATGTTTTTAGAAAATTGTTTCAGCACCTCCGACCAATTTCTGCATCCACTATTGTCGTGTGCAAATGTCGGAAAATAGTTTGAAATGTCCCATGCAGCGTATATTGAGAACTTCTTTTTAGGCAGAACTTGAGAAATATGTCCATTGTGAAAAGCGAAAAAATACTCTGTAGCATAAATTACGTAAAATTCGAAAGTCTAGTGTCAATATCACATTGTAGAGTAATGATGAGGTGGGAGAAACGTGGACCTATAACTAACGGTCAGAACTATTGTTTAACTTTGGCACGCGCGTTGAACTGTTAAACCAAACACAGAGAGTTAGATATTGTCTTCGTGTTGTCTTCTGAGTATTCATCCACGATGTTCATGCAGAATTAAACAAAATTTCAAAATCTGAAAAATTCTCGCCTAATTGAACAAAAATTGAATAAAGATCTGAAGTGTAAGTTTGTAAGATAGCAAATAGAAATAGCTACATGTACGAGTAGTAGTTGTAATGTTTGGACATAAGTTAGATAAACAAAATAAAATTTGTATGCGTCCTGACTCAGGCGTCATTTACACAAACCATTCCACATCATCATAAAAGTGGCAGAAATGGAAGAATTATTTTTTTCTCTCATTCTGTTTTAAAACTTACAAGTTTAAGCTACTGTTTAATTATTCATTCTCGTTTGAGGTTTATTTTCGTTTTTCGTTGAATTCGCGGTAACTCTGAATCCGCAAAGTTTTACGTCCGGGAAACGATAAACAGGTAACAAAATAATGCATTACAGTTATCCACGAAATAAAGTGCCAGCAAAAATGCATATTTTTGAAAAATCATGAAATTTGATCCCGATGAAAATTATTGGTTTTTACAGACTATGATTGTAAATATGATTAAATACCTGTAAAACTTCTTTTAATGATCAATTACGGTCGACTGGCAGAAATATTTATCTTAATTGTTTTTAACTGTATTGGTTTTAGCAATGACGAGGAACACCTTATTGTATTCACATTATTAATTTGACAATTCAAAAATAAATTTGTATTAGTGTTGGCCTAAATATCTACATACCAGCATCGGTAGGTCAAAGATAGATATCTGCACACTGTGACGTCACATCGCCTTCCGCGTGACTACGTTCTTCACAACCTTTATAGACCAAAAAAAAAAACGTGTTTCGTAAGTAAACCAAGTGATCAGAAAGTATCTTGATTCAAGTTTCCTTACAACAAATCTGAACACCTAAGTCGATTTCTATGCGGTCATCTTTGATCGAAGGCATTGTAATCGGGGCGAGGTGTTCCGAATACATTATGACGTTACTTTTGTGACACGGCTCGCCGTCAAAATGGATGTTCCATTACACAGATAATGCTGTCGACAATGAATTATAATTAAATAAAACGATTCAAATGCAGAGTTGAATTTGTTGTTTAAAGCTCTCACAACATTAAAGGCGACGGAAACGTGAAGGTGACAGTAATAGAAGAAATGCTTTGTATTTCCAGGTTTTTTGGGGTTTTTTTTAAACATCTAAAAATAAAGATACTCCTTCAATTTGTATCAAAGCGCTTTATCTTCATAGCACTCGTATCAATTTTTTTCACAACAAACTGTGTATACGATACCATGAATATCGTGACTCCACAGCTGAAAAACACCTCGTATTTCGTATTGATTTTAACTTCGTCAAAAGACATGGCAGGTCAGATTCATCATGATGCTCGGCAGCATTTCTACGTCTTTCTTTGTTCTAACGGCAACAGGACTGCTAAAAAAATGTACATTATATATCAGTTCTATCTACAATCTGAGGCGAGTAGGCGACAGCTTATTGCTAGAAACGAGTAAATATATTTTTATTCTTATGATGAAAGGACTGTTATGAAATAAAAAAATGATATATAAATGTTTTACTTCCGTCTGTTCTGAGTAGGTAACAACGTGTTGTTTCAGACCCCGCCGTTCCAACAGATCTGTATCTTGATTTATTAAAATTTGAAGAAAAACAACTGTGATTTAAAATCACGTGTTCTTCGTTTATCACATGTATTTACCCAGTGGCAATTTTGCATTATCTGTAACAGCAACAATTGTTTAGGAGAAATTATTTATGTACACAAATGTCACCATGGTAACCGATGGCAATGATGCAATATTTTGTGAAAAGTTATGATAACAAATGTTACAGGTATTACCGTTATCAATGGTAAGCTTATTGAGGAAAATGCTTTGATTCAATTCAGTTTGCTTAAATGAAAAGAGGAAACAAGAACACGTTTCTGTCTTTATTCGAACATGAACATGGCCCATTTATCATGGTTCTGATTTCGTATCACAAACAGATCAATTGTGATAGTGAGAGTTTGAAGTCGGACAAGTTTGATGTTCGTTAGTAAATCTGGTGGTTCAGTTTTTATTTACCATGTTTTCATCTAAAAACATGGCATTTACTTCTTCGAGTGACAAAGGATTACATGGCGGGTGTCGTCGATGAAGCAGAAGATGCTTGCTCTTCTGGAACATCTCCCGCTCTATTCTTCTTGGGGTTTTTTTTCAGTAGTTTCCGTGCAAACCTTCCTTTTACCACATCTCGCCACAAGTATGTTGAATTTGAGTTTGGATTATGATTTTGTTGTTGTTGTTGTTGTTGTTGTTGTTGTTGTTGTTGTTGTTGTTGTTGTTGTTGTTGTTGTTGTTGTTGTTGTTGTTGTTGTTGTTGTTGTTGTTGTTGTTGTTGTTGGTTTAAAAAGACAACAATTTAAAATTCCTTGTTTTGCCTCGTATTAGGAAGCAACCGCTGTTCTAGTAGATAGATTTATTTCTTACTTAACAGAATAAACAAACGTTTGGGAATTCATTTTCATTATGTCATAACTTGCTTGATTCCTGGCGCATACTCGATGGAAAAACCTTATTTTTTTCTTAACGAAATCAATGATAAAAATGTACTAAGTTGAGGTAAGCTCTTTCGTGGAATAACAATCCTTGGTACTTCCCGTACATGTCATTTAAGAATGAAAAGTTCGGGTTCCCGTGCGTAGTGTCAGAGGCGGATCTCGGATTGGAAACTATGGTGACAACGAGAAGTTTCGTTACCATGGTTATATATAAAAATGTCATCTGTTCAAGGATATCGTAAGAGGTACTGTTATCGCAACTTTTCAAAATCCATGCAAAGAAGGAACACTTAGTATTTATCTGCTTGACGTATTCTTGCGAGAACTGACGAGATTGAGGTTTTACTATATATCATTATGAGCTCTACATTCTGGAACTCGTATATACAACTATTTATGATATGTTTGTCAAGGGTGGTCACTAAAACATCAAGAATTATTAATGTACATCACTAGTAGGTCACAACCAGTTATGCGCCCTGACCTGGTTGTCGAGTGTATGACCTCACGCGCAAGGGGTAACGTTAGTGTAACTGGTCAATCCTGGAGTAGTCCAGAGGCATTTAAATGATAATTATTGCGGGGTCAACCGACGTCTAAAAATCAATTCACTTGCTGGAAGTGGCTTTTACAAATTGTGTGAAATATTTAATTAAAACATGTTATTTTTCAAATAAGAATAAATTTCAGGATTTAATTTCATTAAAGCATTGACATATATAATAAACCGTGTTGACAGGAGATTGAATACTGTTCCATAAAATCTTTAAAAAATAATATATTTCAAATATTTTTGAATATTTATTGAAAATTTCGTAAAACAAGTATTCGATTTATGACGCCAGTCACTAACTATTGAAGGCGAAAGGTATCTATCTTCTAGCTGTTAAATATTAAGATATCACCGCGTTTTATTAAATGATTACAGGCAAATAAAGGAAAAATAAATATGGAAGAAAATCTTGTTAAACATGAACTTCGTGTGAGGGAATATTAATTAGTGTTACGAAAGTATTATGTTAACAAATGCAATTTCAGCTGTTTTTGGTAAATCAAATTTCCATAACTAACAGTTTCTGTCCTGTTTTATGCAAATATTTTTTCATTTTAGTGAAATGCTAATTTAAACACAACAAAAGATAATTTTCTTCACGAAAATATGACGAATGATTTATAGACGGGCTTAAGACTTAAAGAAAGGGGATATTATTGTGCGCGTGCTTTATCGTCCATTACGTACCTAACTTGTACTGAAATGAATCTTCCTTAAACTATAAATGACAAAACATGACAGTTTATAAAAATAGTCCATTGTTCATTTCTAACTCATATATATAATGACCTGACAAACCTATTGGAAACACTGCGCCATTGTCTTTCAGATATGCTTTTTTGATATCATTATTACTATTTAATTAAAAGCAAACATTTGTAAGGTTTTATTTATATTTTAGAAGATGAATTTTTGTGAGCCATAAGTGATGGTTGTGAAGTTTTAATTATACTTCTAGAAGTAAGCAAATAAACATATACAAACCGCTGACACCATGCGACAATTAAATGCTCACATCAGCCGACACTTCACTGGCTTTCATCGTGTCAACATCGTGTCCGAAGTGTTCACTTTATCACGTGCGTGGAACAGCTGTTGTTTGTAACATGTATTACCTGCGCTTGACAACCGTGTCTGATGTATGACGTTTTTAAGTATCACGTCCTACCATTGATAATTAGATAATCAGACGAAAACTTCAAACACTAGAGTGGACACAAGATCCATCATTAGGAGAATATAGAAACGCGGATGAAGCATGCTTGTGTTGTATTGCACACACAAGATTCCATAAATGTGATAACCGCTGCTGAAGATTTATTTTGAGTGTGTTTTCATGGTTCCAACCGGAAGGCAAAGTGGTTCTCTTTATAGAAATACACTGAAGTTGGCAAACTCTCTTTGTTGTTGACGGTGGTGTTACCATGTTACAAGAAATGTTTTACCTTAAATGAACGAGACAATTACGAAGTGGTTCATGTATCTATATATGTACATATATGTATATCTAAGTCCGTGATACGATAAGTCAGCTTTATAAATGCTCCGGAGCATCTCTCCGATGGAACTACTTGGATTTATCATCTAGGAATAGATACGAAAGTTTACATCGAGACTATTTCAAACCTCTTTTTCTGAACCATTTATTGGTAGTTTTCGTCTATTGTAATTCATGGTACTTTACAAATGCTGACGAGTCTAGCATAAGAGATTGACTACATCTGAAATTTCATGTCTACATTTGGGAATACATCGTAAGTTATTCAAATTAATTATGCAGATTTTTTTGTATGGTAGACGGTTTATGTGTTTGTTTTAAAATAAAATTTGCACAAAACTCTGCTCTACATATAATACAGGGAGTGAGTTAGTGACCTCTTAATGATTCTGTGAGACGGTGTCGCTAACCTCTCGAGATTTATAACTTTTTCCAAGACTAATTTAATCATCACTTGATTCGTTTTTCGGATCACCGTAAAGCTCAAGGTTCTGAAGAAATCAATAAAACCCAATACAGAAAACGTAAATGACGAAAATCTTATGTCGTTAACTGTTCGCTATCACCGTCAATAGTTGTGGAGAAGCTTAGAAAGTTGTCACTATGAAACACCGGAAATGAAATGTTAGATCGGACGTCTTCGGGCCTTTCCGGTAATCTTGGCTTCCATAGGTCAAGGTCACGGAGCAATGCATGATCAAAGATTTGCCGCAGGAATATGTTGTAAATAACTAAATTATTAACCAAAGGAAGTAGTCGAGCTACAAATGTAGATTTTAATGTTTTAACGTTAATTTAAAAAAAAAAGCCACATATCTTTAATTTAGAAAAAGTATACCTTCTATTTCAACCATGGACTCAAACTGTAGATATATCTTAGTGTTAACCCAAATATTAATGGCAGAATACAAAGCCGGTTTGTTTAATTTCAATATCATTTATAATCAAAATCATAATTTATATATTTTGTCAATACCTAGATCAAGAAAACGACTGGGGAAAAATCGGAAAAACCTGTAGATAGTTTGACAGTTTGATGTTCCCTATCTTTATTAAGGTGTTATGTGACCTTTTATGTAAGTACTGAATTGATTATTACGAAACTGTTTTCAAATGGATATCAGATCCTGGATAACTAAAGTAATTAATGTCGTAAGTTTCAAAAATGTCATGTCGTGTTTGACATTTACTTGAAAACATGTTAATCATAAATTTGACAGATTTGCCACAAAAAGATCCTTCGGAACACCAATCGAACAAGGAAACCAATGATAAGCTCCGAAATGTTTAAAATGTATATCAACATTGAATCACCGGCGACTATTTATATCAACAATATATCTTAATAAAAATGTGATAATTAAGTTATTTCAAATGTCAGTTGTGGGCCAAACCATAAATTATAGTCACAACGATCGGTACTATGACAAGATCAGGAAATAAAAAGGAGATCTTTGATGAAATATATCATCAATAAAAAGTATTTGATTTATGTTTAAATATGAATGAATTTTAAGGGATCAGTAGGATAAAGACGGGGCTCCTCAAAGTCGTGTCATTTTAAATAAATTAATATACATGTAATCAATTCATGTCACTATAAAGAACTTTTGAAGCCTGAAAAATGTACTTCATGCATTTGTTATTAAAGTGTGTTTAAGCCTTTGCTATTCATTTTCGAGGAGATATAGAGAATACCTTGCTAGTGTTGTATTTTGAAAGCTGTAAGTGGCGAGTTTCTAGCAAGCCACTTTTGTCTATCTGTCCCGAGCTCAACTTTCGTAGTTTTCCGTAAAAAATTTTTCATGATTTTACAAAAATTCTATTTCGAGCATACTTGATTTCGTGGATAAATATAACTCAATAAATCTACTTATACCTATTTTAATTGTACGTAGACATATTAATTCGTTAATTACGAGCAGAACTATGAAATGAACGAAATCAAAACTCACGAAAATCAATGATTTAACAGTATATAACGCGTATAACTGATATTGTGATTTTATCATCGTCATGCTTAAATCCGCTTCATCATTCGTCATAAAAATATATAGGATTTTTTTCCTCCTTGTATATACATGTGTTTCCTTCATTAAAGAAACAAAAGTCATGTTGGAGGCTATTATAAATGTAAACTGCTGCAATCAGCTACATAAACATCGACATTTATGACTTAAACTTTGATTTCCTCCATCTGTAATAGATATATTGCCTTAGGACTACACGTTCTAAATTACCTGACATGGCTTTCAACACTACGAAGCCTAGCGGAGAAAAATAATGATTCGCAAGGGAAGTAATCTGGCCTGTGTAGTGCCATTTGGTTAATCGAACAAAAAATAAAATATATCTTTTGAAGAAACAAACAAACATCATACAGTGAGTATTAAGTTGTACTCAATGTAATCACGGACAATTTTCATCACATATCATCACATGTACGTCGATCCGTTTGTGGCCTGAAGTATACTTACGTACGTTTGCGTATTTGCTCAAATATGTTACAATAATAGTTGAGATTGATGGGATGTGCTGTCAGTTCCGTTAATGGTTGGTAGGATGTGATAAAACCCGATCATTTTTGCTAGTATGTGATATAAACCGACTGTTGTTGCTATAATGTGATGTCAACCGACCGTTGTTGCTAGGATGTGATATAAACTTTTGTTGTTGCTATGATGTGATATTAACCGACCGTTGTTGCTAGGATGTGATGTAGTTCCACCTGTTGTCAATAGTACCCTCCATTTTTTGTAGGATGTGCAGTAAAACTGTTTCGGTTGCTAGGATGTGCTGTAAAATCGTTATGGTTGCTAGGATGTGCTGTGAACACGTTTTGGGTGCTACGATGTGGTGTAAAATCGTTGTGGTTGTTAGGATAATTTGAGGATGTATTGTGAATTTCAGAAAATTGAATTTCCCCCGACAGATATCATATTTCATTCCGATTCCTCCAACCCAGTGCTAGAATCGAACCCAAGACGCCTTGCTGACTACTCTAACGCTCAACTGAACGAGTTAGAAGGACGATATCTTAAACCGAGTAACAGTATCCCTCTAGTACAATGTATTTATCAGGTTTACATACTAACCCCGAGAAAGGGACTCATCCTCTAGATTACAGGGGTTACAGCTATTTCTCTGTTGAATCATACTGAGTATTATGGCCGAGTTCCTATTCCCGGGTTCGACAATGTAACAGAGGTAATTATCTATAGTAACCCTACCGCTAGGTTTCGAACCCATGGCTAACTAGTCACACATTCAACCGGTGGAGCTAAAGAACATCTCTTCTCGTGGGTGGTCGGGTGGCGCAGAAGTGACGCACTCGCCTTTACACCTATCGCCCTGGGTTCCCTGAATGGATGAGAAAAGGTATATGGGGTCACCTGCCTGATCACGTGGGTATTCCCCGGGTACTTCGGTTTCCTCCGACAGTAAGACCCCTCGCGCGCTTATATCTGGACCATCAAGAGTGATTAATATAACTTAAAAGTTTGATTAGCAATTGTTGTGAAAAAAGAAAGTATATATATGTATAAAGAAGATTTCGCTAGATGAACAAGGTGTTGTGGCTAGTATTACCAAATTATTACGATTGATTGCATTGACATCTTCCTGTTATTGCATGTACTTTAAAAAAAATCATTCTGGAAAATTAAATTCATCATTTTGTCCCGATTTTCGATGTTTCAGTTACATATTAGTAATCTAATGGATGTTGTATTCTGTTTTTACCCTTTCAGAAGACCAAATATTATTTTTTGTTTGTTTGCTTTCTGCTTTTATCAAGAAGTGGTTGATGTTCATTGTATACAGTATTCCTTTCACTCGAGTTAGTCACTTTAGCAAAAATAACTTACTGGGGTTGAAGAAATACTATGTTTAACACCAGCTAGTTCGTGTGACCTGTTTCCTCCATTATAAAAGAGCTTTTCCGACGGTGAAAATTGATCTGTTTTGTGCTCAGGTGGGTTTTTCATATGACCTATATTGAAATGCCGCTAATCAATATTCACACCTGATATTTTCTGAAATATTGGAAACATCAATTCATTCGGGAACAGCTGATTACACGTTTATATTTCCGCGAGCGCGTGTAGCGTTCACCTGTTCAAAGTTCAACGTGTCACCCAATCAAAACGATTTAAGAGTTTATTCCACGTATGTTATAAATGTTTGATTGAAACATATTTGTATTATCAGTGACAAATAAATGGATCAAAGACAAGTTCTAGCAACTTATCAACTCTTCTCCATAAATAGAATTACAAATAATTGATATACTGCACGTGACACATATTAATGTTATAAACAGGAAAACATGTAGTTCGTAGACAGTCGTACAGTTGTAAGTCTAAATAATTTTGTCAGAAGGAGAAGATGAGAAGATAGAAAGAACAGAAAAGAAGAAGACATTATATAGATTTTTTTCTCGATTGTTTGATGTTTGATCATAAAACAATCGAAGTGATTAATTGATGGCGGAAGTGGTGAATAACACCAATATTTTACGGTAGAAATCTTATTCTGTCATCTGTTTTGATTTTGTTAATATCTAGATATTTGTTTTGTAGGTAACCGTTGGAACTGTGACCAAAAAAGCAATAAATGCGGGAAAGGTCTGGGTCCACAGGAGGAGTTTTATGGCTGTGCTGACATTTCAATCTTGGACTTCCGTTTAGCAATGGCACTTCCTGTTTCTAAACCAGTAAACGCAATTGGACGAATGTCCGTTCGGACTCAAAAACCTGGTGTTCGGATGGCCAAACGACCAACAAAAGCCGTTCGTATCCGACAGAAAATGTTAAATACAGCAACGAAACCGGTGAAAAGTGTCAAATTTCATCAGAACACAATTCCAAAAAGGACTTTACGCAAAACTGAACAATTGAATGACTTAAGCGGTGTGTTGTGGAAACTTCTGAAAGGTTTAACGAATAAGGATCCAAGTGGCGGAAATATTGCACTGGTGAAGTGGGACCCCGTAAGTCGAGCCTACAAGTCGAACATCGTTTATGTACGTCCAAAAGTTGAACAATTACCTCATGGACAAACAGGTCGTATGTCTGTCAATAACGTCCGATCTAATTGGCCGCCTGTACAGCCAATGATTGTTGAGGCTACAATAGACCAACAACAGACTGGCCCGGTCCTTCTGTCCGATCCACCATTTGATCAGGTCCTGAAGAAACAAATACTGCCATCTGTTTTTGACAATTTAAAAAACACGTCAACATGTCATGGAGTGAACAATTTCGCCAAAGTTTCGGGCATCGCAAAATGGTGTACAGTCAACTGTAAAGCCGGAAACTGTCCAAGTGTGATGTGCACTTGCACTAGAGACAATGAGAGAGCACCTGCTGCAATCAAACCGGTCAGTGTCGTTTCCCGTCCTCGGCCCTTTCGACCCGTATTGCGTTCCCGGGTAAAGACCAACCACATTTCCTTTCAATCCCAACCTAGTACCTCTTCCGGTTTATTACGATGTAAAGGAATCGGACATTTTTCACGAGACAAGCAGATCATATCATGGTGCAATTCGAACTGTAACAAAGGATTCTGTCCTAAACATATGTGTTTTTGTATATAAATATTTATTTATAATATATATACCCGGAAAATACATTAGATATTGACAAGAAATTCTATCGATGTCGGCAACCCATGTTCCGTCCTTTTGAAAGATGTGTAAACACTGACACAAGTCAAACCGTTTTCGAGAAATAACTTCTAATCTCAGTTTCTCTTGTTTTATTTGACATTTTCAATATCTTTTGCACATAACACAGGAAACATGTAAAATGTATACAGAGAGAATGGTGGACATATTTATTTAATATTAAAAACTGTTTTATTGAAATTTCTATTTTGATTCCAAGCTTCATTTGTATGTAGATATCACATTTATTTTCAAGTGTCGGTCGTCGGTCCATCAGCTCCACAAAGCGGTTAACTCTCTCTCTCTCTCTCTCTCTCTCTCTCTCTCTCTCTCTCTCTCTCTCTCTCTCTCTCTCTCTCTCTCTCTCTCTCTCTCTCTCTCTCTCACACACACACACGCACACACGCACACACATTCAAATCTTTAATTTGAGCGTTTGATATAATAATATCAAATTTATCACTTATGTAATTAAACAATCTGTTCATTTAATTTTTAAATTTAAATTTAATTGTAAGCTTGTTATAATAGTATGTTACTTTCTTGTTGCCTTAATGAATCGTCTTTTCTAAGTCCATGGTTCTGTATTTTGCATAGAAAAAAAAATCAAATTTCAGTGTTGTAACAATCTTGTTTAAAGAGGTTTATTATATATACTCTCTCAATATAATAATAAATAATTTTGTCATAGATCGTCCTGCTGTTGTTTCCTTCGTGCTGTGTATTCGGTCCCTTGTGCTGCGTCCTTGATTCCTGAAGTCATGTCCTGTGCTGCTTGTCTATCTCTTATCCCCCGTGGAGCAATTTCCATTAAAACTGTACTGTGTAAGGCATGTCCTAATTGCAAGCACACTTTATGAAACTTTTACGTCTTCATTGCGGTAACGATTTCCTGTTCAAATGTTGTTGTGTATTTGATTCATAAGTCGTCATTCCACCAGAACGGTCTATCACAACGAATGCATGCCAATTGAAAGCCGTATCTTTTACGATGCAATAGACCTTGTTGCCTATTGACCTTTGTCCTAGAAGTTTTATATATAAATACATGTTTGTCTACATTGAATTTTCAATCAGAGTTAAGAATCCATAGGCGCGAATTTAACTGAAACTGTTTGTCAATTTGTCTGATGAACAGCAGCAGTAGTGTATTAGATGTACGTGCATATCGTTTTATGATATTTAAAAAATGTCCGTATTTGAAGAAGAGACACAAACGAACGTCTCTTGTCCGAATTCTATACAAGTATTACTCATTGGACAAATCTACGTCTTGTCGCTTTATTATCACTCTTCGTGTTGGTTTATGGGTTCTCTGTTGATATAGTGTGTTTCTCGTGTAACGTTTTCGAAATCAACGGTGTAATAGACAAAACATTTATACACTATGCTGAGTACTGTCAACTGGTTGCTAGTTGTTGTACCTAACCGTATAAACCTCTCGGTTATGTGCTTCCATATTATATAACTGGTTTATCGAGTGTTGTATATTTTGTTTTATATTGGTCCACGCCGTGGAATAAAAAAAAGATTTTGGACTTAAATGACAAATTCCAAATATGCTGAAAGTTGCTAGTGTTTAAACAAGTATCTACTGTTCTCCTAACTTCAAGAAATTCATGCGTGTGCTGTCCCCTACCAGTGAAACGGGACGAGACTATAGGTTTGCTAGTGTTGTCTCTCCCTCCGTGTGTAACTGGTTGATAGTGTTGTATCGTGTGTGTTTTGAACTGGTTGCCAAAATAGTTTTTGTTGGTAATCGTGTGTAAAAATGATAATCATGGCACAGCAGGGGACATGTGTTGCTTGCAACACTAATTGTAAGCTTGTTATAATAGTATGTTACTTTCTTGTTGCCTTAATGAATCGTCTTTTCTAAGTCCATGGTTCTGTATTCTAGAAAACGTGTTGTAACATAGTCAGAGAGGTTTATTTCAGACTCATCAATATACGTCATAGATCGTCCTGCTGTTGTTTCCTTCGTGCTGTGTATTGTTGTATCCTGTGTAATTCCTGGTTGTCCTGTGCTGCTTGTCTATCTCTTAGTGGAGCATCACCATTTTCTGGTTCTGCGTCCCGTAATTTCCGGCGCAGAGTTCTATAGTTCTACTGTTGCCTTGTCTTCGTCCTGTGTCTTTGTTGTTGTGTATTTGATTCCATGTGTCGATTCCTAGTAATCTATTGCTGCATCTCAATTCATCTTTTACTGCGACCTTGGCCTATTGACCTTTGTCCTAGGTTTACGGAACGTCAACCATAGCATACCATAACGTTGATGCTGCATAGGTCGGGCTCCTTTTATTTGTGTTTTATTCCTTTTTACTGCGTTCTTAGTTCCTTGTATCCTATGTTACTAGTTCCTTATTCTTCGTGTTGTATTATGGGTTCACTATAGTGTGTTTCTCGTGTAGCGTACTGTGTAACTAGTTTCGTGTGCTGAGTACTATCTAACTGGTTGCTAGTGTTGTATCCTGTATAACTGGTTCCGTGTGCTTTGTACTATATAACTGGTTGCTAGTGTTGTATCCTGTATAACTGGTTCCGTGTGCTTTGTACTATATAACTGGTTGCTAGTGTTGTATCCTGTGTAACTGGTTTCGTGTGTTATGTACTATCTAACTGGTTGCTAGTGTTGTATCCTGTGTAACTGGTTCCGTGTGCTGAGTACTATCTAACTGGTTGCTAGTGTTGTATCTTGTGTAACTGGTTCCGTGTGCTGAGTACTATCTAACTGGTTGCTAGTGTTGTATCGTGTGTAACTGGTTGCTAGTGTTGTATCGTGTGTAACTGGTTGCTAGTGTTGTATCCTGTGTAACTGGTTGCTAGTGTTGTATCCTGTGTAACTGGTTCCGTGTGCTGAGTACTATCTAACTGATTGCCATTGTTGTATCCTGTGTAACTGGTTCCGTGTGCCGAGTACTATCTAACTGGTTGCTAGTGTTGTATCGTGTGTAACTGGTTCGTTGTGTTATGTGCTTTGTAATTGGGTCTATATTTAGTGTACTATGTAACTTGTTGTTTGTGCTGTGCACTTTGTTACTAGTTCCTTATACTGTGTACCAAATAACTGGTTCCTCGTGTCCTATGTCAAATTTGAGGATTTAAGTCCAGTATCCCTGGTTTAGACCTATATCCCTAGTCTGAAGTCTTAGTCTATCAGTTCCTTGTGTTTCGTCCTATGTCCCTGGTTTAGACCTATGTCCCTAGTTTAGACATATGTCCCTGGTTTAGACCTATATCCCTAGTCTGAAGTCTTAGTCTATCAGTTCCTTGTGTTTCGTCCTGTGTCCCTGGTTGCGTCCAATGTCCTTGATTTAGACCTATGTCCCTAGTTTAGACATATGTCCCTGATTTAGACTTATATCCCTAGTCTGAAGTCTTAGTCTATCAGTTCCTTGTGTTTCGTCTTGTGTCCCTGGTTTCGTACTATGTCCCTGGTCTGAAGTCGCTTCAATCTTTGTCTGATTGTTTTTTTTTGTTTTGGTTTTTGTTTTTGTTTTTGTTTGTATCAAACTGGTATACTAATGTTGAAATTGTATCTATTTTCGATGGTTATAAAATGCATGTTTTCTTTTTTTTATTCCAGATGTATTGAAGATATATAAACATATCCTAGAATAACATCTATTATGTGATAACGTGGGTCTGAATTCGATACCATTTCTGCCACTTTTAATTCACCATTAGCTCTCATGAAACCTGTTTCAAACATTTCATGTGAAAAGGCAACTCCTATTAAATTCAGAGTTTCATAAATATTGAAATTCATTCAAATCAACACAGAGTTCGAAGTCTAAAGAAGCAGTACCAGGTTACTATTTACATCATGAACGATATGAATTTATGGGGACGTAAAAAATAAGAAATAAATAGGTTTTAAGCATATTAAAAGGGTTAAATTTGAAATGACTCCTGATACGATTTGCTGTAAGAACACGGATCTCGTGAAGACGACTTCAGCAACATAGCTTACACACAATAAAATCCAAGATACTAAACTAGATCACCAGCATAAAAAACAGAAACCTTTTGTCGTCTATATATGCGCCACCTATAATACCAGAATTACTCGAGAGCGAAATTACGTTTAATTCTCAATAAATACATATGGATGGCTTTGTCTGTCGTCTCTAACTAAATTATAGAGATCCTAAAAATCCAGATAAGGCCAGAAGTCCGTAATTGGCGTTGAATTTCTAGAGAAACGATGCATTGATTTGAAATACAGACGAGCAGTGTTATTCCTGGTATTAACGGATTTTACGACCCCGTAGCACTAAATCCTTCAGACGACTAATTGTATAGATCGGCGAGTAGTGGAGAGCAAGTGGCCCTTGCGCATCAACGATCATATCATACTGAAACCTTACATACGTTCATTGACAGTTCAATTTAATGGGACATTTCATCGATTTACCATTCCACAAGTTTTTTTTTTTCAAGCATTCAAGTCTCAACGAGAATAGCAATTCTTTTTCTTGTAAATATCAGCTTCTGAATGTCTCAGTCAAAACATTAAACAATGTGAATTGTGTTACTCTGACTGATCGTAATCAAATTAGTTAGTGCCGTCAAAAAAGATCGAAGACCCTGGTATTACTACATGCCCGAGAGCGACTTGAAGGAAACCTGCGACCTGACCCCGCTTACCGCTCAGGGTGTAATTGGACCCACAACGAGAGGAGTTTGTCGTTTTTACCGAATGTCGATCTAGCCACACATCCCTCCCCCTCCTCGCCTACAAATGATTAAAACATATCACGGATACATGCCAGTCCAGGCCCACTTATAAAAAGTTCCTGGGTTCCTATGAGTGATATTACATTATGCCAAAGCAAAGGTTTATCTCTCCGAAGCCAAAGGTCATCTGCCCATGTTCAGTTGTAAAATATATACATTTAAAGTGAGCAACATGGAAAACTGGAAAACATATAATCCAATCAGGTCACAGCAGTCTCGTTAAATATGCGCAGAATTTGCCGACAATCAAACTTGTGTAAAAAGTGTACCAACCAAGTTTCATTAAAATCCTACCAGTCCTTAAAAGACATCATGCGAAAAGCAGCATCCGAGAGAGATTAAAGAAATCAGCCAATCAGGTCACAGCAGCCGCATTAAATATGTGCGGGATTTGCTGCTCATCAATTAATTAGCTGACCCATGCTATTTTCGGGTCAATTGTCTGCATCTATAGGCACGATGTATTACATTTTACGGGTCATCTGACCAAAAATATAGGTCATTCTAAGGTTTTGAGTCTGATGACCTTAAAAGAGAGCGATTGAGGAGATACTGAACGCACAGGCACCATTGCCCAACCGCAATAAGGAAACAGTTTTCTGTCTATAATGTTTAAGACAGATAAAGTGAAAACTCAAGGGTTTCATTCTGAATATGCAGTGTGTAATGTCACTGTAAAGTATACTTAAAACATTATATATCCATGAATCATCTATCTTCACTTGCTTGCCCATATTTAATTTTCAAATCCTACCGCTTTTCATCTACATCGAGTACTTTTGTTGGTACCTGTTCCCAGGTCCGATAAGATAACTCTACCCAGGAAAGACAACTCTGTTTATCACAAAGACAGGTCCGATAACTCTACCCAGGAAAGACAACGTTCGCGTAGTTCCGGAAATCGTCATGTGGATATGAAGGCTTATGATTATTGAATAATACGCCTGTACTTTAATATCAACACAAACAAAAATTTACAGCAATTTGAATTTATTTTCAATAAAATAAATTAGAGGATGATTATTCTGTGCAATTTTAATCACACTGTTAAAATTTTTCATACCATTTTCATTATCAATCTTCATGCCGTTGTTTAACTGAAACACAAGCATTTCCCATCAGTTATCTTATTTATTTATTTAAATTTGTCTCTAATGGGCATATCAAACATTTTGTAATATAAATTGATTGTTTTAAAAACAAATCATGAAAAATTTGACTACTGAAAATAACCAGCTCTGAGGTATTATAAGAAAGTTGTTGAATTTTGACTCAGACTGGGGCAATGTTCACAGAGATTGGGTTACTTTGTCACATCACTACATCAGGAAGTTGTAGTATGAATGGCGATGGGTTCTTAATACATGATCAGTAACTAAATACACTGAGTAAGTACCAAACGCTTTCAATTGTCTTTTTATTGTATTAAATTTTTTGTTAAATTACTTATTGTTTAATTAATACCATTCCAAGCCATTTCAAGCCTGTTATTTTTCATTTACCTGTAGATGAACATAAAATTTACATAGGGAATTAAACTTGAACTCTGCCTTTACAAGGACACCAGGTAATTTCTAAACTTTACAGATAACCATCTTAGCACTTTGACATCTATTGATTGGTTCCAAGGGTTTGCAAAAATATTTAGACACATTTCATCATGTGTAGTGATGATATACTGAGTGAGCTCATTGGTTTGTATTATCAGCCCAGCACAAAAACTTAGACACATTTCATCAGATGTAGAGATAATGTACTGAGTACACCATTACAACCTGTAGTGATTAATGATAGGAAAAAGCGAGATAAATATAATCAAGTCACTTTTGTTGGATGCAAACAGAGAAAACTCAATCCCTGGAACCATTATTTCGCAGTCTAGCTCTTAGCAAAGTTTCCATTTGTCCTCTCCTGTCAGAATTTCATTAACTTTATTTCAGGCTTAGCGTTTGAAACTTTTTTTACGAACTGCAGTCCTTCTAGGTCAACTTAAGTAATATTTCATGAAATGTATCTTCTTGTACTTATTGACGATGATGCACATCGTCTTTCCTTTAATTTTATCTTAGTGACACCTTTTTCAGATTTTTAAGCCGTCGCTCTTTAGTCTTATATGAAATAATGACCTGTTTCTTTACTCGAAGATAAAAAAATACATTTGAATTCATTTTTCTTCTTGAGATAATATTCTCTGTTCAGATGTTGACCTTGAGTCTATATGCCGAGACAACACGGTAAGTATTGTATCAGCTGTTAACACTTTTAATGCCCACCACCATCACTGTCACATTGTCCGAACTCAGTCTTAACACCGCAGTATTAGCTAATTTGTTAACGACACTGTCTAATTGAACTTCCGAGGCTGTCTGTGTATCTGTGCCTTGTATACTTGAATCCTGAAACAGATGACAAATTCTCCATTGAAATTCGCTAACGGAGTATTGCTGAATCCATCTATGTCCCCTACTGGTTCCCACAAGCTATCACACTGTAATCATTTATAAATTTTCAAACATTATAGTGACCTTAAATCAATAATCATGAATTTGAACTTGTTCAAGATAAATTAATTCATTATAAGTGTGTGAAGTTTGATAAGAATTCCTTCCAAATGATTTTCTAGAAATAGTAACAGTGACCTTGACCCAACAACTTGAAACTCAAAATTGTCCAGGATATTTAGGATTTTGGTAACTATGCGAGGTTTGATGATAATTCCCCACAATTGAATGAAGTTTCTAGATTGCTGACAAACTCTCACAGATGCAGGGACAAAGAAAAAAAACTTCTGAAATAATAACACATTAAGAAATAGTTCAAGGACATTCAACAGAGAGAAAATAACCGATGATGTATGCTAACCTTTCGATTGAGACAGGTCAGATTAACTTTTATGGAAAATTGATTTTACCTCTAAAATGCTGTTTGTAAATTGTATACATTCCTCTGGTGTAAAGGCTTTCCATAATCCATCGCAGGCAATTAGGAGGTACCTGCGACAATAAATCAGATTTAGTTGTATCACCACAGCACACAGCAATGTAAAACAACTATAACAATTTCACCTCAAAATTCACTTAAATTTAATGACAAAGTATCGTTTAACTCCAGCAATAACCCCATGTCTGGTAATAAGCCCATCCATATATAATGCTATCTAGAAGAAAAACAAACAAATGACATTTCAATGTCCCACAATAACCTATACCCCGACTTTGATTAGGAACTCTTATGGAGGCCCCTTGGCTTATTGTCCTGTAATAACCCTACCCTCTACCTTTGATTAATCAATTTTTTATGTTTGCGCGATAAGCTTATTATCCTGTAAAACCTCTAACCCCTGACTGTGATTAACAAATTTGTATGTTGACCCCATGGATTTATTGTCTTATAATAAGCCCACTCCTGACTTTGTTTCAGAATTTTTACGTTTCTTTTTGTTCAGTAACTAAATACCTGTCGTTATGTGTGAGCTGACATTTCTTCATATCCGGTAAACAAGATACACCATGTTTCTTGTACTGGCCATCACCAATAGAGCGTGACACGTCCAAGACTCCCATTACTCGACCCTCCCTATCAACAAGACATCAGGAAAGAAGGTGTCAAAACAGAAACATATTGATTAAACAATGAACACCAAGCCTTCCTGAAAAATTCAACCTTATCCTAAACCAACTGGATTACACTCAAGAATGCTAAATAACACCAAACTTTTAAATTATTTATGGGTATTTCTAAAACTTTCTTAAAAGCTCGAAAAAAAAACTAAATCAAAATTCTATTTTTGCAATGATTAGAATGACGCTGAAACGTTATGAAACAACCAGGTCTTCACTAATTATCTGATACATGTCTCTACATATCATGAAATACATGTCTCTACTTATCATAAAACACATGTCTCTACACATCAAACACATGTCTACTAACTATCAGACTTGTGCCTCTACATGTCATCAGAAAAGTGACAAAGTCTACATTTTGACCAGTTATAAAATTAGTGGCCTCCATTAATGATATGCTCAGCACTCTTTTATACACTATACTATATTATACTGACACACCACTTGAGAAAGTAGTAATGGGTAGTTAACTGTAGCAAGTTTTATAGGTAAATGGTTTGGACTACACAGCTTTCTGTACATCAGAAATTATTGACAAAATATGTGGATGAAAAAAAGAAGGATGCATGATTACATGGTATACTGATTATGTATAACTTTTGTGGAAATCAATCAAATAGTTTAGAAATTAATTGAAATAAGAATATACAAATAACAGACAGACAAACGGACAGACAGAGAGGCTAATTCCATCCTCTCTCAAACATTAAAGTAGTTGGCATGCAATTAGTTGAAGAAAACTGTAATAGAAAATATAGCTTTCATCAATAATATTTTATCACCATAAAACAGATAATGTTCCCACTTCAACTGCTGTGTATTGCATAGACCCGTACTAAGGGAGGTAACCCAATCTTACTTAACAGAACCACCAGCTTTCTGGATCCTGATTCTCTCCTCATATGCCGATGGGTTGTGGACAGTGGTTAGATGTATAGGTACATGTTTGTCCTCTTTCTGACGACACAGGAACACCTGATCATTAACATATCAAAGTCACTTTAATAAAAATATTTGAAGTATTTAGGTCATGATTTTGGGTCTAATATATCATTATCTAAACAGCACTACCACTGATATGGTGCCACTCCAAAATGTCCAGATGCCTATTATTAGGCAGTCAAAATTAGTTGTTATGCATAAGTGAGAAATTTAATGAGGTGACAGGTCATGTGGTACATGTTGTGTCAAAGTGTGACTTTGACTGAACATGTCTAATATATAAACAATGGTGTAGAAGGCAGACATTTTTCATATGATCTTGTTTTTACACAATACACACAGGTTCCTTTCATCCTCAAAATACATTACATGCATTATTGCATCATGTAAGACAGAATTATGAAATTGTGGCCAAATTCTTTAATGTACTGTTTTATTGTAAGATTATTTTCCTGTATTTTGAAGATACAGGTCAATGGTCAAAGAAACTTTCAACAATTAAAGAGTAAAATTTCATAATCGTCTTTCCCTTATGCAAATGTTTTCTTTTTTTTTTTTATTCTTAACAACATTATCGTATGAAATATGTGTAAATTTACACATACATGTAGCTCACTTGCCAACAGACTATCAAAATCTTCTGACCCTGAACTGTTGGACAGGAGATTTCCTGTACAAACCACAGGAATTTGGCATGAATTCCCAACCTATGAACCACATCTATGCATTAAGTGACAAGGGTTTTAACACTAGGGAATGGAAAACTGAACATACATTTTTAAATCATGTTTTTTTTTATATTCTAATGTTCATAGATCTAAGTATCATATACATCACCATTAAGAGAAAAGTTTTCGCATTCAATGAGTTTTTGATGAATGAGATTGGCCAAGTTATTGACCAAGTTATCACAAATTTGAAAATATGCCTAGAAATAGTTAAGTAGACATTTTCCTATCTAATAACAAACCCTTGTCACTATAATACAGATAATGGACTATAGTAACGACATTGTGCCAAGTCCCGTTGGTACAAACTGAAACAGTTTATATACAGCAGTTTACAACAACATCTCTGAACCTTGATATTTTAAAAGTCAATATAGTTGAATAATCACAAGCTCATCAAACTGACATACTGCTAAATCTTTAATTTTGCTGTGTAAATTATTTTCATCAATTTCATTGGACTTCTTAATCTACGATCATATTTTTCTATGCAGTTGTATTTTTTTTAAACTTGAAAATTAAGCCCCACTAAAATATATGATTTTACAGTAAACAAGAATCATAAATCATTGTGGAAATGTAAACTAGTAAATTATATCAATTTAAGATGATCAATGAATGAGGAAAGCTCAGATTCAAAAATAGGATATGACATCATATATGATGTAAAAAAATCTTTTTTTTTTTTCAAAATTTTGGTACAATGCTACCTACTCCTACATATCTGAGCAGTAAAGGTTAAAAAGAACTGACCTGGCTGTCACCTAGGTTAGCAGTGTAGACTGTATCATTGACTATCAGAACAATGGAAACTGTGGTGCCATCCTTCCATGAGGGTTTACTGGAAACAATTTTTTCAATAAAGTAAAATATAAAAAGAAAAAAGAAATGTTAAATAATAAGGTTTATTTTAAGTAAAACATCTATCCCGCCCCCAAGACTCCTGGTTTTGCTTAGGGGTACCACTCACAGAATCAATTCAATTAATAATCTGCTTAGAAGCGTGAAACAGGAGTCTGAACCATTGAAAAAAAGGAATGAATTTTGGAGTCCTAAGATCTAGTACATGTGATTTTGGAATATCCCTCATAACCAAGTATAAAACTCAACAGTTTCAAAGACAAAGATGAAATATCTCATGCACTACAACTCTAATATTTAATTTGCAAAACTATCTTTTACCTTTTAGTGGCGAGCTTGAGAAATTCTTCATCCATCCTTTTACATGTTTCAACAAAGGCCTTTTTAATCTCTCTGTCAACCTGGGTTATGTCCCCTGTAGAAGAAAAAGGCATCTGACATTAGTTTACAACTTTCATAGTTCTTAGTTCTACAGTTAGTAGGCACTTTAGTAATGTGTGAAAAATATTTATCTGTTATTAGAACAATGCTATTATATAAACAGATACAACAGCTGATGAACCTTGGCCTAGCAGAGACACTATATATACGAAACTAGTATAAAAGAGATATTTGACAAAACATGATTTCAAACCTATATGTAAAACAGTCACAATTTTACAATTCAATGTTCACTGATTTAAAGGCATTTACTTATCTATTTATTATGAGTAAAATAAATTGTCTATTTACTAGAAAAACTTTTTAATAATATAAAAAATCTTTTATAAGTTAATTTATCTTTAATTTTAGTTCTTAACACTAAAAAAAAAAACTTTTTGCTTAAAAAAAATCTTCAAATTTCATTATATTATAGGGTATTTCTTTAATCATCAAAGTTTTAGAAACATTTTTCTTTTCTTATCATACTTTACCCTTAGGGAAATTATCTTGCAGAATTTTATGCAAATGCTGGGATGCAAACCTGGACGCCCTAGCACCACCATGGCCATCGAAGACAGCATACAGAGCTACACGCACACTGAAACACAAGCAAGGGAATGTGAAAACTCATATATACACTAAGGCCAACACAGACACTTTATAATGTATTATGTACATATTTATATATGCACTTTAGGTACACAAGAAGTCTGACAAACTCATTTCACAAACATCAACAAACGTCCAGAACTCTTAAAATATTCTGTACATTTAGGATTCAGTATTTTGACTCATTTTGGAAGAAAATTGATCAGCTGCATAGAAAGTTTTCAGGACTATATATTTTGGGAATTTGGTTATATCATAAAATAAATTCAATTTAGAATGGAACTAGTATTAAGCCCAACACAGTCTCCAGGAACGGTGTCTGTAAACACTACTATGACACCTACCCTGCAGAAATATATGGAATGTTGGTTTTTAACAGAGCAAAGAACAATAACAGTATATACTAGGTATTGCAATATACAGTCCCCTAATAACCTTTGTCATGAACAGGAACTATTACTTGTGAAGAATATATTTGCCAGAGATGAGTTAATGATACATGTGTTAAAATATAACCTGGCTAAATAAAATGGAAGTATTTAGATTTATTTCTCATTGTTACAGCCAGTTTTTTTTATTTATCAAAATCTACACTACATTCCATCATCAAAGTAAACAGGCCCTACTTGTATAAAACATCTCAACTTGAGATTTCCTCAAGTCGAGATTTTCCTCAGCTGATATCTCCTCAAAAACGGCTTGTATAAAATTTTCTCAAGGAACAGGAGGAAGTCATTGGCTAGGATGTCCTGAAATTCCTTGAGGGATTTTCATACAAGATTTTTTCAAGGAGATATTAGCTGAGGAAAATCTCCACTTGAGGAAATCTCAAGTTGAGATGTTTTATACAAGTGGGGCCAGGTACTTTATTATTTATGATATTTAGAATTCTATGTGAGAATATAAAGAGCGTAAACCATTACGTGTGTATTTCTGAGAACCAATTATCATTCAGGTGAGAATCAACACAAACCGTTTTTTTCCTTCTTTATTTTAAAACTCTCAGTTGATAATTGGAAAAATTTCACTTCACATATCCTTAAAACTACTCCAAATATCTAGATAAATGTCAAATACTTATAAGCTAGTTTCTGGGGAAACTTAACAGATATTGTCATTTTATTCTCAAATCCACAAGCATCAAACAAATGTAAGTGCTTTACAAGTGAAAAAACCACTTACATAGATGGATCAAGGTCATTGAATTCTGATGTAAATTCATCTATTATAACATGTGCATCTTGCATCTCATCTCTTTCACCACGTCTCTCCGCCACAAATCCCTTCAATCTGAACATGACTGAAGCATACACATATCGTTTCATATTTTAAAACTTTTTTGTCTAATAATACATGACACATCATTTTTAAGAAATATGAATCATAATTATAGCTATAAAAAGCATGTAAAGAAACCACAATGAAAACTTATTGAAATTATTCAACAATATATCAAAGATTAGGTACAACCTTTGGCACAAAGTGGAGGCAGGATTTTCAAAATGAAAAATAAAGTGTCTTTCTGGTGGTTTTATCAAAAGATTAAGCTGAGTGTGATGCCACTTTGATTCATCACTATATATAGGCAACTGAACATGTACCAATAGCAAAGACTTTTTAAATAGACAATTTCTATAGTTATGAGCTCAATACTGCCAGAAAATGAATTAAAACTATAAAACACAGTATTTGTTCCAAATTTGTGCTTATTAAGGGTATATGTAACCAGACTTACCAGAGGCTTTTGTCCTGCTAGCAGTCTTGTTCTGAAAAAGTACATCTTCTGTGTCTTTCCTCTTCTCCCCTCTTCCTTCTCCTTCATTGACCTTTCCCGGTGTTTGTGTCAACAAGTTATTACTTGTAGTCACAGCTGCTGTAAAACAGAAAAACCATGTGCATTGTATGTTAAATGGAAATCATATTCAAAAGTTTTAAGTTGTGAGAATGGAAATTACCTCCCTTTCTAATAAATCCAGTGAAATATGACTTTAATTAGAACTTTCCTTAAATGAAATCCATTAAAATTCAAGTTGTTTACTTATATATTCATCGTTTTTTGGAGCATGGATTACCAGGTAGTAGTAACTACAAATTCAATGAAAATATCCCCCTATGAAAATTAATGACATTTTCAGTAAAGTTTTAGTTTAATCAAGCTATAGTTGTTGAGACCCGATTGACTGTGATTTAACTGAAGCATTGTACTGAATGTGCTGAAGCATTTCTTTCTTTTAATATGGGGAGTTTAAGGTAGCCCATTCCCGTCAGATTTTATGGTATAAAACTCAATAATAGTTTTATTTTCATTATAAATTTACTCACACCACAGTAAACACATATGTCAACATATTAAGTTCATTAGCAGGGTCACATGTGGATACAAATTCATGACTTGCAGATCCAGATTTTGACATTTCTATAAGGAATTAATCATTTCTTTTTTTCATATAAATCCCTTATAAAACCTAAAAAATACATGCATATAAGGTCGCTATGAAATGCAAAATAAAGTTTTTATCAATAATGAAATAATTTTATATTTTGGTAACAAAAACCTAATTGCCAATTTTTATGCAAAATCTGGTCTGTTTAACCTGCAAATTATCTCCAAAAACCCACATTGTCTCCTTCATTTTATGGCTTTTGTGGCAACCCTTCCTTTCAATTTCTATTTAGATTGTGACATCAATTTATTGAAATAAATAAAATACATATCTCACCATACTTTTTTGTATCAAATTATGATTGATTATATGTTTGTAGTGTTCTGAGGATTCTGGATGTCTGCATTGCAACATGCAGAAGTGCCAAAATGGCCTGACCAGCCTCAGGCTTTTCTTTAACTAATACTTTTCACAATTGCTATTTAGAATCTGACTTAAATTCATAAATAAACAAAAAATCTGCATTGTATATTACATCTGGTTTTATTTCTTTTTCAACTTGACTGTTTACACTGTATCAATACTGATATTCATGATTGTCAGTGTTAAAACAAACAGCAAGAAGTTTATCATACCAATTTCCATCTTTTTTATCGCTACTTATCAACCAACGTGTCACTCTGCCATTACTTGAACTTAGATTTTGACTTAACAAATTTGTTTTGTTTACAAAATTTTCCATCCTCATCCCTCATACCTACGCCAAATGTCAACATCAAAATCGGATATAGGAAGCATGTAATATGAAAAGAAATGGAATACTGGGCTCTGAAAAGACATATATTACATAATCTATCAGAATGTTTCAACACTTGTATTGTACATGCATAAAGTGGCAGCTGCAATGTGCATTAAACCTATGTACAAGTAGCCAAATGGTGTGTGATCGTTTAGAAACAGAATGCTAGAAAATTTTGTGAGGCATTTAAAATGATAAAATTTAATTTGCCGTCCTTGCACAACTTATTTTAACACGGGATTGTTAGGCTGGACATCTACTTTCTGTGCTAGGTACAAAGGGTACGACGAAGGGTGTTTAGCTTCGGTATATAGACACGACAATCAACCGTACGGTCACATATCGCACCAAACCTATTTATCAGAAATGCCCATATCTATCGCGGCAGTCACAGTATCCAGTTTTTGACCCCCAACGAATCGGCAATTATTCAATGGATAACAATAAATTTGACTGATCCAACTTGCACTCTTATGTTAATGATACAAAATAACACGTGGAATGCCCGTGTTTACATCATTACAATACTTACATGGTTCTGGTAGATCACCAAACAAGTCCATTTCCCTCGCTTCTTGCTTTTATTGTAACCGGAACTGACATACGGAGCTATAAATTACGAGTAGGAAAATAATTTTTCCGGATATATGCTTATTAACAAAAGTTTTGACGTCTCTTGGTCAGCACATATAGATAATTTGAAATCAATTTGATATTGTAAATCCCGACAGAAAAGGGTTTTTTCGTTGATATTTCGTGAACGCACACGTCGTAAATTTTGTTTTCTACTACGGACAAATATGTTTCTTGACTTACGAAATTCAGCCGAGCCTTCAGTAGGGGCATAACTTTTTTTAGTAAACCAAATATCTTTTATGATTTATCATTTTCTTCATTTTTAGTGTTTGAAAAACAAACTGTATACCAAAATAAATTTTCCTAACAAACGTAGTAGTTTTCAATTAATTTCTATAAAAAAAAAAATCAGTTTGACCAAACTATAGGATCATATTACTAACCGTCAGAATTTTGAATATCTTCACGTTATTTGTCTGAGGTATTTGCGAAGACACCGAGTAAAGGAGAAGAAGGTGAATAAATAAACAGAATGTTTTACCAGACTTTATAATCGACATACAATTTTCCGATCGGAGATTTAGGTTATCCGCCGGTGGGTCATACTACTGATTTAATTTTTTTCAATAAATACAAACTGCATGTCGTTAGCTGAATATGATATTTTCAGAGTCACCGTTCATTTATATTCTGGAGACAGTTGCGCAGTGGTTTGTTGGTAGAGTGGACCTCTGGTGCACAACATGATTTCGGAGACTTTGGATGAAAGAGCATTACGCCCATTTGAGAGATGTGCATAACTGCAAGTTGACTTTCTACAGACACAAAATTATCATGTGTCCTGGAGGTCGTCCTATAAAAGGAATTATTTTGTAGCTGAACGCAAGTTTTATTGGTCATATAAATGTGTAAAGAGTAGTAAAAATATATGAAACATATTACATCAGAAAGGGGAAAAAAGTTGGAATAAAAAAAACTTCGCGTTACTCCTGAACACGGAAACTATAAAAAAAAAAGTTAGAAACGTCGGCTTAAAATTGTGTTGACGAAAATTAGCAATATCAGCATGCGTGGTGCAAGTACTATTTTCATCTCTTTTTTCATTTCTCAGATATCGATTTTGATGAGTTTGAAATGCCTTACAATACATTCTTATATGTCTATACATAAAAGGATACACACAGGAGTTTTCAGTTGATATGAAATTTTATGAAACGAGCCTGATAAATTTTCATTGTTGCAAGCTTTTGTGAGCAAATATTAAATCTCCGAGACGAGATTTATATAAAGCATGAAAATGAAACAAATTTAAGATACTGTTTCTTACATATCTGCAAAAAATTACAGTTTGACAGATTTTGAAGTAAAAACTTGGACAACAAAAATGGAATAGAGGAAGCCATTTTGTTGCGCCGTTCTGAATTCATGACGTAACGTCATTGTTTATATAAGGACATTGCAATCAATTTTCTAACTGACACATCCAGGGCTCAATACACTATTGTTATCATTACATGGGGAATTCACTGCATTACAGTCGGATGTGTGATAAATGTCTTTACAATTGTAGAATGCTAAATTAGATTGAAGGATCATTTGATGTGTTTTATGTACTTAGTTTTGTTTATTTCCTGTTTTAAGAACACCATAGACACACGTCTATGTAGTGTACATAGCTAACCTTCCTGGCAACGTTATAAGCCTATCTAAACACCCGAGGTATACTGTGCCTAAGATATCCTCTCTCTCCCAGTAGTGTCGCCGTGTACTCACACGCACTAAGAAGACTTACAGCTACGGTAAGTTTGAAAAAAAAAACCGACCTACATTGACTTATAAACCATGGACAATAGACCCATTCTTTTGGTTCAAAACATACGATTTCTGCAAAATGTCGATTTCGTTTTGCATAATTGTTTATTGTTAGTTAAGTAATATTTGGCGGGACTTTACTTATGGGTTTGACTATAAGAAACTGTGGAATTCGATATATATTTGCAGATCTAAACCGTAGAACTTGGTAAAATATCTTGGAGCAAATCAGCATTGATTTCCTAACAAGACTTTTTCCAGATGAGAAAGCGGCGCTTAAGAATGACTTGGTGACATAGTTACTTTTATATATATCTATACTCCTACATCATATTGATTTCATTTTTATTTTATGTGGTCCATTAGTTGGCAGAATCAATTGTGATATGGAAACTGTAAAAATGTCAAAGGTAAACTATTATGTCGATACTCTGTGTGATACTGTGCTTCTGAAATCAACAAAGGTCAAAGGTCAAGCATTAAAAAAACCCAAGAAAATAACGCTATTTTAGCAAAATGAAAATTCTTGATCAAATTCAATAAGCCAAGAACAAAATCTGAATAAGATTGAAAAATGTAAATTTAAGCAAGAAATACTTTTGGTCTGTCCATGTAAGTATTGTTACGTTCTCCAATGAGAACCAAGTTTGAAACAAAATTGCCTTAAGGCATGCTATTAACCTCTTTTATCATAAGTAATCAGAATGTTTGCCAAGGAGATCATTATTGAGACCATGAAACTGTCCAATCGTCTTCACCAATCTACATCTATGGTAAAAAAAAACCTAATTGTGTTTCAGGCAAGCGACCGAAGTTCAATTTCTCGTGGGTATATTATCTGATGTATTTGATGATTTAATTTGATTCTGTCCCTAATTCCCTAACTTGTTTCCATATACTAATATTGCTACTATGGCAGCTGAACTATGTGATACACAGGCTAAGGAAACACGAACCCAGTATGTTCTACTCACAGTATGGTTGCTGTGATGTGTGCAATCAAGCTTGAACATCAGATGACACTCCCATACAGGGATTCTTAACTCACGGTCCATACATACGTAATAAATTGACTGAAATACACATATATGGACCGTGGGTCGAGAAGTCGTAACAAATTCCTGTGTTTTCCCCCCGACATGGGTTCAAAACATGTTGTACGAAGCTGATGTCTGTTGGGTTTATGGTTTCTCAACCGGTGGCAGTTTGTTCCCACCCCCGCAACCCTTTGACTTTTTTCTTACATTCAATTGTTGATTGCTGAACTTGTAGACGATGTAATTTTTTCAGATATTGCTTATGGCGGATAAAGCTCAAGCACGCGGCGGACGTCGGACAGTTATACTCGTCGCTGTTTTTGTGGCGCTTGTATGTGTTGCGGTCGGAATGATCGTATGGGCAACAACGAGAAAAAGTAACGAAAAAGACGATTCGGCTGAAGAGTTGTCATGGAAGGTTGGTAATGCTGATCTTCGGAGAAATACCCAAACATATTATCTCTTCAATGGACTGAGTGTGAAATTCAACGGACAACTTGGCGTGAATCAGTCACTTGGAATACCTCGGGACTGTACACAAGATGTAAAGATGGACTTGTGCCTCGACTGGGACAAAGACCGGAAGCTCGAAATAGTACACAGTCAGACAGGAGAAGTTTCTTGTTACGATATTGAATGGACAGCGAAAATGTGCCCCGGTCAGATTCTAAAGGATTGTTATGATATAGGCGCGAGTCACTGGTACGGAGGCTACGAAGATTATCACCAATACTGGCCTCTCGAACGGACAACTCGGGAAACCTCGGCTTACGTCCCTACAGACACATACATGGATAAGATTGGTGATGTCGTCGACAGGTATTTCATCTCAACAGACGGTATTGGGATATTTATCGAGAAGGACGTTCCTTTGTTCATCAGTATCAATGAAACACACGACAAGAGAATTTGTCTGACGTCAACCTATAACGGAATTTACCCATATGTTAACACTCAAGGGAAATTACCATTCCTCAAATACCATGTCTGCCAGGCCCTAAATGTTCGCACGATTCATGATTACATGTCTAATAGGTTTCGAAGCAAACCTTTGGATATTCCTGATGAACAAATCTTCAAGTATCCTATATGGTCAACTTGGGCACAATATCATACCGACATTAATCAAACGACAACTCTACAATTTGCTGATGACATCCTCAACAACAACCTTTCTCACTCACAATTAGAAATCGACGATAACTGGACACCTAAATACGGCGATATGACCTTTGACATGTCGAAATTTCCAGACGCTAGAGGCATGATGGAAGACCTCACAAACAAAGGTTTCCGGGTAACGATATGGATTCATCCATTTTTTAATATTGATTCTGAAAATTTCAAAATTGGGGCATTAAAGAAATATTTTCTCCGTCAGGTGGGGAGCGACCTTCCGGCTCTGGTGTCTTGGTGGCGGGGAAATGCTGCCGCTGTGCTTGATGTTTCGAATCCTGAAGCCGTTGTTTGGTTCTTAGGATTTCTCAACCAATTACAGACCGAGTACAATATAAGTTCATTTAAATTTGACGGCGGCAATGGTAACGCGATTCCTAAAGTGTTTGTTTTTCAGAATAACGACAGCAATCCTTATGTATATGCCGAATTGTGGTCGCGTCTAGCGTATCAGTCCGACACCATTGTTCGGCACCAAGAAGTACGTGTTGGGGCGAGTACACAGGATCTTCCAATGTTTGTTAGGGTATTGGATCTCACTTCTTCTTGGGGTCGGAACAACGGTCTAGAAAAGCTTATCCCGGTTGCTATGACGTTCGGTCTTCTTGGATATCCATATGTTTTACCAGATATGATCGGTGGAAATGGATACATTGGACTTCCGGATCGGGAATTGTATATCCGATGGCTTCAAGCCAACACATTCCTTCCTGCCATGCAGTTTTCGATCGGTCCTTGGCTATTTGACGAAGCAGTTGTTAATATTTCTCGTGAATATATTGACCTACATTCAAAGTACGCTGAAGTCTTTATCAGTCTTGCACGTGAAGCTACAAGAACCGGTGCCCCAATTATCAGACCGTTATGGTGGGTTGCACCTGGTGACGAGAACGCACAAACAATAGACTCCGAGTTTCTTCTTGGCAACGATATTCTTGTCGCTCCCATTTTGAAGAAAGGGGCCCGCCATAGGGATATCTATCTGGTTGAAGGGGCGTGGCAGGATATGCTAAGGGGCTCGGTCTTGCAGCAAGGTTGGATACGAGATTACGCTGCAGACATACACGAGCTGCCGTACTTTATTAGATTAAATGGTTCCGTTGCCACCAGTTAAGAACTGAATCCATACTTTTCTTTAAAAAAAAGCATTACTACAGATAACGGACAATCAATATTTCTAAAATGATGTATAATATATACTCTGAACAACTTATTGACAGAACCTCTGGAAACTGACATAGGTGTGGACTGATGGTCCATTCAAACCAAGGATATGGAATTAATAGTAGAACTGAGACTTTGGTCTGATTCCAAATTCCTCGTCCATGTGTAGCCTTTCTTTTTTTCCTACATCTGAATAAAATCATCTTTTCCTACTAGATGGACTTAGATTGGATCGCATTAAGGACCTTTATCATTATATTCCTTCATGTCAACAAAAGAAGCATGATGCGATTGAAAAAGGAACGCAAATAACCATGGATGGAAGACCAATTCTATTGGGGCACTGACCTCGATGTCACTGCCACCAAATCCCATCACTTCCCAGAGAGATACAATGTATATAGCTTATGACCTCCTCTAAGACAGCAACGGTCCAACCACTTCCCTGTGAAATATACAATGTATCTGGTGACCCCCACCACAACAGTCCAACCAATTACCTGGAAAATATAGCTAATGACTCCAGCATAACGACAATTCAACCACTTCCCTGAGAAATGTTGCTTTTGATTCCAAGTATATCAACATCTTATACAAAAGGCTCAGGGGCTGTAACACTCACCTGGATCTTAAAGCTCAACAATGGTACACATGCCTATAGGTTGGGTATCTCAAATATTTCCAAATCAAAGCTCAGTCACATTATATCTTTTGATGCCCAGTAAGAGTTTATATGGTTATTGGGTTTGTATCTCAGTTATGTCAAAAATGTTACCCAGAAATAATGTCTCTAGAGGTGTGCCACACTCGAGGGTTAATTCTTTCATAACAAAGGTGTTTATCTCTTAATGCCAGTAATGTTATATATGGTTATGGGGTGGGGACCTCAACTGTTTCAAAGACAAAACATTTCCCCTATTAAGCCCTTCCCCTCCTGCTTTAGGGGGCCAAGACTCATAATTTATACAACATTGATTTTCCTTCATATGCTACAAACCAGATTTAAGCAAAATCATTCCTACACGCGGAGTAGGATTTTAAAGAATTCTATTCTATTCTATTTCCCTTACTGCGCCCGCACCTCCTACCTCAGGAGTCCGAAACTGACAATTTATATAAAAAAAAATTGTTTCCCCTTTACCGAAACATCCTTCACACCACATTTGGACAAAACCGAATCATTTCTGCAGGAGTAGGATTTAAAGAATTTGCTCTATTTCCCGTATTAGGCCCTGCCCCTCCTGCCCCAAGGGGTCGATAACCACTGTCTATAGACAATTGATTCCCTGTTACCCAAACATCCTTCAGACAAAAATTGGGCAAAATCCAATCATCCTTACAGGTGGAGTAGGATCTTGAAGGACTTGCCAAATTTCGCCTTTTTGACCCTACATCTCAGGCCCCGGGGGAGAAGGGGGAGTGGGATACACTATTTCTACAAAAAAATCCCTAGGGTCGCTTCTGACCAAATTTGGCCAAAACCTCCAAAGTCGTTCATGCCTGGTGGTATATTCTAGAAAAAGTTGACTGACGACAGACGATCGACGATGGACGCCGCAGTATCTCTATAATTCACTTGGCTCTTTGGTTCAGGTGAGCTAACAATGAACATACTTTCGGCATGAACATCTTACCTTCTACTATCAATTACATACTGTTCGTAAGGCTTAATTTCAAGGAAGCCCCACCTCCGGACCGCCGACCCCACCACGACAATGGAAAATGTAATAGTATTTTTGTTATTGTTGATGATTTCTTCACTTTCTTGTAAAACAAAACAATAAGACTGCCTCAGTTTATTTCATTTTATTTCATTTTTTAAATGTATAACAGGTGTCTAATATTTGAGCGATAATAAAACTTAAAAGAAACTTCTCAATAATTAAATATTCTTTTAAATAATTGACAATTAGCAAAGATAACGCAATGAAAGTAGTGAGTTTTTCGTCAAATCAAAACATCATTTCCCCTACAAATCAGCACACACTTAAGTCAGTTGGTACTTATCCCCCAATCTAAGTTTTTTGAAGGAAGTGGTAGATCGAGACTGATTTTTACGCATTTTAATTTTGTTTTAAACATTCGAAAAAAAATCTATATCAAGAAAATATAGTAAGGAAATTAAAAAATCAGCATTACTTGGATACAATGATTTTATGAATTAAAGATAGAGAGACGAAAGACAGGCAAAGATATATAAAAGAGTCGGTATGGGCTGGAAGGAAGGTCTGAAAATTGGATTGATTAAATTCTTAAAGTATACATGTGTGTCTTTTCATCAAAAGAACTGGGTTTTTTTCAATTGAAACATATCATCGATCGTAAATATATCTTTATTGGAATCCCCTATTTCTGAACCAAAATTTATTATATGTAATATTTTCTTAGTATGAATGCACTATTTCTATTATTCTAATATTTGACATTACTATCTTAAGTTCTTAAGATATCATACTAACGGTTGAATCTATAAATATACAAAAATACCCTCTGATTGGAATAAAATATAAAATATCTTTAAAACATTGCTATAACGCCCATCACTCTAATTAGCACTTGTTAAACGCCAAGAATGATATCAGTAAAGACTCGGTTGTAGGTATTTGACACGGAATAATGAGAGATTCAATATTTCGACAAAAAGTCTACATTGACCCATGATCCTGTGACCAGAATCGTAAGTCACAATAAAGATATCTTTTGTAAATAATGGGAAAAAACATTCTGATAAAAGTTACAAAAGGGCAGATACACGTTTAATAATACAATGAGATCAGTGCATATAAAGACTAGCGTTTTGTTGGAATAGAGCAAATTAAAGTTCATAAACAGGATAACCTCGAGCGTGATTTAAGGAAGAGTCGACGTCAAGTAATTTTGATAATATAGGATATGCAGCGTAATATAAGACAGCACACTTCAAAGGTAAACAAAAAGTGGTTTGTCAAAAGACTCGAGGAAATGTGTGGCTGGTATAGAATTTTATATTTCAATTGATGGCAAAAACTCTTAAATAATATCAGAAAACGAGAAGCATTTAATCGATTTTAAATTTACACTGTTTGAAATATATTATATAAGACTAGCTCTTACATATTAAGTAAATGACACCTTTTATTAAAGAGATTTGACACATTAACGTTTGGTTCTAAAAGAATTTCGATTACGAAAGAAAAACGAGAAAGTTTGAAACTTAAAATTTCATAAAGCAAAATCTAATTTTAAAAGCTTGATATATGATATAAGACATTTTATGAACATGGTAGTGAGATTCTAATTTGAATAAATTGATAGTCAGTTGTAAAATGGTTTTACAGATATAAAACGTACCTGACCACATGCGCACACACTCCCACACTCTTATCCACCAAGAGCACGTTTTGATGCACAAATTTTGTCCAGTACGTTCATATATTATCCTCTTTTATATTATCACACAAAAACATAAAGATAAATCGATGTCATTTTGTAATTCCACGTTTTGATTGGTAAGTATGGCAGTTTGAGTAATTATCAATGAAAAATTCCATTATAAATCTCAAAAATATTACAATCTGTGGTTAGATAATAGGGATTAACTTTACTATTTTTATGTTACATGTCCATAAGACAAAAAAATTCAGAGTGTGCTATTGGCATATTTTTTAGATTTAACAACGTTTTTGTCGTATGGATTGATGACATAAGAAATAATTAAAATTAATCCTAAACACGTGTAAATTTATAATTTCCCTGGAAAATAGGTGGCAATATATCACCTCATATAGCACTTTGTGAAACATTAACACACAAAATAAATGTATGTGAAAACACGAAGGTGTTGGAATAGCACTAAATGGCAGCAGTATCATTAAAAACATGTTAATAACAGCAAATTGTGCATGGTAAATAAGACCTCCGAAATACGTGTCTCTTACAACATTACCTATTTACCCAAAAATTGTGTGGTTTGCATCAGTGAATTAATAATAAGAAGGAAATGTAAACGTTTTGACGACCACGTTTTAAGCTTATCATCACCATATTTCAGTGTTTATAATGTGTGACTGAATAACATTGTATTTAAAGACATTATCTCAAGTGAATATTATCTTTAATGACTTACTTAAGCTATTGATTCACGAAGAACAATTTAATTTACTCATGGTCTTTCCCGACAAATTACTCAAAAGTTAGAATATATTTTCCAGTTAAAAATGACAATCTTAAACTTTTATGGTATTTTAACTTACACATATTTTTCAGATTTTCAATTTTTTGTTTTCAAATATTTTTCAAAGCTTGCATGTATGGATTGATTAGATCGAAATATTGTAAAGCAAAAGACCATCAGAAGGAGTAATGATATGGTAGATTTGAAATGTCTTCTTCTTCAAGACATAAAATCTCACAGTTTCTTTTTCAATGTATCATTTGAACTCGAAAATCTCATGAAGGGATGTAGTAAAAAAATTAAATCGAACAATTAAACTTGAACAAATTAAATACAGAAAACAACATTAAAATAATAACACTATTCATACATTCACACACATATATAGTTAGAGACATATACAACCATGTAATTCACACCCGCACACAAAATACACTCAATCCACGTCTACGTGGATATATTAGCGTGGTTCCTATACACTCTTTGCATTTGAATGGAATTATTTAACTAAATAACACTTAGGAGTCACAGATTTTTGACGGAAAGATGCTTATAATATTTTTTTTTTATATCTCCTCCATCGTCTCATCGCCGCCCTCTCTGCCCATTCCCTATAAGATATTTTCTTCAAAAGCATTTTATTTGAGCTGTTATAAAATTATGTTACCTATTAACTACAGAAGGTACATTCTTTCTACTAACCCGCGATTTAGCTCTTTAATTTCTAACAAAGCCACCTTTATATAATATTACACTTATACTACATGGCTTGATGACTTCTTCATTTAAATGTTGCTTTACTTATATTTAAAAAATGATAAAAAGGTTTCTAAAATTTATTATATAGCTTTGGTATTTAACGTATCATAAAATTTTAGTTCAAAACGTATCATGCATGCATCCATGTATTCTTTTTTATATAACAATAACTATATTTGTCAAGCAAACATTCTTAAAATTGAGATTCGTTAACAAGATTCTGTTTACCCGTCGACATAAACATCATTCAAAAATGAGATTCAGTAACGATACTTTCTTTCCATGTCGTCATACAATCAAATCAATTTGAAATATTTTAATTAAATTTTCAGAACGACTGAAAAATGATCTGTAAAATCATATATACTGTTAAATACAACCTACATGTGTCCCTGATTTCCGTCGTTTACAATAGCTACATAAACATAAACGATTTTAATATTTGGCAGAGGAACTATTCAGTTGTAATTGAAAACCCGCTCAAAGCACATACTGATCTTCGTTCATAGAATCATATCATTATTATGGTGTACAATTTAAAGATAACAAACCTGAATTCAACCTAATAAATTTTATCATTGGTTAGGATAAAGGTTTTCATATATTTCTCCTGTATCACATCATGCCATACCCCATTACTGGTCCAAATTGCACTTGGAATACATCAACCTCAGTGATGTACGATATCAGAGTTTACTAAGTGTCGTTTCAGATCATCCTAAGGTATCGTAACAAGTCATCGCTTTATATTCTTGTTTAACTAATCAAACTTTGTTGCATCTATTTGGAAACATCTGTTTGATTGAAGAGTATGATTGTACACCACGCTATCTTAATACATTGCGTACACACAAAAATTGTCTGTGTACTGGAAAGTAACATCGATTGTCCACAATAATTTAATTTTTTTCTTCAGATTTTCGGTTCGCCAATGCCATCTACAAATAATTTTGCTCTGACATTGTTAGGACCAAAACGTATCTTGATTTTAACTCTGTTTCATTTTTGTCGATCACAGCCTCTAGATGGTTAACATATTTTACAAGGTTAACAAAACTTAGTAATGTTGACCTGTCGTAGTGGCGTTCTCTTACATACTTAAGTATTGTTTAGGATATTAATACCTCTTTTCTGTATCATACTTCTGGTTCGTTTGCTGTTGCAAATTAAAAATAACTTCCCTTTCTTAAGTTCCCTTATTTGTTTTGAACACAGAAAATAGAGGAGAGAAATCACATTCTACAAACATTTCCTAGTAAAAGTCTCATATTGGTTGCATAACGATGTCTGCTGTTAATGTCTGTCTTTGGCACTGCCAATCATCTCTGCAGTCCTCCGCAGGTTTCCATTTAGCCGTCGGTTTCAACGCCTCTCGTACTCGCTAAAACAATGAAATCAATCATTATTTCTAACATAAATTCGGTTATTCTTATTTATTATTATTTCATCTCGACGAGTTTCTTTTCATTAATAAAACATATGATAAAAAATATTCCAGGCATATATGATAATTATTTCAGTAAATAAATCCATATCAAACTAAAACTCAAACACAAATAAGACAGACACTTAAACCAGAAAGCATAAATGTAGATGAATTAATTCATTGCTATTTGAAGCACAATTGACGTAGGAAGACAAACCTTGGATTAACGATCTATTGCACTAAAGCTTAGCCAATACATTAATCATCAGTCATTTATATCAAACACACGTACATCCATTATGGAGCCTTCACCGTCCAATATAGTCCAGATGCCGCTAATTGGTATGGGAATTAGAGGGGCGATTGCTATCATCCATCCGATACCTATAGACCAACCAGGATAGGCATTTTTACCGTAGGAAACTGCTTCATGTTGTGAAACACTGACAAGCCACAGGGCCTACAAAACGAAAAAAATGGTTATATCAAATTGAGATATTGTGGTTTATTTCTGTGCACTCTAACTGCTTTCTTGCATATGCATTTGTAGTTGACACTAATACTTGTTCAAGCAGATTGCTCAAAACATACTTTCAGTGGAATTGTTTTGAAAAGGGTGCATCCGGTGAGTTCCGAATAGGAAAACAACTTTTTCGAACACAATATACCAAAATAGAATATCTAATTGAAATGTATTACAAAAGCAGTATCGTTATGCACATTATTAACATTCGGCTCAAATCGGCGATGAATAATAAGAACAAGTACTTACGGCTACCATCTAGAAGTATAGAAATATAGTTTATCTGTCCTCAAAAAGTGTATCATAACATTTACAAGTGTACAATATATTTTTAAAATTTCAATTTGTTGTAAATTTTCTCAAATCCAATAGCCTATGTTTAGTGTCAATTCCACTCGATCTGCCCCGAACTTTAGCAATAAAATGGTTAATCTTAATGAAAGAAAAATTAATGGTTTTAAGACATTTTTGCGTTTAATGTGATTTCACATGTTTTCCAATCTTGATTTTATTTTCAGGGTACTTTTGGTTATTTCATCCTAGGAATAGTGAATATATAAAACTAAAACATAAAACAGTTCTAATGCAAAATAAGATATATATTTTCATGGGGCAAAATCGTCGTGATTTGAAAAAAAATATGATTTCAATTACAAATAATTTCGTGGTTAATTATAGGTAAATAAGCCATAATAAAAGAACAGTTCGTGGACCAATGGAACCCACGAAATCAACACAAATAAAACCTCATGACAATGAATAAGTTCACTGTAGTGAGAAGGCTTACTCACCAGGACCATAATCGGGGTAATCACACACCAGAATGCCTTCCAACCGGGACATGGTTTGTAACCAAGCATCATTTCTATGTCCTTGTACAGGCGGTTAACACCTGTGGTGAGAAAACAGGATACCACATATAGCAGCAGCCTTAAATTCCAGTGTGGGTGGGATCACTTTGTCAAAAGAGTATCAGATAACTGCACGAGCAATTCAATGTATTAGGGAAATATGTTTTGATGAATCGGGTCTGTTTAAAATTCAAGAAGTTCAAGAATCAAATACCATTTTCCTCATTCACCTTCGAGATTTCAAGGTTTAAACAATTAAACTGCCATCACTTACCCTGTAGGACGAAACAGCTGTATGACACAATTTAATTCATTTTGTAATTTAAAAAGGTGTTATTGACTTGTGTGTCTTTTGTATAATCTTTTCAGACTCACCATAGAAGTAGGCTAGAACGGTAACTTCCAGGAAAGCGAGGAACATGGTTGATATACTAGCCACATACCAATCAACCAATTGTAGCACGTACATACCACCCTGTGAACATACAAAACAGTATAACGTCAAATCGGCAAACTAAAAGTTCTTCACAGAATCTAGCTGCATTGATTTTCCATTCAAAGGTAACTCCTAAATCAATTCTTGTCATAATTTTGATACCGTATTACAATGGAATGAGAAAGCATTTATATGTTTTGTCTGTTGACAAATTCCTTTGATAAATAGGAGAGCAGTGCACCAATTCTAGTATGACACAATTACTATCTAATTAACTTCTACAAAGAATTATCAAAGTGTTCCCTGTCATGTCAAAATGCAGGTTTGTTTTCTTTTGTTTTTGTTTGTTTGTTTCGTGTTTTTCTTCGTTTTCCTATTTACTGATATATCAACAATAAAAATGTTTAATGTCTTTGCTTTTCACGTCGAAATCTGTGATTAAAAAGTATGAAAAATAGCAAATTCACATTTTGCTTTTGCGTATTACTCGCAAATTAGAAATTATTCTAAGCATGAATTCTTTCTTTTGATGAGAAACAAAAGATAGCACTGCCTCTACATATTGATATCACAAAAGAACACATACTGTCAGCAACCTGAATCATGATGCAGTCACTTACCTGTGTAACAAAGATGAGACCAATAGCGAAGGAGAGAAAGTTAAGGAGAGCCATAGTGAGCGTCTCGTGGTCTCTGAATATCTTAAACCTGTCCATAAGTCCAACTGCCACCAATTGTATATGTACAATCTGGGATGATAAAACAGACATTTTGTACCGATCATGAATAGTTTAACAGATTAAGAATGCATATCATAATATATTTAATATCTGAGATAAAATTCACCCTTACTATACGTATCATTCACTTATTAAGCAAACTTATTTCTTTTTCTCCCTTACATCGTCTTCCATAAACTGTGCTGATTTTTGTCCTGATCTGTAATATAGATATATCTTCACAACAATATTGTTTTATAACGTGGTATTATTTGTTGTTTAAATGTCTCTTACCTGACTATCCAAACCGACCGTAAACAGCATAATGAAGAAGAGGACAGACCACAATTGGGGAAGCGGTAGAGTAGATAAGGCTTCTGGGTAAACCATGAACGCTATACCAGGACCTGTTGTGACAAATTACACATTTATCCTCATCTGTTCAAATATTTATAGAAAATTTTAAGACAGAAAGATCATCTACGAGTATGTAAATTACATACTGAATTAACGAGATATAAGTATGATGGGAGTTTATTTATTCCGGACTGTGGAAGTACTACACTACTTACTTGTGGCCTAGGAAGTTACAGATTATTCAAATAAGCTTATTTTCATAACCATGAATGCAGTAACAAACAAGCGTTTTACTGACCAAGATAAGGGGCAATAAAAATGATCGTCATGGAAATATCTCCTTACCTTGTTCTACGACTTTCTCAATGTCAACACCAGATTCATGTGCCATGTAACCCAGGGTAACGAAGATAGTACAACCAGCAAACATACTAGTAACGGCGTCCAGAACTGGCACTATCATTGCGTCCCTATAAACGACACGCGCATTGATAAGGGATTACAGAGAAACAACAGCTTATGACATATATCACGCATGTTTAGAACTTCAATTTTTTGTCACCATGATAATACGTCTACAGATTAACTAGATAATATTATTATTAATAGTTAATTACGATTATTAATTGATAATAATTATAATTAATAATTGTGTAAATGGCATCATTTTCTTTTACCTGTAATGATTATTGCTGAATTTGTTGAAACTTGCTAAACCAATAAGAGCTCCCATTCCAATACTGGCAGAGAAAAAGGTCTGTACCGCAGCATCTACCCAAACCTTGAATAGATCAATAACAGTATAGTTGACAGTTATGTCACAGACCACGCTTAGTAATGACGTCATTGGTCTAGCTGGATTGTCATTTACATATATTAGGACAACTTAAAATTTAAGACAAGCCATTTGTTTTAAAATTTGTAAATAATTGTTCAGCACATATTGGTTATTATTCATGTAAAGGACAATGGTATTGTGATGTCTCAGTATTTACAAAAGACACAGTAGCGGTTACACATTTCAGTACATATTTAGAATTAGATATGGCAGAACATAATGAATTATACGATATCGATCTACTGCTACATTCCTGGTGTTGAATACTAATGCACAAATGACATGAATAGAAATCCTGGTAACTAGTAACCTGAAGGATGATATTGTCCTGAAAGATATATCCATAATCTTAATTACAATTAATCATAAGGTAAGGCATTGCACATAACGTTTGTATACTTACGTTATAATCCAATAGTCGCTCCCATCTGGGTACAAGATAGAATTTGAGTCCGTCCAACGCTCCGGGCAGGAAGAGGCCCCTGATGAGAAGGGTCAACAGGAACAGATATGGAATAGTGGCAGCGACGTACATCACCTAAAGTTAAGGACATTTAATACAAGGTCAACAAAGGTACTGAACATTTTACACATTGCAATGAAAGTATAACATGGAAGGGGTAACTTTAATCATTTTTAACTATTGAGCAATAACACACACACAAAGAAAAGGGAAAACAAACAAGCAAACAACAAGAAAATAATAATTCAAATAATAATGGAGTGTGTAGTGTACACTTCTACGCTCCATTTTTAGTTCTATTGATAAATAACCAGGCCCCACTTGTATAAAACATCTCAACTTGAGATCTCCTCAAGTCGAGATTTTCCTCAGCTAATATCTCCTTGAAAATATCTTGTATGAAAATTCCTCAAGGAATTTCAGGACATCCTAGCCGATGACTTCCTCCTGTTCCTTGAGAAAATTTTATACAAGCCGTTTTTGAGGAGATATCAGCTGAGGAAAATCTCGACTTGAGGAAATCTCAAGTTGAGATGTTTTATACAAGTGGGGCCAGAACTATTTTCAACTCAAATCTTTGATAATGACAATATTACAATATTTGGTCGATGTATATTTCATCTTATTGGGTGATAAGATGAAATTTGACTAAAAGCTTGTCTCGAGAGGAATCAAAATCATACATGCACAAAAGTTAAACTTGAAAAATTGATCGTCTTTTTCATTCGGTTTGTAACCTGTGTCTGTAAACTCACCTTGCCAGAAGATTTAATGCCCTTTGCTAGACAAAGGAAGACAGTGATGGATGTTGCTAGCAGACATAGCACCAGCTGCCATCGGATTGAACCCAGGTCCTCAATACTGTCGGTAAGTTCCAACACATGACGTCTGAAAAAGAAAAATACGTACGGAATATATCAGAGCACTACTCTTAATAATATCATATCTTCACTTGTTAGGCGTTGAGAACTTCAGTGTCGATCTCACAATGTATGTTGGATGTTTTGCGTCGTTTATGTTTTAAAGTGATTCGCTAAAATGTAAAATCAATATTACTTTTTCATTCTCTATGTTTAGGGTGACCATTCACTAGAAGAACATTTTGCAACCATCCGTAGATAATATAATAAATATTGTAATATCACTGTCTAGATAACGTATAGGCGAGTATTACCTACATAGTGTGCTAAAGAAAGGATGATTGACGTAGTAATTAAAAGACTTAAGGCAATGGTGAAGAGTTGTCAAAGACTGTACAAAAAAGGCACACTTGAAAAATTAGGTTATCTCAGGACGAAGACATGTCACCTACATTGTATGGCAAGAATAGCTACCAGTAGTTATATCAGCGAGCCAGTGGAGGGTAAATTATCCATTAAGTTATTATAAGGATTAAGGTATATTGCTGTCAACCTTAATCTTGTGTGAGTTTATGTTGACTGACAAATCGTATATCTGGCATTAGGAAGTATGTTTCGGCCTTGAACTTTTTATTGTTTTTATACTAACTGAAAAGTCAATATGTATATACGGTTGCGGATGATTTATATAAAAAAAATCTTTGCAAAAGCAATTCAGATCGAAAGAAATGTGTGAAAATGCAATTCACATACGGTGAAAATATATTCAAACCAAGTATTGAACGGACCTGATATTGATCTAGTGTTCAAAATCCACAAACCAATAAAGTATTAACAAATAATATTCATTGCCGAATTCCATTTTTGAAATTAAGTTGATACACTTACTAAATATCTATATTTTGTATCGCTTAAGTGTTTCTTTTTATTGATTGGTTAAGGTATGATGTAAGAACGACATAGTAAGTACTGTAAAATTATCAGTTTTCGTGGGCAATTTATTTTCATTGAAATCATTTGTACTTTAGGTCTATGAATTCATATGCTCACCAAATAAGAAAGATAAAAGTTGAAGTATATTATAGTACTAGTGAATTCTGTGATCGAGATTTATCCACGCAATCGCGTGTCATCGAAATGTAAACTTTTGGAAAACCACGACATTTGAAACACACAAAAATATGACAGAAATAGTTACATACTCCCAAAATTCCTCAGGTGGTGTTCTTGCTGTTATATTTGTTCCGTTATTACTAACGACCGCAACGGTCTGGTTTAAAATCGTTCCGTTAAGTGTCGAGTTATCTCCCCTGATGAAGCAGGCTGCTGTATTCCAAGTGTTGTTACACGTTGCCCAAGGAAGAGTGGAAGAGAAGGACATCCCGAAGTAGTATAGGGTCCATGCTATGATCACACCATAGTAGATCCCGATCAGCCATGTAAGGGTTATCATCCCATAACCAATACCTTGAAAGGAAAAACAAAACAAACATAGTTAAGCTTCAGTACCAGGGTAAATAAAGCCATCTTGATATCAGTTCAAAACGAAAGACAATATTTGAACATGAAACAATCTTACTTAAAATTCCACATGGGGCGCTACTCATAATTGAGTCTTTTGTACAGTTTTCGAGAATGGATATGGTAGACACTGCTAGCGAATGTTTAGTCCCCGAGGTTTGCCGTAACCTACCTGCTACAATTTAATTCCTTTACACTTTTAATATGATCAGATTTTCGAAAATAATTATATAAGTTAATTATAGAGCTAGTGCACTCCCCATGTCGATTTTACATTCTTTATGGTCACTTTTTGTATTCATCCGAGGCCTCAAACCTTAGGTTCCTTGTATCGCTGATGAGTGCCAGAAGGACAAAACAACTTTATGATACAGTTGAAGTTTATTTTCTGGCTCTACTGAATCTGATTCTAGATTTCTAATGATATTACTTATTTGTGTGTCGTTTGTACAATCTTATTTACTCCCACCTAATCTAATGCATTTGACGGCAAACTGATTTGGGCATGGACATTACCATGATGCCTATGTTTGCCGTCATTTGCATTATTGTTTGGGAAGCATACCTTCTCCTGTCTAGACTATGTTGTGAGTGCTAATACGGCAACATGTATTCGTTTATATGATGATCAATACAACACCGTTTTCTACACTTTGTATTGCAAAAAGTGATCGATAAGACAGTGCATATCATACATTTAAATGCATATATCAGCGATTTAAAATATCAGCGTTATAGTGCAGTATATAATATCGTATATCTGTTATGTAGGTTGGGCGGTCATACCACTTGGTAATGATCAGACTATCATATTCACATAATGAAGGAACATCTGTTAGGTCGCTGTTACAGATAAGTTATATGTCATCACAACTCAATATGTTGAAAACTGGGGATTGTGTATGAAATTTCTGTTCTGTAAACAAGAGAACTAGGTTTGTAGGTATGGTGTCTTAGTGCGAGCTGTCATGAGCTGCAACATAATTAATTCATCTCATTAATTAAAACGTGATAACTGAAATGGAAGTCGAGGAAAACGTCAAAGGCATGTCGTATGTGTACTGGTATGTATAATATCGTTTTCATTGACGGCTACAGACGCCATCAACCAAACTAGCTCGGTAACAGGAATGCCATTAAAACTTGAGATGTGCATATGAGAATGTAGCCACCTAAAAAACCCGTTTCACAGAAAACAGGTTTGATATCGAATAGTAAATCTAAAATAATGTTTATACAAATTAAACTTTCCCTGATAACTTTTAACTTTAAATTGTTAATGCTTAATATAGATGCAGACAAGTATGGAAAGGAAAAGAAAAAAAAAACGTTACTTTGATTTTAAAGTTAAATTGAATCGTATCGTCTAAATGATGTATTTCAATAAAAGCAACTCTTTCAAAATTAGCAGCATACTTGTTAGTTTTGAAGCTTTATTATTTGTTTATGATTTTAAGGACTGCCATCTTGAATAAATTGTTTTATTGTTACATTATAATACGGCCGCAAAAACTCATTGGATTAGACATTTGACCTACGTAACATCTGATGAAGATGCGAGGAGAGAAAGATCAGGGGTTATATCGATCCGGGGTGATAACGATCCGGGGTGATAACGATCCGGAGTGATAACGATCCGGGGTTATATCGATCCTGGGTGATAACGATCCGGGGTAATAACGATCCGAGGTGAGAAAGATCCGGGGTGATAACGATCCGGGGTTATAACGATCCGGGGTGATAACGATCCGGGGTGGTCAAGATCCGGGGTTTTAACGATCCGGGGTTATAACGATCCGGGGTGATAACGATCCGGGGTGATAACGATCCGAGGTTATAACGATCCGGGGTGATAACGATCCGGGGTGATAACGCTCCGGGGTAATAAAGATCCGGGGTGATAACGATCCGGGGTGATAACGATCCGAGGTTATAACGATCCGGGGTGATAACGATCCGGGGTGATAACGATTCGAGGTTATAACGATCCGGGGTGATAACGATCCGGGGTGGTCAAGATCCGGGGTTTTAACGATGCGGGGTTATAACGATCCGGGGTGATAACGATCCGGGGTGATAACGATCCGAGGTTATAACGATCCGGGGTGATAACGATCCGGGGTGATAACGCTCCGGGGTAATAAAGATCCGGGGTGATAACGATCCGGGGTGATAACGATCCGAGGTTATAACGATCCGGGGTGATAACGCTCCGGGGTTATAACGATCCGGGGTGATAACGATCCGGGGTTATAACGATCCGTGGTTATAACGATCCGGGGTTATAACGATCCAGGATAACGATCCGGGGTTATTACGATCCGGGATGATAACGATTCGGGGTGATAACGATCCGGGGTGAGAAAGATCAGGGGTTATAACGATCCGGGGTGAAAACGATCCGGGGTTATAACGATCCGTGGTTATAACGATCCGGGGTTATAACGATCCAGGATAACGATCCAGGATGATAACGATCTGGGGTTATTACGATCCGGGATGATAACGATCCGGGGTTATAACTATCCGGGGTTATAACGATCCGGGGTGATAACGATCCGGGGTTATAACTATCCGGGGTTATAACGATCCGGGGTGATAACGATCCGGGGTGATAACGATCCGAGGTGATAACGATCCGGGGTGATAACGATCCGAGGTGAGAAAGATCTGGGGTGATAACGATCCGTGGTTATAACGATCCGGGGTTATAACGATCCAGGATAACGATCCGGGGTTATAACGATCCGGGGTGGTCAAGATCCGGGGTTATAACGATCCGAGATTATAACGATCCGGGGTGATAACGATCCGGGGTGATAACGCTCCGGAGTTATAACGATCCGGGGTGATAACGATCCGGGGTTATAACGATCCGTGGTTATAACGATCCGGGGTTATAACGATCCAGGATAACGATCCGGGGTTATTACGATCCGGGATGATAACGATCCGGGGTTATAACGATCCGCGGTTATAACTATCCGGGGTGATAACGATCCGGGGTGATAACGATCCGAGGTGATAACGATCCTGGGTGATAACGATCTTGGGTGATAACGATCCGGGGTTATAACGATCCAGGATGATAACGATCCGGGGTTATAACGATCCGGGGTGATAACGATCCGGGGTGGTCAAGATCCGGGGTTATAACGATCCGAGATTATAACGATCCGGGGTGATAACGCTCCGGGGTTATAACGATCCGGGGTGATAACGATCCGGGGTTATAACGATCCGTGGTTATAACGATCCGGGGTTATAACGATCCAGGATAACGATCCGGGGTTATTACGATCCGGGATGATAACGATCCGGGGTTATAACGATCCGCGGTTATAACTATCCGGGGTGATAACGATCCGAGGTGAGAAAGATCCGGGGTGATAACGATCCTGGGTGATAACGATCCGGGGTTATAACGATCCAGGATGATAACGATCCGGGGTTATAACGATCCGGGGTGATAACGATCCGAGGTGAGAAAGATCCGGGGTTATAACGATCCGGGGTGATAACGATCCGGGGTAATAAACGATGTAGGGTTTTAACGATCCAGGGTGATAACGCTCAGAGGTGAGAAAGATCAGGGGTTATAACGATCCGGGGTGATAACGATCCGGGGTTATAACGATCCAGGATGATAACGATCCGGGGTTATAACGATCCGGGGTGATAACGATCCGAGGTGAGAAAGATCCGGGGTTATAACGATCCGGGGTGATAACGATCCGGGGTAATAAACGATGTGGGGTTTTAACGATCCGGGGTGATAACGATCAGAGGTGAGAAAGATCAGGGGTGATAACGATCCGGGTTGATAACGATCCGGGGTGATAACGCTTTGAGGTTTTAACGATCCGGGGTTATAACGATCCGGGATGATAACGATCCGGGGTAATAAACGATCCGAGGTTATAACGATCCGGGGTGATAACGATCCGGAGATAATATATTTTTACCTCTGATGGGCCTACCATAGTTTGTTCAGTGTAGTAATCACCAACTACTTCAATGACAACCCACTTCAAAATGACCCTCCTTGCTAAGGTTCGATAAACCCGGCAAATAAACAAAACTGTACATTTTAAAAATACAATATGATATGCACCTGTTCAAATGCTTCTGTAGAACAACATGCGTAATGGAAATTATTTCACTTTCAACATAAATGCCATGTTTTAGAATTCCAATCGGTGACCTCCCGTTCATTTACCATTGTTAAAATTTGCGTTTGTTTATTTGGCCCAAATATATTTGCAACTATATATGATTAATCTATATACCATAGTAACGTCCTGTCATTTCAGTAGCGAATCTAAAAATCATGAAAATGTATAGATATTTTGGTATTTTATTGAAGGTTGAAACAATTTGTAAACTCTTACACCAATGGTTTAAATAACCAAAAAAATGCAAATGACATCGCACTAGCATATTCTGTTTCAGAATTATTCTTATGATTGTGGAAAATTGTATTGATGTTTTTTAAGTATAGTAAGGATATGTGTTAACCGTACAATTTAGTTTTTACTTTTGTTTTCAAACTGCATTATAATATTCCAAGGCATTACTTAGTCCACCGTACCTGTAGTAGTGTGTAGAATTTTAATACCAATATGAGTTCGTTCAAGAATAATCTTTCCATTGAAAATAAGCGCCCAGGCCGCTTAAAAAATAATAAAAAGGGATGGGCTCTTATTGCAACCAATTAAGTTGTAGAATTATCATATTCCACGTCAGCTGAGGACATCTTTTCACCTTTCTTCTATTCCTGGCGAGCTAGAGATAAACCATTTTTGAAGTGTCTTGTCCATGTCTCCTCACCCCTGTTACTGACCAGGAATAATTCTCGATCAGGTGTAAACAGGTAAGTAAACCTGGATTTCAGTATCTCCAAATGCGGGGAGGGGCCCTCAGAGGGACATGGACGCTTATTGGGTTGAATACGGTATAGAGACTTTAAGTGTACTATCTATCATACTATCCGCCATTAAACTAATCACTTTGGATTTTCTTAAAATTACCACATTTACTAAATTTATTGAATTATGGGGATAGTGCACGGGTTGGTAATGTTGACGTTTCAATGACTACACGATTGCCTTCATCAGATAAATGACCAATGTGTAGCGTACTAGCACTGACGGACTAGTGTACGAGATGGTACGGAACCGACCAACGTTTTCGGCTATACTATAATCCTATGTACACTAAGATCAAAAATCGTGTGTTTTTTGTACAGTCTGCATATGTACCGTTTGGTGATTTGTCTTCTATAAATAAATAAATAAATTAAGGAAAATATATCGAATTTAGGTCAACATGTCAGTCCACTACTTGGGACTTCGAAAAATAACAGAAAATCAAATATCCTTGCCTAATGGCAATATGGACAATTTAACTCCTCTGTTATATCATAACAGAATTGTAATATATAGACCAAATGGGATGTAAATGAATGATAAATGCTGTAAACTTCTGCCGAGAAAATGAAGATAGAATACAGCTGGTTGATATCAGACCTAATGGTTTATAAGTTAGTTTGGATTTTAGATGAGCTCATCAAATAACGATGTGAACATGATCCAATGAAAAGTGCAATTTTGGTATGTGTGGAAGGATACTAGAATATAACCACTCATATACAAGGTTGAATATTCAAAGTTAATATAGAAGATTTAATTATTCAAAATTGTGCTAAACATAAGTTAGATGTTTCATCATAATGTATCTGCCTGTGTGCATTTAGTACTGACATCTACTGTGAACAATTATGTACTGACCAGTGGCCAGAGGTATTCTGTCGTTACTGATCTACAACACATTTTCATGTATTAGTTCAGTATCTGAAGCCTACCTAAGCAGTTTGTATGATGGTCAGTGTAACCTTATCTTGTTGTAAACAGCCAAATCTATTGCCATTTATGTGTGCAAGACCATGTCGATAACTCATGTATACTTCAATCCATGTTTACCTGTTAGCTAATGTGTATTAGTACTTAATCAGTTAATTAACATGTATAGTATAAATACGACCACCTTTCTAGCCAGTTTGTATCAGTTCCTGACGACCAGACAGGAGAGATGCTAGTCTCCACTGGCAGGGCGCCCGCTCGCTCGGGCTTTTGCCCGAGCAAGAACCTCTCGACTCTAGTCTCAACTTATGAAATTGTAACAAGTTTTTCATTTTAAGGTAACCCAATGATAAAACGCCAAACTCCATTACGTCTAGCTCCAAATGGCATTAATATTACCCTGAACAAGTTTCTTACCTCTGAAGAGAGGGCAACATTCCCATATTTTGCCGGGTCCCAAGTTGGAATATTGCGCATACGTGAACTGCAAGAACACTTCCGGTAGACCGATGACGAACAAGAAGATGAAATAAGGAATCAGAAAAGCACCTGTAAGATACAACATATCACGGAACTCAAAAGACAAGTTTTAGCAAACGAATACCCAGTGACATTTTGCTAGAATGTATGAAAGTATCACATTGCAAAACCAGCTTAAATTTTGTTTGCGATATAAATGTTATGTGTAATTGGAGTAATAATCTTTTATGACAAGTCATGAAAATGATAAAAAATAGCAAATATGTTTTTTGTTGGGTGTTTTTTTCTATCATTTAGTATTGAATGAACTCCTTCAAGAAAATACAGATATGTCAATTAAAGAAGGATTGATACGGAGACTACTGAAACAGTGTTTCCGAAGGTAAGCATCTCAAACTTAATTGACAATATTCGCCATGTAAATCTCGGTCAATCTAAGTGAATTTCATGATCCTAAAAAAACAAAAGTCATTCGGGATTTTAGACATTGTTTAGCAGTCAAACGAACACTGAGCTTCTGATATATAGGGTTTTAATAGATTAAATTACACTATCCAGATAGTACATATCAGTGTCATGTAGTGGTTCATATCTTCAGTTTCTCTATAACTAATGGTCATTTGCAATGATTTGTTATGTTCCATTTTAACTTGATACTATTTATAACCATCGTATTTCCTGTTATGCCTCACACCTACTGCTGAATGTTTGGCATTCTGTAAATTCTTAACATATTTTTTCCCTTCCGGTAAGGTATATAACAATTGACGGATCTAGATACCGTGAATAACAAACCAAAACTTTAATGAATTGCCATTAAAATTAATGACGTCATCAATGTTTGGATCAATTATTTTGTGACGTAGACACACCTCTTAACTAGTTATCAATCAATCAATACACCTTGTTATATTCCAATTAACCCGGTGATATCTTTATATCTTCTTAGTAATGGTAATCCCTAATGTGATAATATTCTTTATATTAATACAATTAAAAGATATTATGATTTTTATGGAGACTTTATCAGCCATGATGACAGATGTGACATTTATACTAAGAGAACAGACATAAAAATAAATAACGTTACATGAAACAACTTTAAAAGGCGTATCCAATGACAACAATTCCCTCCAATTTTTAGAATTAACAACTTTGAATGTAACTGCGATAATGCTAAATGTCATTCAAGGCTGTATTTAAGGATAAAAACATTTATATTTTACATAAAAAGACGATTTTTTTTAAAGATTTTTTAAAACTTGTTTCTGTTCCTTTTTATATATTTACAAATAAAATCTGAAATGGACGTTATCGTTTTAATAGAGTCACCTTTCTAGGTTAAATGCCTTGGAGTGTACAGGTTGATTTTTTCAAATATACTCAAAATAATATGCTTGGCAGTAAACAAAGGAAGCCATTTGAATACTAAAGTGTAAATTAGTTACCAACATCTGCGGTCTTTAAACAGTGGAGTAAACTAAATATAGTTTTCTTACCAATTTATGCCAAATTTCCGTAAAATTAGATACAGCACACTACCAAGATTTACACCACACACCATGAATGCTTAACACTGTCAGCAGTTTCTTTCTTGTTGTATTAAACCACTCCCACCAAGTCACAGCTGGTTTACAACTCCATACATTCTTCTGATACCTATATTATCACAACTCTCTCACCTATCCTTCATATTATTCATCTCTGTTATCCCTTTCGTCCCTCCGTTGACTTTCTTACATCACCGAATTACTAGTTTTCCTCTCTCCTCCCCCTTTTCCCTACCTAGCCCTCTCCAATCATTCTTCATCCCACTAATCTATAAATAAAGACGCGCGACTCCACGTCAGTCCTCCGAAGACTTTTTCTTGTGTTGCAGTACAGTACAGAAGTACTAAGGTACGACTATCAAGTAGTAATGCAGACTCAGCCTATCCAACAGATAGCTACCACTGGTGTTGTAAACTTCTACATGTGCATGTCTTGTCTATGTTAATCTATATTATGTTGTGTCCGAGGCAGGTCCATCTGGCCACCATACATTCACCGATGAATCCCCCATTTATCCCTCCATAGTGTTCAGGTTAAACAATTTAATGGGGAATCGTCTGCTAACGGAAAAAGACCAAGATGTTCCCAAAATAACCATCGCCAGACTGATACAGAAATGCAAAAATAAATGTAGAATGTCTGTGAAAAATGTTAGGAATTCAACACGGGGCGAAAAGATATGGATGGTTATAGTCTATCATAATTTAAAACCATATCATTTAGAGTACCTAGCATTGTCGTTGTGTTTTTCCACTGTTTCCATGGTTTTGATTAAATTTATGCAACGATAGAGTATATAGAGCACCAATTTCAACAAAGGACCAACAAGAATTTAGCACTTACATGGTAAAAGGTGTTCCTGAAAAGTACGTCATTAATTTTTTTTAGTTTTTTTTCCAATTCTTCTCGGGACATATTTGTCTCTGATATAACGCAGACAAGAAATAACGCGTGTATGATTGGAAATAATGTAATTGCTATGAACATTTAATGTCTTGTTAATGAATACCAAGCTCGAATTGCTGTTGACTACAGAGTGTTCACCTTAACAAAGATATCAATGGAAATTCACAAGCTAGTGTATATACTGAAACACTATATCAACAATTACATACAGGTCAATTACTTCTTTCTACAATAGCTTACTCGAACATGCTCTTTGTCAAAAGGTGGCCACATGGTTCAATTACAAACAAATATCGAGCTGAGAACGTAACATTAATAGAATTCTTTAGGTATAGGCATGTCTGCTATTTCTTAAATCCCCGTATGTTTTTAAATGTAGAATGTTACGGGTCTATTCTCCTTCACTGATCCTTAATCGTCAGCTTTGTTAATCGACATGCAGATGCATAAGATACAAAATCAACAGTTTTAAAATTTGTTATAACGTAGACCATCAAAATCATAAAACTGAAAATATTTAATAACAGAAAAAATCTATCATACTTTCATTATGTTTTTTTCCAACAACATGCGGAGAAAATTAAAACCAACGTGATGTAGATTGTGCTATTGATTTTTTGTGACGTATGCTGAGCATATAAGGTTTTATTCCTAAACAATCAATTTTTCTAAAATTCAATAGGTCCACACTGATATATATATATAAACATATTTGTTTCAAATTGTAAATGAAATAAAATTCTTCAAATGTACTCTAAATGAATTGAATGTGTTAGTTTGTTTTTCCACGTGGTTGTTGGTACATACATGTATAGTAGATTCAGGCGCCAAATCACCCGCATGTTTTGTATGGTAAATTAATAACAAAAAATAAATTATACTCGCCTCCTCCATTTTTATAGCAGATGTAAGGAAACCTCCAGATATTTCCTAATCCAACAGTAAGTCCAATACAGGAAAAAATAAATTCAAACCAGTTATTCCAGTTACCACGTCCCTCCTTTCCCATTGCTGCTGTTAGGTCTCGACTGTAAAGAGAAAAGAGCGTGGAAAAGTACCGGGTTTTCACGTTTTCCGGTATACAAGGTCATTGCCATGGATATTTATAGCGCAGAGAAAAATTCATTTGGATCATATTAATTGTAAATCTGTACTTCTTTCAAAATTGATATAAATATGGTATTTATTTTACTTTGTAGGTAGGTTTGATATTCGTGGCTACTTAAAGCGTACGATGTGTGTTCACTGATGCGGAACAGCTGATGTAAACAGACCACGATAGCGGTGAACTGTACGTATGTCAACGGCTGTGTTCACACATGTACTGGTTTGTACAAGTGATAGATTCACTGTGAAGAGAATTTCGTTACACAGACACTCCATTGTAATTAAATATCAGACTGCGGCAGCTGTGATAAATCTCTATAACGTAGTATATTATGCATCATTATTGGAAAAGATTGTCAACATCTTCAATATTTATAATCATATATACATTGTTATAGATTGGATTCCCAGTTTATATGATGAAAGTGATCTATGGTAGACACCAAAACGTTAAACATTAATTTATTGTGTCATACGAATCTCATAGCTGGCAATGTAGTGCTTATAAATTTTCTATATCAATAGCAAGGGTCTGAAACAGATACCGCTGATCGAAGCGCCCCTTCATTATGTTGCAACGTAAAGTGATGGAAAGTATTATGAGGGAGAACATGTAGTTAGATTTATTTTTATATGATGTATTTTATTTCAACACAGCGTTTGGATTGAAAAAAAAAATATATTGTATAATAATGTTAAATATTTGATGTTAATTAATGTGGAAATGTATTTGGTAAGTTATATAATTATCTAGTGTTCAGTATATTATCACAAAACAACGTAGTGTAGGGTGATGTAAACACAATTCTTTAGCACCAGGTAATACTACCACGTACATTTCATTAAGAGAATACATAATAACGATATGTATAACCAGTATCTTAACCCTGGCTCTGTGTTCAGTTTTAACAACAATGATAATGTATGAAATTATACATATTTCAAGTTATTTAAATGTCCTTTACAAAACAAAACGCTAGCGCATGTTAGCTAGAGTAGCTTTCCATACTCGTCATTACAAAATACTTGTGAGTAATTTCGAAACAAAAATACAAATATTTAAAGCACTTCAGTTATATAGAATCATAGAATGAAGTCATAGTTGCGTAATTTACAAGGAAAACAAAATAATGTGATTAACTCTATCACTTATCCTAGAGGAGACATTGTTTTAAGGATTTTTTTCAAACCGATTTTAAATTACAAAACATGTGATACATATTAGCAATAGGTCATTAGAACATTAGGACCCGGCTTTGCTGCGTAAAAACAAATCCCCTTATATAGCATTGACCTACATGTTTTGTTAAAAAATTATATCAAATGTGATAAGCACGTGTTTTGACATATGACTACCAGCCGTACGAAAGTATTTTACGTTTAATTAATGCTAACGTGAATATACTGGCTAATTGTAAGCCTGGTATTATTAATTGAATCTTGCTCTTGGACAGCGAAAAGCATGGTTAGCCTTGTATTTTTAAAAGATTGTATATTGAATTCATTTCAACAGTGTCTCTTTTCAGAATAAACACGTTTTAATCATTCGATGCATAAACCTAAATTCTGACATTTTTTTTGTTTTTTGTTTTGTTTTTTTTTATTATTTTTTTTGTTTTGTTAATACACCTCCTGGTCGAAATTTTGACGTATATTTTTACAAAATCGGGTGTAGGTCTTTATCATCAGTGACGAGTCCTAGGTTTAATGTATTATTTAGCTACACTTTATATAATTCTTATTTGATATTGAAATGTGATATTCATTTGCGTGTCCTACGTACCATTTTTATTCTAAGGCTTTAATTAGTCGAAATTCAGGAACCGACACGTAAAGATAACAAATATATGATGTATGGGTTTTACAAAGTGTCTAACAAGCAAATGTTTCAAGAAAATTCAGATTTCATTCATTTTTTCATTAATTTTTTGTGTTCATGCCAGGTTGTAGAGTATAAACCGATTAAGACACGTTTCTCTACCACGTGAGATAATAACTAATTTACATCTACGTATCTATCGTTATGTAACATTTAAGAAAATTTCACTTAAGCAATATTGTGATATTTATTAATTTCCTATATTTTTCACTTTCTTTTCCATAAACATGAGCTACATGTTGTACAATAAAGATTCGAAGCTATGTATAAAGCTTCAGAGAGCTATTGAACGTATTTCCAGAATTATATGAAAACATTCTTGTAAGCTTGATTGTCAATGCATATTTGTAGTACTTCCACTATAATGTTCATGACAGAAAAAATGTGTAAAAGTTTCAGAATTCAGCATGGAGAGTTCAGGGGGGAGATCCGGCCTCATTATTTATTGGCCTGTTAAACTAACAATGTGCTGACTAATTACTCAAATCTGAGAATACAGAACCTTTATGATAATGTAGAAAAGCATACATTAACATTAAGTCTGGCGATAAAACTACTCAATACACTCCCGTACTCTTTAATCATTTACTTGCGTAATATATACAATAAGCCTACATTAACTTTTAAAGATATTCTTTAAGCGTGGATTATATTCACATCAAATAGCAAGCCTAACAATTGTCTTATGGCGGAGTGGTGACACACTCGTTTTTCACATAAGCAACCGTAGTTCTATGCAAGAAAAAGACAAGGAAGTCACTTATATTGCCGACTAGTACTATATAAACAGGTTCCAGAACTAACGATAAAGAAATAAACTATACAAGAAAGACACGATAAAATAGGTAGAACTGTCGTCCTACGTCATTGTATCTATACAACAAAAACAAACAAACAAACCAAAACAATATATGATATATATATCTTCAGTGATATAACAATAACAGTTTAGATTATCAGTATTTACAAAATTTGAAAATCTACTAATTGTTCATGAAAATGATTTCTAGAGTACCATTCACAAATTATCACGTTTATATTTCATCTTATGAGTGATTCTATGGACTGTTTAACATACTTGTAAATGTACGTGAACGCTTGACTAGTTAACAGTGCGTAACACGTCGAGCTGGTACGAACCTGTATTTGTGAATGAATGAGGTAGAATACAGGGTTCTGATTCTTTATATAATACAATCCTAACCAATCGCTTTGCTGGAAAGTATTCACTGCAAATGTTTTAACCAATCATATTACCTTATTCGTACACACCCTTGCTTTGTACCGAACATACTTCATACCCGAGGTGAATACTTTAATCTCATGTCCAAAACAAACAATAACTTTTTTAATGTCTTTTATACATTAACCAAATCATATCGAATCTCTCTAGGATTTGAACTAGTGACGATTTGTCAGAAATAGAGTGTTGTATTGATTTCTAATGAATAAACGAATGTTTATTTATATCTTAAGGAAACCCGGATACAACCGACTCTCAAAAAGGGGATAGGCTTTTTATCAGTTAAAAACCCATTTGTCGAGATAAATGACTTTGTGACATTTTATGTCCGATCGAACCCACCTGTTTTCGCTGACACCCATTGATTTGTATAGTTCGTCTCTGTATATGTTACATTAAAAAAATTGAGTTTAAGGTCCAATTTTTGTACGTGATAAATATGTGATTATGGTTACCGCCAGGCTACACTAAGTAACTTCTGCCTTTATGCTGTTAGTAGATGATAGTGAATCGGTACAGGATGGCAATTGTGTGATAGAAAGTTTATTGTTTATTGTAGAAGACAATGATTGTGTGACAGAGAAATCGTTCTTTACGGTATAGGATAGTAATTGTGCGAAGGGAATTCATTATCTATGGTAGATGATAGTGATAGTGTTATAAATAATTCATTGTTAATGGTAGAGGATAGTATTGTGTAACAGGTAATTTAATGTTTATTGAAGAGGATATCAATTGTTTGAGAGAGAATTAATTGTTTATGGAAGAAACTAGTGAGTGTGTGTGAGAGAATTAATGGTTTATGGAAGAGGATAGTATTTGTGTGAGAGAATTTATGATATATGACAGAGGACGGTACTGATGTGAGAGAAAATTAATTGTTTAAGGAAGAGGATAGTATTTGTGTGTGAGAGAAAATTGTTTATGGAAGAAAATAGTGATTGTGTGAGAGAATTAATTGTTTATGGAAGAAAATAGTGATTGTGTGAGAAAATTAATTGTTTAAGGAAGAGGATAGTATTTGTGTGTGAGAGAATTAATTGTTTATGGAAGAAAATAGTGATTGTGTGAGAGAATTAATTGTTTATGGAAGAAAATAGTGATTGTGTGAGAGAAAATTAATTGTTTATGGAAGAAAATAGTGATTGTGTGAGAGAATTAATTGTTTATGGAAGAAAATAGTGATTGTGTGAGAGAATTAATTGTTTATGGAAGAAAATAGTGATTGTGTGAGAAAATTAATTGTTTAAGGAAGAGGATAGTATTTGTGTGTGAGAGAATTAATTGTTTATGGAAGAAAATAGTGATTGTGTGAGAGAATTAATTGTTTATGGAAGAAAATAGTGATTGTGTGAGAGAATTAATTGTTTATGGAAGAAAATAGTGATTGTGTGAGAAAATTAATTGTTTAAGGAAGAGGATAGTATTTGTGTGTGAGAGAAAATTGTTTATGGAAGAAAATAGTGATTGTGTGAGAGAATTAATTGTTTATGGAAGAAAATAGTGATTGTGTGAGAGAATTAATTGTTTATGGAAGAAAATAGTGATTGTGTGAGAGAATTAATTGTTTATGAAAGAAAATAGTAATTGTGTGTGAGAGAATTTGTTATATATGATGGAGAATGGTACTGGTGAGAGAGGAATTAAACTGTTGATGGTGTGATAGTAACTGTATGAAAGATAATATTAATTCCTTGTGATAGAGGATGGCAATTCGACGAGAGAGAACTAAACGTTCATCGCAGATGATTGTCTATACTAAACAATGTTCATGGCAACGTAAAATTATACACAGTTTCGTATTGGTTTATATTATAGCAAGTTTGAAAAACAATAGGACGAAATTATGAGAGAAAATAGAAAACTCGACATGGTCTTCTGTACAGTAATATGCAACCTCCGGATCCAAGTCCAACGATAACGGACAGAACATTGAACTTCTGATGGTAGTTTGGATAATTTTTAGTATTGAAGTTTGGTTTTGTTGTTTTCCTCTCTTTGATTGTGTTTTATGAGTCGATAGAAGAAAACGTTTTCGTCATGTTTAGTCGAGTGTTTAGATAGGATAATACAAATCTCTGCATACATATAAACAAAGATATGGAATCTGACGTACTTGCAGTTGAAAGAGTTAATCACCTTATTGGGTTTTTACTTAAGTACACAGTCTGTGGCAATGTCAACAGCTGCTCTGTCATCTCTGTTTTGTAGTTTGTGTGTCGTTTACAGATTTTACATATACATCTACTTTGTTTAATATTTGTATGGTATGATGAGACCGCACTCAGTGAAATCAAACTTGCGCCAAATTACAAGTTGCTTATGATTAAACAGATTCTGTTAACCACGCAGACGACTGAGATTAGAAATTGAAACAATATTTACAGCGGGTTATGAATTCACTAACAAATCGTGACATTCTTAACTTGAAATAAATATTTTTGTTTGTATAATAAAAAGCAATTTGCACTAAAACAATGATTTGATATGGTTTATATAATTAAAACTGATATTGTGTTCTCCGTTTTACTCACAGCATGTTGCCGATATAACTGATACATGCATACTTGTAAATATATATTGGAAACATCATACTATTGTTATTTAAAGTCGGCGGTCAATTACAGTTAATCCAGTGCACTAGTAAACATGCATGGAAATTTTATTCTTCAAACTGGCTACTCAAATAATCATCCAACCGTATCATGATATAATAGTTATATGTTGGTAATATGAAGGCTTTGAACCTAGCGTGGTATAAATATTTAAGCATATCTAAGTTTTATCTCTTTTTTCACATTTGAATATCTTTATCCGATGGTTTTAACTTTTAAGACGATTTTAAATTAAAAATGATTTGGAAATTTGACTGCACATTAGGTACAGAAGAGACTTGATGACAAGAAATAATTTTTGAAAAACGTTTATTTTTTAAAGCCGTGAAATGTTATAACATATGCTGGGTCAATACAACGTAACAACAGATAAACATACAGTCCACTAGGTTAAGATAACATATTCCATACCTGCAAGATTTAAGATGGTGCTTCATCATACTGCAAGTCCAAATGCTTACGTAGTTCAGTTTAAATGCTAATGCAACACGAAGTACCGATCCCGGTAATAAAATACTTTAAACAACGCACATCTAAAACTAAATTCTTTTCAAACACGAAATAATTCCATAATTAGTCATGTTTAGTAACCATTCATTGACTGCTAGCTTACTTACGTCCTGAGTGTTAAAGCGGAAATTTACAAGTGGGCGCCGACAAAAGCATGCACGTGTATATCATGTTTATTGTTTGTCATTGTGAAATACAATACTAAATAAACGTTGACTGCTTGTATTTATTTAGTTTAAGATTCTAAGCGATGTTTATTTGAATATAAACAGCAATAATGTTGATATACTTGATACATGTTATGTATTGTGTACATCAACATCCCAACGGCTACATGCTGAGACAAATATCGAGTAAAGGTCTTTATGTATTGTTGGTGCAAAAGGACATGTGAAATCAATACTGGAAGATGGAAAACCTAAACGGGGGCAAGACCTGGCTCATCAGTCAACTCAAGAGAACAAAAACAAGATATATATATAAGGAAACACATTACAGAAACAAGACAAATTCACTAATAAAACAAACTGAAACGACATCATAAAACGAACAGGAGACAAACCATGACTCATAAACCAATGCAGGGAAAACAAAAACAAAACAAAAACAAAAAACTGACAAGCAATGCATGGAGACATGTCTAAATAAACAAAACCAGAAAAAAAGACAATATCACACACAAAGCAAACTTAAACGTTAAGACGGGCTCTGTGTCTGCATCATATAATGTCCGATTTTTTTCAAGATCATATTTTAGTTATCACTTTATTCCTGCAAATTTTGAGAAATTATAGTCATATTCAAAATCGCAACACAAGACACGCATAATTTCAAACTGGTTTAGGATGATATTATATAAACTGTAATGTAAAACAGCTGACCAAACTTAAAACTATATATGAAATAAAAGAAAAAGGTTTTTTTTTTTATAAAAAGAAAATAAGAGGCCCAGGGGCTTCAACGGTCACCCGAGTGAACACACAAACTAAGACAATTAGAATGAATGTGAAGTATAGAGTAAAGAAAATGAGAAATGCTATTTGTACAGGAACAGAAGATTTCTACTTTGTGACTCTTCCATACATGAAGAGTATTAGACTCTACCCTATTTGGATAATGGGAAAATTCTTGAATATATAATTAATTTGATCCTTTTTGTCACACCCATCGGCCCTTAGGGGTCAGCCAAAGTAAAGCACCTTAAGACCCTACAATCCATGAAAAGTATTTCATTCTACTATATTAGTGTATTGTGAAGATTTTCTAAACTTCAGTAAATTTGATCATTTTTGACCACGCCAAACAAAGTTTAATCTATTTCCAATAGAACATAAACAGATTATGCTCAAAGATGTATTTTTCTATAGTAAAATTTATGTGAGACCCTGAGGTTAGGAAAAATACGATTTTGGTAAAGCACCTTAAGACCCTTCCACCAATAAAGATATTTTTACTCTGCCATATTTGGGTATTGAAAAGAATTTTTTTTTTTAAATTTAAGTCAATTTGACCCTTTTTGGACCTGCCTGTGATGCCGGGGGACCATATAGTTTACAGTTCTGGTTTACCTTTGGCTATGGAAGGTTTTTGCCAAATTCCATTGAAATCGGTTCGGAGTTTTAACAGAAGTCAAAATGTTTAAATAAGAAAAAAGACGGACGCACAAGAAAGACGATGGACAACGGACAACGGACGACGGAAGAGGCCGGACAAAATGGTAACGCAATTGGTCACCATGAGACAAGCGTTGTTTGTATAGGAAGTAAATTTTAAAAGTACTACATGATTTTTTTTTCTGGTGTACTGGATGGTATGGATGTTTTCATAACGATGGCTGTTTGCACTTGAAAACGACAAAGCGTCATCAAGTGCGTTGATACTTGAAAACATATTGAGAACCAAATTTTGTGGTTTTGATGAGGAATAGTTTCCAAATGTCATTCTTAACAATGAATCAATACAGGACTTGTTATTTCTATAAAACATTTCATCACATCAAAATATCGAACGAAAAATGAAGTTAATTATAGCACTGTTTAACAACACTACCTATTAATAGCATCATCAGGACGTCTTTCCTCGCCTCATCAACGTTTGAACTAAACGACTTTTTTGAAAATTGATTTGATATAATTAACTTACATAAAGATGACTTAATATTGTCAATATTACAAACGATAATAAACAGGATCGAAGAACAGGGGAAGATGAATACTATTTTATTGGTTTCAAAGACAGGAAAATCATACAAATAAAATCGTTGTCACGGCAGTTTTACATCGTCCTATGACGTCATATCATTCTAGTTACCCTGAAAATAAAGCACATATGATTAATGGGTTTCTTCTGATTAAAACACAAGGCACAAATCCTGTTTCATTAGTTTATGTTGAACATTTAAAGGAATTTTCTCATGTGATATCGAATTTTCTTTGCTATGAATTAAAAATAAATAAATCAATAAATAATAAAATGCTGTTATGAATGTTCAAATACTTACCGATTGTTAACCATGATTTAGCTGAAAATAAAAAAAAAATATATTACTGAATATATCTACTTTTATTTTTCATCAGGTTTTATGATATGTTCAGTAAGACAACACTTCGTAAGGCTTACTCAGTAACAGACTCCTTACATCTTCATCATCATCAAACCACACACACCACCACCAAACACAATTACATAGATCAGAATCGTCGTCGACATCGTCATCATCAGCAGCAGCAACATCACCATTTATAACATCAATGTCATTATCGTTGTCATCGTCATCAGTAGCAACAATAACATCACCATTTATAACATCAATATCATTATCGTCGCCGCCATCATCATCATCCATACATGCCATCTTCAACGTCATCATCATCATAATCTTGTTACATCATGATATTACATGCATAACCCAAGAAGCGACAGACACGAGTAGCACAATACAACTCACCCCCATAACATGTCCATTCTTGACTACTTAAAGAGTTATTTTTAGGCTTGTAATTTGTCCTGCCTTTACAGTGTGTATTTGTTGAACGTTGTATATGTGTTGTTGTTTTGCACATCAAAGAGAATATATGATAGCGGTCGTATGAAAATTCAACTCAAGATAATGACGCCAACGGAGACATTATTGAACAATTACACTACCGACAGAAAACCCTTACCACTGACCTCGTGAGGTGCTATACTTTTCTACACAGGTAATCTCAACTCAACCGTTACAAAAGTGTCTGATTGTCATTGAGAGGGAATTAGTTGTCGTGAGGACTGGTTACGTAGCACAAATATTTCATAAGATGCCGGCTAAAGAGAGTTTTAACAACACTAGTAAATACCACCCATGGCCAGAGGTGAGTTAGGCTACCCTGGATGTACGACCAGTAGTCTATTCACCTTTTTATTAGTGCTAGGGAATAATGTCCTGGGTTAAACTAAAGGATTATTGTAGGGTTTAATACCAAAGTGACAAAAAGCCAGCTACCTATGTGGACACTTACAACACATAACGGAGAAGATATATTTCCAAATCTTTACAAGCTTTACGAAAGGGCAACATGTCAATTCTGATTTAACTTTTTCCTTTTAAAGAATACACCTAAAAGCATCAGATCCTTTCCCCTCGTGAGAGCTATGTTCAAATCAATGCTACTATACATTTTTCTATTTATAACTGGAGAAGATTTATATAACCTTAGCCTGCTATCTGACGAATTTATGTTTTTGTGCAGTAAACATTTGTTGAAATGTTGCATGGTGTTCGAGTAAAAATTAATTACAACCGATCGATCGAGAGTGACGAGCAATCAAACAATAACTGACTTACCACAGACTTCTCATTTTGAATCAACAGAAAGTGAATATGAAATGAATGTCTCCTGTTAACGCTTATGACCTACTTTTGATTACTGTTTGTGTAAGAAATCTCTTTGCTCAGTATTGATGTCAGATGTCATTATGTTTGCAATAGACACACGAACTGTTTTCCTATGAAGGTGATTTGTGGATTCTTAGCTTAAGATCAGCAAAATTTTTTTCAAGAGGATCGGGAAAATATGAAAAAATAAACCTGGTTCACTGGATTACACGACTACTATTGTCAGGGAAGAAACAAAATCTTTGATGCAAGGGGGAAATCTATTTTGAAGTTATGTTAGAAATTAATGGGGGAAAAAACAACAGTTAGTTGTGCTTTCTGAGTGAAAAAGGTTTGAAGTGCATGAAACTAAAACCAGTTTCATAAAACTAAGCGAGACTTTTGAGCTACGTAATTCAATTATTTCCTGTTCGTATCGTACAGTTCAATGTGTCATTATGTTACCTAGAAAATGTACAATCATAGCTCGTGAAAAATGTCTTCCAGGAAAAAAGGAGATGGGTTTTTTTAATCCCTGTGACACGGAAATGTGGAATGTAAATAAAGGAATTGTAATAAAATTGTTATGACTGCACACGTATATATATATATATATCAAACAAAAATTAATTAATTTATCTGTACTATCAACATAACCACTACAAACCTATTGAGTTATCTCCCTTTTTCATACAGGTTTGTTTCCACATGTACGGGTTCATTAATGGCAGAAACTTCAGCGTCATTTTTGAGGGCTATCTGTTTTCGAGCGTTTAGCGTTTCCTTGTTACATATTTTCAGACTGATGTGAGATACATACCCAACTTTTGTTCGATCTTAGTTTATCAGTCAATACTGTATAGCCGGTTATTTTTCGCGGGGATGATGTTTTCTCTACTTCAGGTGATCACCTACCTAAAGGTGATCGTGAAACTTTCAATTCGTAAAATGATATGATACGTGTTTTAGATCTCATTTAACATCACGGTCGTAAAATTTTAAATCTTTAATATATAATTCGTTCGTTTTAAAAGAAAACCCGATTGCCCGGAGAAAACTCCAATATAAGGCCAGGTAACCCCCTACCTTTTCACGTCCCTTCAGGGAATCGAATCTGCGTCAACCGAACACCTTAGTACAGGATCGTAAATGAATTTTCATGTCATATGAAATGTTACAACACATGTCTTGGAACAAATCTTCAGATACCGAATTAACTGCGACTAGTTAACACCATAGGTTGATGATGCATGGCTGTTGCTATCCAGAAAGGGATATGTTGCAAAAGAAATCATCACCCTAATTATACAGTATGGTGAAAACCTGTCCTTGTTGATTGAGGTATGTATTTCAGTTATATGAGTAAGCATAATATCTTGTATAACGAAAAAATCTCAATCACTCTCACACAAACGCATGTAAGACCATCTTTGTATAAAATAAGAGCGATCAGGCAAAGAATACCAAGGTCAAGTGCAAATAATCCTTTAGTTCTCACTCACATCCATAATACTGGGACTCATCAAACACAATAGAGATCGACAATCTGGGACTAGAAATTGTAGAAAGAAAAATAAAATATATTAATTCAATGTGGCCAAAATATGAGTCTTAGACTTGACCGAGGATTAGATATTTCTCCTAATCCAGGCTCACAATCGATGAAGTGATAACAAACTATCAACAACTGCCAGTTATAGACGGAGGCACTAACCACAGGTCATGAAGGATTAGCGTATTCTGCTTCATCGGCAATCAACTGTAGAGCCTGGTTAAACCAAGAAAGTGATGTTTCGTTATCAAATTAGAATTTCGCTACAGAAAGAGATCGTAATCTGGTATTTTTTACACGTTAATATTGTATTACCTGGTTCACATATGACTCCGGCATCCTCTGTGTGGTCACAATCTCCACGTCCATATGCCTGCATAGAACACTGACCAAGGTTAGTCTCTTGACCAGTGCACTGGGTTTCGTCCAACCATATAGGTCCAACACCACTTCCATATCTAGCCTTGGACGCGTGCGTAGTACTGAAGATTGATGGATAACGGTGGATGGATGTATGAACTGAACAAGTTTATATCTGGAACTCTTGTAAATTCCGTTTTATAATGATCAATTAGAATTGTGAGTACATTAATGTTGCAAAGCTTGCTTTCCAAATATATTTGATTTGATTTGGGAGAAAGACATTTTCAACTGCTGACGAACAATGATAAAAAGAAAGGATTTATCTTTTTCCTGTAAGTTTTAAACAGTCTTTTCAGATAAGTGATTAGCGATATTAAATAATATATCACAATAGAAAATAAACATTCTAAACAATAGTATTGGGAATGTTACCTCTTGTATCCCAACATGCGACAAACAACTTTTGCGTCATTATCGTCCCAGCTATCGTCACAAACAGTCCCCCATGTACCATTGTGTAGGACCTCGACCCGACCTTCACGTGCATTGGGACCATCCACCAAACGCACTTTCAACGATTCTTAAGAGTAAAGATTTTTATAATGATTTAGATGTGTTCAAATCAGTTAATACCCATGAATTCTTTTGAAGCAGTTTTTCTGTTCTTCATAAATCACTAATTTCATGTGTGGTTGTATGTTAGATATCGCCTGCACCAGGAATTTACTTCAGAATCTTATGTAGATACAATAAAATGTATCTTTATCGAACACGACAAAGACAAAACTCTCTAAATTAATAGCTTCTTGCCTCCTGGACATATCACTCCAGCATCCTCTGTATGGTCACAATCTCCACGTCCATATGCCTGCATAGAACACTGACCAAGGTTAGTCTCTTGACCAGTGCACTGGGTTTCGTCCAACCATATAGGTCCAACACCACTTCCATATCTAGCCTTGGACATGTGTGTAGCAGAGGCACTTGGAATTACATTGGAAGTCAAATTAGATTTTACTATATGCAGTCCATTAAGGAAAACATGCTTTGCAAACAATTTTTTTTGTTTTGTTTCACATTGTTAGGCCAATACCATTTCTGACAAGTATCTAAAGCTGCATTGTGCTGTTGAACCCTTTACATTTGTATTTGGTTACATGTTTTCATATTGAAAGGTGCTAACCACCTGTGTGTTATTATTTTTACCCAAACTATTCACATATATATTGTGTTCTTGAAACACAACATACACATCATACAGATTGATAGAAACTCACGTGTCATAACCGAGCATCCGACAAACAACTTTTGCGTCATCATCGTCCCAGCTATCGTCACAAACAGTCCCCCATGTACCATTGTGTAGGACCTCGACCCGACCTTCACGTGCATTGGGACCATCCACCAAACGCACCTTCAACGATTCTTAATAAGCGCGATCACATTGGAAATGAACATCAACTGAAAACTTGGCAAATACTTATAAAGATTTCTTACTATTAAAAAGCTTGGGCTGACTGATAAGTTGTAAGCCATGTATTGAAGTAATTAAGCAGGGGTGTCCTTTTTCAGCTCTACTATTTCTTGACTACATAAGGTTACATACGCAAAGATTGGTGTCATTTGGTCAGTCCATGTCGGTTGAAGAGGTATCACTCTAAAGAAATCAGGCAAGTGAGTTTTGCAAAATGGACAAAATCGCGGAAGCGCCCCTAAGGATATCCATGATGTGGTAGAAACAATAGGGATTGATGCCCATGCCAGGGAGAGAAGGTGGATGACGGAATTTCAGGGCGGCATGTAGGCCCTTTGAGAAAGCCTGTTACCGTTTCAACCCCAGAAATGGTCAATAAAGTCCATGGTATTGTTATGGTTGACAGGCGAGTTATACAGAGATATATATCCAGTACAGTTGGGATTTCACAGGAAAGAGAACATTGCATTCATACGGAACGTCTTTCATTGAGAAAGCTCTCAGTCCGTTGGGTACCAAGACTTCTGACATTTCATCAGAAACACACTAACTTTCTGTAGAGGTTTGTGACAATAAATGAAACATGGTTAAGAGAAAATATTAAATAAATATTGATGTTAAGCGCCGCAGAAAGTTTATTAAAAAGGCGTTGTTTCGCCAGGACAATGCCCCGGTTCACAAGTCTGCCATTGCCATGACTGCCATTAACGATTGTGGCTTTGAATTGATTGAACATCCGCCTTTTTCACCTTATCTCGCTCAATCAGACTTTAATCTATTTTCAAGATTGAAAAAGGTCAAGAAAAGGACTTCTGTAAAAGTGGCATTGGGGCCATTAAACATCGCTGGTAAAAGTGTGTAGATACGGAAGGAGATTATGTTGAAAAATAATGCAATATGTCCGCCAAAAGTCAAATCCTTGATATGAGGCTCACAACTTATCAATCAGCCCTAACAGACAATTCATTTTTAACTGAATATAATCTATGAAGTGAGATCAAAAGAGTCAAATACCTTTCGGGGACGTGGTGGGTGGGTTTGTGACTGTTGTTGTTGTTGCTGTTGTTGTTGTTGTTGTTGTTTTTGTTGTTGTGCTAGAGGTAGTAGTGGGTGTGGAACTCGCTACTACTCCAGAAGTCGGCGTCGCTGATTATAAGACATGCAACACAAATGTTTAACATGAAATATATCACAGAACAATTCTATGCTATGATTCTAAAGCACTCGGGGCTTTATGGCCATTTTTACATTTTGAAAAGAGGTATATCATAAATCAAAAATAGATCAATTGACAGACACGAAGCGACGTCATGAAACTAGAACCGACAAGCAGATAAATTTCATAACGAAATGTTAATACGCTGAAATCTTGACTAATACTTGTCATCCGCTTACTTTTTCTCCTTTGTCTTTCTATGTAAAGGTGATTAAACATTTAAACGCTTTACCGTGGTTACATTGCACTGCGATAATCCTACCGCTTTGACAATTAGCCGATGAAAATCGATATCAATAAAAATTATATCAATAATTCGATTAAGTGATATCAAGACATATCTAATGATATGTTAAATTATTGATTACATAAATCGTTTCTCATTATTATCATTTACGGAGGTATGATGCTTTCAAATAAACATGGATATCAAATGTGTAAACAATATATACATGGCTAGTTACCATTCTGTACATCAATAACCTAAAGTCTGAATGTTGTTGAATGATACGCACTGTCCATCGTCATTTAAAAAGGAACGATTAACACAGCTTATTTATAAGTCTTTGTGTAGAGTCATCGCTGTTGTCTGTATTTTGTTCATGCTTGAGGGGTTTTACTTATCTTCTATATAGACTTCACTGTCCTTTATTTAAATGTTTGGAAGCAAGATACGGTGTACTGTTCTCATCTCATTGTCATTATAGTATTCAGCTAAACCATAATAGTGCGAATCGCTTATACATCGCTTACTTGATGTACTATGTATTTCAACACATTTTGATAGACAGCAGTATGTTTCCGTTGACTGTTTAAACCAACAAAGCATTCTACTAGCGACGTGGCTCGATAAGCATCAACAGGTCCATTTTAAAGGCAGTACACATATCATTTTTTTTTCTGCACGACAGATCCTCGTTAACACAACCAGTCACACATTTCCCATTTCTAGAAACGTTAAAGGAAACGGAAGTTAAACAATGAGCGTTTCTTCAAACCTTTCCGGATATTTATACAAACTTGAGAGAGGTCCTGACAAAACCTAGAGAAAAAATTGTTCCCGTGGCTTTTTATGCAAGAAAATTTGAGGATGATAAAAATATCTCGTTTACAAGTGATAGAGATTGGGACTTTAAATACATAAAGATGTTTAAAGACTTTATACAGCTTTAACAGTGACTACTGTATGACTGGTCATTTTCAAGGATAAATATTTTCGCTATTTCTCCTAGAGCGAGCAAATTATATTATAGCGAATTAAACATTCTGATGAAGAATAATTTTTCAGTTTTTATAAATCAAATATAAAGGAGAACTGAAAGTTAGCTTTTAAGTTATCAAATCCTTCTCTATCTGGATTAAGCTATCAAATTTATTTAAGAAATTTGATGATATGTAATAATAGCATATCAAAGTATTTGCCAATAAAAATATATTCTAGTTAAAATGTAACCTTGACCTTTGACCTGGTGACACTGTTAACCAGTAGCAGTTAAAGCAAACATGAGAGCTTTGGCCCTTAACAGTCATCTGACAATTGACAAACGGATGAAGAAACCACAGGATTCACTGTTGGTGGTCTGACACATCTGATGAATTCAAATTTTGAACATTCCTTGAAAGTAACAGACGATCATAAATTTTAGGTTCTGTTTATGAAAAGCAGTAGCACAATCAGGTTACAAATATGGCTACTGCGGTTACCATGATGACGTTTTGATCAGACTGAAAAATAACAACGTTTATCTCTTTTTTCCCTTCACAAATCGAACTCCAAATATTTTCCCATTGGTGTGAATGAAACACGAGTTGATCAGAGGATTACTTCATGCATGTTTGATATCACCACTGCAACACATGCCAAATTGGTTGAACTTTACTCAGGCGTAAAAACGGAGTCGCGTTATGGTCCAACAGATTGCCTAACTTCCCCTTTGGGGGCACCATCCCCAAGTCCTTAGGGGTCAGATCAGCTTTCTGAATTTATGAAATGATTTTTCCTTCATCAATGATGTTTCGTACCATAGTTGGTTAAAACCCAGTCAAGGCTTAATGAAGAGTAGCATTTTAAAGCAAAATATTGACTAACTTTCCCATTTGGAGTTCCGCCCGCCCCCAGGTTACTAAGGGTCGAATCAACTTTCTGAATTAAACAAAATAATTGTCCATCCTCAGTGATGTCTCAGGTCAAATTTGGTTGAATTCTAATCAAGCATTAAGGAAAAGCAGCATTTTGAAGCAAAATATTGACTAACTTTCCCATTTCGGGCCCCGCCCACCTCCAGGTTCCCAGTGGTCGGATTCACTTTCTGAATTTAAGAAACGATAACCCATTTCCAATCATTTTTCAGACCAAATTTGGTTGAAATGGCTTCAAGCATTTAGAAAGAGCAGCGTTATGAAGCAAAATATTGTTTCATTTCCCACTTTGGGGTCGGAACCGAATTGGAAGGGTAATACTTTCTTTCGATACGTATTTTCTAATTATATAAACTTGCTTCAAATTAATTGCTTCGAAAAAGAATTTTGTTAACGACTACAGTAGAAAACAATGGATTTACATTAACATGATCAATATGATTATGTAAGACTGTTGGCAGCTTAGCTATTGTTCAAAACACGAGCTGTCCAGCTGATTGCAATCTTATGAAATATAGAAAACTAAATGATCCGATGAGATTTTGAAATAAAAGTGAAATGTTCATTTAAGATCTGGTGTAAAGCAAGTGATAATAGGGTCAACTGTATTGCTACAAATGCGATTAACTAATTACAGGATTGAGCGAGAATTTACAGGATCGAGGAATAAAAAGGCCGTTTTAATGGTGTTAATTTCATTGTTTTGTTTGAAATGGCCAAAAATAAATCATCACAAGATATTTTAACGGCAAATTGAAATTGAATTATATATATGTTACAAGACATAATCCTACCCGATCTTGTCAATCGTCTTACCGATCCAAATATGCTTATGTTCACGTATGCGCACCCGTAACGATACTGTGCGTGGGGCTGCCATTATGTATGCAACTTGTTAGAAAGAAAATAGTATAAATATATGTGTTCTTTATAAACGTAAGCTGTGTTAATATCACTTTCTATACCTAGATAATTCCATCTATACTCGCAAACAATAATAAAGAAGGTAGATGAGTGAATGGTAAAAAAATGTCAGCCATATTGGATTGTGGCCCTTGTAAAAAACAACTACCTTATATGGTAATTGTACTTAAGCATAAATTTTATTCTTACAAACGAAAATTAACGCTCGTTTAAAAATGCGATCCTCTAATCCGATATCCTGGATCAGTCCCTGTTATGGTGCCTTGAGACAAGATCGTGTTTCATCCGGACAGGTAGACGTCTACCAAGCCATTTCGACCTATATTTCCGAATTCCGAAGTCATAACTTGGTTTGTACAATCTCGTCCATCAAACACTCATTGGAAAGATAAAATATTTCTTATCACGGTTATGTATATGTTACTAAGATATTCGACACCTTGCGTTATCTAAAAAAAAATAATTGAAAAAAAGTTTTTTCTTCTCTCGAGTTACACTTCTTGACATAGATATGGTCTGTGGGTCGGGAATTCATACAAAATCTCTGTAGAATGCAATGTTATTTTATCCATAGCATAAAACGCTCATCAGCAGGGGTACTGTAGGTTTAGTAGGTGAAATAGAAAGAAAACATTTTGTCCTTACCACAGTGCCACTCCGCAGTTGACCTCATCGCCCAGGCAGACTGTTTATAAATCATTACATTAGTTTTGTTCATGGAAATATTATACATTTGTTGATTGGGTGTGATGTCAACATGTGTTATGTTAAACCAGAGGATTCAACTTTCGCCTGAGGCCGAAGGCAACAGTTTGGTACGAGGGTTCAACATAACACATGTTGACCGAAAATCCAGCATACAAGTGGTTTGTTATACCTTTAACCGTTGATATCTAAGAAAACGAAACATTATAGATAAATATAAATGAGAAGACAACATCATATGAGATGGGGTAGGGTTGGGGGCATTGTTGCTAGATGGCGGAAATTGTAACAACCGGGAAGTACCGAACAGTAATGAGCTGTGACGTAATCAGTCAACATCGAGATGTTGACCGGTAACTAGGCCAAACACCTGGAATTTCAGACTTAGTAGAAAGGTATAGATAATAAACAGTAACGATATAACAAATGTGAATGTCCTATTCTGAGTTAAGACGCGCTAAGGAAATGGTTGACCTATAATACTGTTGATCATTTAAATAGTTAATTGTATCTGAAAGAGTAAGTCTTAAACAATTCGGGATCTGTGATCTGTGGTTACCATTAATATTGACATATCCTGCATTATTGTGTATAATATTAAGTTAGATATGTTTTTTTCTTACTGTTTATTTATCAATTTATTTATTTATTTATTTATTTTATTTCTTTCTTATTTTGTAAAAATAACGACCGGTGTTAATTAACAATGCAACCATTTTTCAGTTAGATAAGCGAATCAGCAATGCTCTTTCAAATATGATTTTTTTCTGAAATAAAAAAAAATCTACACAACAGTTTGATTCATATTTTTCAGGTTGTCAGTGTGTCAAATCGTTTGTTGGACTAATGTTGAACTTTTTTCATGAAACACATTCTTCCATCACATTCTGTATACTGTATAATTAATCATAAATGACTTTTCAAATCTTAATTTAAAAAAAAACTCATCTCACCCGCCCGTTCCGTTCAGACAAATCTATCCGGAGATAAGTCGCCCCAAAGATTTCAACATGATCGTTTAAGTAAGGGTAACACAAGTTGACAAAAAGGTCGCACATGCTTCCAGCAAAGAAATGTACACACATTTGTTTGTCCTGCCGAGGGCACAGCATGCAGTTTTCTCCTCCAAAGTTATTATTAAAAGATTGATGGTTTCCAGTGTTGCCTCCTTCAAAAAAGACATTACCCATAGGTTGAAAAGGTCCTGGGTTAAAGGCGGGCTCGAGATTATCCGGGTTCTGACTGAAGAGCGGATGCCAGTTTCGATTAGACCGTCCAAACGCCATCCTGTGTTTCACATCGCTTGAATCAGTGACAATGGGTGTGTGCTTTGTTTGTGGTGGTATTTTCACGTTGGAGGACACATAAGGCGAAATTAGTGTTAGAATTAATGTCGTACATGCCAGTGGTATCTGTGGAAAAACAAATGTGAAATAACCTTTATTCAAAATGTGATACAAAGATATATGCAAAGTACAATGACCCGAAAATGAAAGGAATAAGATGTATGTACCAAACCCGTGCAACTGTTAACAAATAATTCTCAGTGGTAGCATACAGAAAACTGTTCGCACATCCTCAATACCCAAAGGGTTACGATCATTGTCCTTCTCTGCATCCCTGGAATATTTCATATCGAAATGAAGGCGCAGGCGAAGTAATTTGATAGGTCTAGAGCGGGTTTCAGGAGAAAAAATGACCAATCACAGAATGATAGTCTCCTTTAGAAGATTATAAAGGAGCGATATCAACTTCAAATCCTGTACAAAATACAGTGATGCAAACTCGAATTCGTTTGATGTACATCGAATTTACAAATTAGTATTCTCGTCTTATACACAAGGTGTTGTGCATGAAGATTTCTAGGGTTCCAAAGCGCGAAAGTGAGGGGTTACTTTCACTTTCGTTCTCTGCATCCCTGAAACATGTAATAATTTGATAATAACATATTACATGGTAAAGCTTAAAATTAGATAAAGAAAAATGTCATTTACCATCTTGACTAAAACCATGATGTCTGTTGGTTGTGTAAAACTCCTTTGTCTGTGCTAGTCTGTCATTGTACAGTTTAGATAAGCATTTCACATGAACAAAGGTGATCATAGTGATAAATAGATAAGCAAAATACTATACCTGTACTGTAAAGGAGAGGAACTTCTTTAATTCAAACATCAACTCAATACACAATATTGTATCGCATTGACGAGTAATACGAAATTAATTTCCCGAAAACATATTCAACTCATGCGGAACAACAAACATATTTGCTGCAATTTATGGAGAGAAATACCATCTTGTGTGTCTTATATCGGTGTGATTTTTTCCTATCCAACACACAAGAAAAACTTACCAGTGTGTGTTAAGTTGTTAGATTATGTTTTGGTTTTCTTTGTTTGCTTGCTGTGTTTGTCCCGTGAACTACATGGATCATTTTGAGGCGGGATCCCCTTGGGGCAGCTGGTGGCTGCCTCACTGAACAACATACAGGAGATCCATCGCATGACATCCAGAGCAATAAGGGTAAAATGAATTTACCAATGACAAAACTACGACAACACAGATCGGTCCATTTATTTATTTATACTAAAACAAAGCCATTCATATTAATTATTCTGTATTTTTTTCTTTCTTTTTTCCCCTCCTTTTTTTGCTGATAAAAGTAAAACAATATTTAAAAACTAGCACTATATTACTTGCACACTTTGCAAGCTTTCTATGTGTAACCCTAGTAAACTACTAGCCGAAATAGAGAGAGCTTCTCTTTAGCTCGATTGGTTGGACGCCAGACTAGTAAGCCAGGTGTCCCGGGTTCGATTCCTAGCGGAGGCTTTGAAATAAATAATGACCTCTGTTACATATGTATTAAACTTGATCGAATGACGCCTGCCCTGTAAATACCGGGCATGTTGTAAGTGACGCTTGGTATTATGATACTATTTCGTCATCTCTTTGCCATGCCATGTCTTTTTAACTTTAACATGTACCAGACTATATACAGAGAATGATCACCAGCTACTATAGCAGCACACAACTAAGATTCTGTGTTAGAGACTTCACGACTTTATGGCAGAAATTAGAGAAGGAAATCATGACAAGTTGCACTATATCAGTCATCCTCTTCGTAATGGGGGTGATCGTGCTGATAAAGGCAGGAGAGAGGGAGACTAGTGGCCAAAAGCCAAATACCAACATCAGACAACCACCAAGCAGAGGTTTTTATGGACTATCACAACAGGAACCCATGTCCAAGCGCCGTGGGTCCTGACTGCTTTGCAGGTGACAGCACCGTGGAAAAGGATGTCAAGACGCCTCATCATCGGGTAGGGAAAGATAACCACATAGTTCCAGCTGACAGTAGAAGGGATAGACCATATGATTGATAGTTGACAACCCTACCAAACGTCTGAGAACGTAGTATGATGACAGCCTTCGCGACACTAGCAGCATCAGAAGACTAGAACAGCAGACGGCTGTGGGAATGAGGAACACTGACAAGACAGGGTTACCTGGCTAGTTCAAGGTCTGGATATTTCAGAATGGCTGGCTTTCCCGCTTGACTAGGCCATTGCTGCTGTATGAGATGGTCATCACAACAGTAGAAGGCTTAGAAAGAGTCATCAACAGACATTTGCCTCAGTCCGCTGTTGTAGCTATGTATTATATAGGAAGGAGAAGTGGCCCCAGTCCCCTGTTGTAGCTATGTATTATACAGGAAGGAGAAGGGGCCTCAGTCCCCTGTTGTAGCTATGTATTATACAGGAAGGAGAAGGTTTCCCAGTCCCCTGTTGTAGCTATATAATATACAGGACGGAGAAGGGGCCTCAGTCCCCTGTTGTAGCTATGTATTATACAGGAAGGAGAAGGGGCCCCAGTCCCCTGTTGTAGCTATACATTATACAGGAAGGAGAAGGGGTCCTAGTCCCCTGTTGTAGCTGTGTATTATACAGGAAGGAGAAGGGGTCCTAGTCCCCTGTTGTAGCTATGTATTATACAGGAAGGAGAAGGGACCCCAGTCCCCTACGGAAGCTATGTTTTTATAAAGCAAGGATAAGGGGTACCAGAACGGACATTTTTTTTACTGACGGTGATTTATAATGAGAGAAAGTGACGTTAATTTTATTAAGAATTTATTTTAGTTTCAACATTCATGAAATGATCAAGATGAATTTTGATTTTATTTTGATGCGAAATATAACAATTTATCTGAGATTGGGAAAATTCATTTAATTTTATTAAATTCAACCACTTATCGATGTCTCCACCCAGTGCGGACGACCCTAAAAAAGATGGCCGTTAATTCTTTTTCGTATGAGTCTAGAAATAAATTTTATACAACAGCGTGATCATGGTGGTTTTAAAACGCTCCATATCCATAAAAGTTAAAAGTTAAAAGAATGTGTCTGCTTCTATACAAAAAGATTTTTTTTTTATTTCGGTAAGATAATTAAAGTTGGATAAACTTTAAAAACATTGGAAGAAACTATCTAAAACTAATTTATGTCAATGGAAAGATGAATCAGAGAATTGGTGTAGATGAGAAATATTCAGATAACACACAAACACTTAAAGGGAGGTCACTCTTACAAACTATATGACACACCAATTTTGTTATTGATGGTGGAGGTTAGAAAATATATATATAATTGTGGGATTTATTAAGGATTTCAATACCAATACCATTTTTCGTTGATGAATTCATTTTTAAAATGTAACATTAATAATGATTTTCTTATATATCCTGAAATAGCCTCAACATTTAAGAAATGTTTACAAAATTGACATCAGGGAGCATGAACCGACTCGTCCCGTTCCACAAGCCAGTTTTGTTTTACTTTAAATAAAAAAAAGAGAAATGTTCAAAACATTTTGTGACATTTTTAACACAAGAAATCTCTCACATCTATATGTAAGGTCAAAGAAATGTAAGGACATATTCTTGACTTTACTGGTAAAACATATACACACGACCTTTACAAGTCACTTAGAACTGGAATTTCTCTGTCGACGGTTACAATTTGGAGTCGTTCGGCATATTTTAGTTACAAGTACAAACTTGTAAAAAATAAATAAATGAAAAAAATAGTCATTTTAAAGCAAAGCTAAAAGATAGTCCTCTCTGCAATCTCCAGTTGTAACCATGGAAACATTTTTACATTTATTTTGGAAATATGGTAAAGTCCAAACTCTCATTCAAAGTCCGTGTTGTTAGAGGCTTTATTTAAACCCTTCACATTAAATATACGAAGATTTTGCTTTTGAGCTGAGATCAATAATAACAACATTCAAATACATAAAATTTACAATCCGGTCATTCACCGGATAAATATGTATATTTTTTAGAACTAGGTTTCTCACACGTCATCATGAATCTATGCCATTCTTGATAAAACAAATATATATTTAAATACCTAGTATATACGTAATTATATAATATATGTATTATATATTCAATGTGCTCTGTATGGAAAGACGGAATGTAACAAGTAAGGTTCCTAGAGGAAGCCATTTTAATATTTAATCCTATCTCCTCTTATGGAGAAATGTACACCACCAAGTTGTGTGAATGAGGAGGAGGAGGAGGAGGAGGAGGAGGGGAGCTGTATACCAATATATATGTATTACGTTGTAAGTCGATGTGTGTAAATGATGATGATTTTCAAGTGAATATCAAAGTTGTCTTGTTTATCACTTCTGTGCTAGAATGAGATGAGTTGACGTTGTTTTTGTATACTTATAATATATTGAACTTTTTTAAATACCATTTTTATGTGCTCTCAATTTATTTCATCTATATGAAATTCTTTTTTGTTTTTTTTTTTGTTTTTTTTTTTTTTTTTTGTTATTATTATTTTTTTTTGTTTAAGGTAAATAAACTTCTGTACATTATGCTATATTTCGCTTAAGTGAAAAAGAATTCCATATAAGTGAAATAAATTTTATTAGCCCTAATATATTTTTATTCTTCACGTCTGAAGTGAAAACCCTTTTTCACCTAAGTGAAATTGAACAAACAGTTAGGTAAGTGTGGTTGATAGGAGAAAATGTAACCTTCAGATTGCTTTGACCGTTATATTAGACTTAATAATAGGATAAATTCACTTAATTGAAAATAATTTAACATTATGTTTTAAACATATTTATTGTTTATAAAAAAAGTATCGGACACTATTTATATCAATTCATTTAGTCCTCTCCTAAATCAATAAATACGGGAATATTTTACAGAGGAATCACATGAAAACAAAATATATAAATTACCTATGAAGAGTGAAGACTACAAATATAGATGATAGGAGGAGAAAATTAATAAAGAGGGTGCTAGAAATATAGAGGTGAGATTAGGGACAGGAAAAGACAGGATTTAAAACACAGATAAGTTATACTGCTGTCCATTTACAGTTTTGATCTGTTCCTCTATTCCATCCAGTCTGCATATCAAAGTCTCAAATATATCCATTCCATAATATTTCACGTTTCGCTCAGTTCCACCTTGGTATTTCCAAACCAATATACATTCATCACAGTATTGGACAACCAACAGAACATAGTAACGATATGATAGTAGCATTATGTATTCACAAAGTACTTTTTTGTTTAGAATTTTTATTTTTGCCTTAAGGGAAGTAAGTTACATTTACTTTTATTATCTTTTCTATTTCACTTTGACTCAGTTGTCTGAAAATGTTTTTACCTTGAGTTGAAATAATTGTTTGCATTATTTTATTTTTCACTTAAGTGAAACTCCTTTAAACTTTAACGAAAAAACATTCTCTTTTATTCTGGGTTAGGGGGAGGGGGTGAATATATACAGCAATACAATACAATATGTACATTGATTGGCAATTGGACAATGTAACATTTTAAGTGTTATGCAATTATGTAACATATATAAGGCTGCTGTACACAGGGTTCTTGGGAGGGTGTGTTTTTGCACTTACTACGTGTTCATCGTAAAAGTGTCCAAACAAACTTCTCGTTTTTTTATGATACCATTCAGATTGCATGTCAAACATAAAAATAGTTAATACTAGTCTACAAGAAACAACAAATATAAGAATAGCAAATAAAATAATTCGTTTTATAGTGTTGATTCGTATTTTGTATCAACATTTTCATCTGGAATGATTGACCAATCGCAATAGAGTATTTTTGCGACGTTTTATGTTTCAGCCAATCAACAACGCGTAAGCTGTAATACGGGGGTCACAAACTTACCGAGGGTGAGAGAGAAGAACAAAGGGAAAGAGCAAGGAAGTCCAGTTACCAACAGGACAATTTGTAACACCTTTATTACCATCAGAGGCCATGTCCGATTCCGAAAAACAACCGGAGGAAAAGGAAGAACCTAAGAAAAATGTCATCGGTAAGTTTTGTGTGTCAAATTGATCAGAAAACGAAGAAAAACGCGAAATACTTGGGATGTCTGCGAAACTGGGTCACCGCGTGGTCGATCGAGACCATGTTCGTAGGTTTAGCGTGAGTGAAGATATTTCGATAAATTTGATATATTAAGTCTTTTGTTTGTGGTACACATTAGTATTTGTGTATATTGGTATGGTTGACTTTAATATTTTTATTCATTTTGTGTGTTTTTACCCAAAATTGCTAGCATTCAGATTTTTTTTCTCACCCGGCATGTTCCATCTCGACGAGCGACCATGTGGTTTTTTTAGGTCATGAATCTAGTCTCGTGTTTTATTTCACAGCGACGAAAGTTACCGGCACAGTAAAATGGTTCAACGTCAAAAGCGGATATGGCTTCATTAACAGGTGATTATTATTCATTTTCTATAATATATATCTTATTTATTTTAGTTCCATGGTTTCCAATATAAAATTTCCGTCCATGCCGACACCCCCCTCTCCATACCAGTGCGATCACGTGAAACGTGAATAAACTTGAATAGGGCTGTTTTGCTCGAGTGAAGACTGAATGTGTTTGTTAGCAATACAATGTGTCTATGCTTGCAAACATCACAATCTGTGGGATTTTGAATAGCCATGTTTATATATTTTATTTTGTCTACAGATTCATAATGTGCCACACCCCCTTTTCGGGTGTAAAGTGCAAATTGATATACAGTACAGTATCTTATCATTATAGGCATAAGGGTTGACTCAGTCAAGTGTGTGATGGAGTGTAAAATGATCACGAAAAACTCAAATGTTATAACAAACTTGGACATAGAAAAGTGTAGAGGTGTGATCAAATTCATATTTCTAAAATTGCCACAGGACTTCTTTTTTAATATTGAAGAAGTGCCTGTTAGACATCTCAGTGGTAATATTTGATTTCAAACCCATGCTTTAAATTAACTTTTATTGTGTTAGAAAATCTCAAAAGAACTTAAATGATGCCATGAGCTGGTATAGTTATAACAGATCTATATATGTTTCAGTTCATGACAGATTTTGCTAGCAAGTTAAATTTAATGTGATGTGAAAAATAGATAAAAGAATTATTTTATATGCATTTGTTTTCTTAATTTCTCTCAGATTTGTTTTTTGAAAACTATTTTTTAATGAAAGAAATTATATGACTATATTTCCTTATAGCATCTTATTATGATTATGAGTAAGTGAAATTCAGACGGTGATGTTTTTCTGGAAAATGACAAAGATATTGTTGTGGGATCCATGAATTATCAACAATTTTCTGATAATTTTGACAATACTAGATAACTATTTTTGTGTAGAAACACACATTGAACTTATCTTTCTTTTGTTTCATAGAGATGACACCAAAGAAGATGTATTTGTCCATCAGGTAAGAATGAAGTGATACACAGATTCATTATCAGTCTCCGTAATCAATTCATTGTCAATTTCCATAACCAATTCATCATCAATCTTTGTTACCAATTCTAGACTTTTTTTTTTTTTTAAACAGATTATTCCAGATTTTTTTTCTTATTATCATTATTTTGATAATTGATTTGTGTGATTTGTTTAAAAAAAACCATTGAACTCCTACAAGCTGTCTTTTAGATTGTTAAAATGTTTGCTACATGTAAATGTGATACACACTGATTTGAAAAATCTAAAGCACTAGACTGGAAAACCAATATAAAACTGATGGGCAAGTCACAAGTTTAACATCAATTAATTTCCAATTTCCAATTTCCAAATGTTTGATAACAAAACCTACAGAACTCAAACAGAAAAAAAAGTAGTTGAAAAACAGCTATGCTAACATTACACTTTTCATTTATAAAAACACCATGCATTGTTAATCTAGAAGACAGGAAGTACTACCCATTCAAAAAAAGCTATTTCAGAAATTTTGCACAGCCCATTTGGGTAGTTTTCAAGAGCTGTGATCAATATACAAGACATACATGAATATTACACAAATGAAATATGTCACTATTTAAATTAGAATCATACCTCTTTTTCATGGTTGCACAATTTGCTAATATGTTAATTAAAAATATACAAAATAGCTATTTGTGAAAAAATTTTCCTTATTTTGTTATGTTTTCAATACATTTCCATGATAGAGAATTTTGTTTATATAGAGGGGAAAACAAACCACTTAGGGAGTACTAGAGTTTTTCTATCCATAAAATTTGTTTATTTTAATCCCTGTAATGGAAAACATCCATGTTTGAAAATGGGTTTTAGATCAATATGCGAAAATTTTATTGATCAAATGGTAGCAAAGCGGCATACTAATCATCAGTTACTTTTGTTAATCAGCACACCACAAGTTCTATTTGGGGATCAGGCCTTTTAAAACAGTGAACCAGTGCTGGTAGAAATGCAGGGTTTTTTTTCCATGGCATTTGACGAGGTTCCAAATCCATTTTAGTTAATATTTTAGCTATTGAACTTCCCTGGAAAAGAAAAAGCTGTAGTTGCAGCTTTAAAGGAACAGGGGATGTTTTTCTTTACATTGTGTACAATTATGAACTGATCTTTACACACATTGATTCAATGACATTGTTTCTTATTTGCAGACTGCCATCACCAAGAACAACCCTCGTAAATACCTCCGAAGTGTTGGTGATGGTGAGAAAGTCGAGTTTGATGTCGTAGAAGGAGAAAAGGTAAAACTGGATTTCAACAATATATCAATAAATGATACAAACAGGCATACACTGCCGCTAACTCAATAGATATCCTGACTAGATTTTTTGTGGGTTCTGTACCAAGATCTATTATTCAATTAATATATGGTTTGTACTGTACTTGTTGTCAACTAAATCAGCCTGCGGACTAACAAGTTTAAATATGTTTTACGTCTATATTATATCATTATAAAATTATACATTTAAACATATTATACTAAGTTTGCAGGATTTGGAATAAAATATTTCAGTTAAACTAAAATTGTCCTGTTTGCTGATCATTTAAATGAGATTTGACATGAGTGTGTGAAATGATAAAAGTTATTTTCTGCTGCAGGGAAATGAGGCATCCAATGTGACTGGACCTGAGGGCAATCCTGTCCAGGGCAGCAAGTATGCTGCTGATCGCCGTCGTTATCGTGGCTACTACAAAGGAGGACCTGGAGGCCGTCGATTCCCACCTTACTCTCGCAATGTAAGTCTCGAATTTGGTTCTCATTTCCAATTTACACCCTAAACTACTCTAGCTCCATCTCATTCAAATAACACGAGTTAAGTCAGTACAGAAAGCTACACAAATAGTCCACCTTAATTTTCTGCTGTCTTGTCACTGAATTAACATGAGTTAAGTCAGTACAGAAAGCTACACAAAAAGTCCACCTTAATTTTCTGCTGTCTTGTCACTGAGATACAAATGGAATGTAAACCATGTCCGTTATCATATGATTCTGATTCTGTGTGTGTTGTGATTTGGAACCTTCGTATTCTTCAGGGTGAGGGTGGTGAGGGAGAAGAAACAGAAGAAGGGGAAGAGAGACAGAGGCGCCCCGCAGGACCACCTCGACGAAGGCCATACCGTGGAGGATACTTTGGTGGTTACCGTGGTTACTTCCGTGGGAGCAATTACCGCAGGGGCCCACTGAGACCACCCCCAAGGTACCAGAACCATGGGGGACAGATGGTAGAAGAGGACGGGCAGTACATGGATGATCAATTCCGTCGTCGTCGTCGACCCTTTGGCTACCGATTCTACCAACCACGAAACCCAAGGTACTATGGCCAGGGTGGTGAGGATGACGGATCATTCAGGGGCCGTCCTTATAGAGGAAGAGGACGCGGCGGTCGGGGGCGTGGCAGAGGCCGTGGAAACTCAAGGAAGAGGGTAAGTCTGATAAAGTGAAAATGAACATTTTTGCTATGAAATTGTATTGTTTTCAGAGAAAATATATAAGGAATATTGCTTTGCTTTATATTACATGTTCTGAACTTTAAGCATCAAAGGTTAGGAGTTGGGATTAAAAAAAATTGATCATTCCTGACAAAAATTTTGTCAGTTTTAAGTCGAGTAAATGATTAATGATTGTTGAAAAATTCAGCTATTGTAATGCTGAAATAAAAAAAATATGAGGGAGTTGAATTAAGTTAAATAAGTTTTTTGTGGAAAACTGGCTTCTTGGCCAAAAGTTGGTATTGTCTAAAGATTAATTGTTTAATTGTAGATAAACAAAGATAACCAAGAAACCAACAGCCAGGAGGGAGGAGATTCTAACGATGCCGGTGCTGAATCCTCAGGCGCAGGAGATGAACGAAATGATGGAGGAGAGCAGGTCGAGTAAGCATCTCTCGCCGGCAACCATCTTGCATCACCATCCAAGAACATATTATGATAAACCTTTGTAGTCCAGCAGTCTAGAATCCTGCATCTGTGTATTGCTTTAATCACATGGCCTTTTTCCTTATGTATTTAAAATCTTGACATGGCCGACTTGACGTAACCAACGCAGGAGCAGATAGCGGCAGGTCTAAAAATGTTCTCTTTTGTGTGTAGGAAGAAACACCAACTCACTCGACTATGCAAAAATAACATGCCATGAATGATATATATATATAGATAACTTTTCCTCCGAAGACAAACAGATGAGAAAGGTTGAAAATTTGTCTCTGATGGCACACATAAGAGAAAAGTTGATGACTTTGACTCGGACGATGAACTGAAGAGAAAAGTTGTTTGTGTGACTTTTACACAATAAATTAACAAAAAAAGAAAAAAAAAGAAAAAATTATACAAGGAACAAAAGAATTTTTATACTAATATTTAACAAAAAAAGAAAGCGGAATGAAGTGCATTTCAATTCCAAACATATTTGAAGAAACTATTTAACAAAATATGGCAAATATTGGAATAGATTAAAGTTGACTGACTTGGTGTTGCACGTTTTATTATGATACCAATGTTATTTGATAGTGCTTAATAATTGAAATTTCTCACAGAGGTCTACATCCAGTTTCTGTGTAGATCCAAGAAAAAAAACCCAGGCGGCGAATGAAATTTTTACGTCTGAAAGACAAAATTGTGCATGAAATAAACATCTGCATTGAAAAAAAATGTTGTTTGTGATCTGGTGTCTATAATGGAATAATACTGAATTGCTTCCCTTTATAATAAAGCTTATTCAAAAGTTACCTACATTTATTTCGAATTAACAGAATTTATGAATATCAATCTTAGCATAAAATAATTAAGTATTATTAAATATTTTTATGTTTTTCATTTTTGTTAATACTATGAATATATATTTATAGAAAACATCATTTGATGTTCTAAAGTTTGAAGATCTGGCTTTTTTCCTGAATTTGTACATGAAATAGAATTCTTCATGAAAAATATAAATGATAATTAAGGGAAGTAATCCAGTTTATCTTTGTCGAATGCATCCTTTGGACACTTTCGACAGCAGTTGTTGCATTAGCCTCTTAAGGAACAAAGTCGGGTGTTGCTTGTAAAGTCTTGGTCAACTAGTGTCTGGTTGTCGGAGGCATTATCTTTGCGATGGTGTCATGGTTTGAAAATTTTGAAACCGTATAAAAAGTGGTATCTGAATCAAGAACCTCTGACCTTCACATTTTACTCTATTCCATATACGACCCAGTATTCTTACAATTTATAAATTTTAGGGTTCCACAGAAAACTGATTTGTAGAATGACCCATTTTCAATACAGTTGTAAATCAGACATTTGTTGAACTGCAAATAGATGTATGTAGGCTTATTACAAGACATGGACTTCTCAATGGATAGATTCAGTATGAAAATGTGATGCAGATTTCTCTTTTAGTACTACTTTTTTAACTTGTGTTTCCAAATTTATGCTATAATTCTTCTGTCAACAACTAATTTTGAAATATCTGCTCATTGGACCAAAGGTTAAGTAGGGCAGATCAATGTCCATATAATGCACACAGAAATACTGCTGTTAAAATCATTACAAATATCAAATTAATTGTTTACTCAAAATGCTACTGAGAAAGTTAATTGCGTTTCAATGTGGTTAAACCTACTGAGTTATTTGTTTAAATTGAAGGAGGGAACAAATAGTCCTGCACTATTCCAAATATTGTTGAATGTAAGTATTGGTTAAGAAAACATATTCCCATATCATTGTTATAAAGCCTACCAAGTAACGAAGGACTCCATTAAAATTTAGTGGGAGATGTCCAGTCAAGACTAAAATGAAGAAAACAAAGGGCAATAACTCTCTAAATGTCGAAGAAACTCATTTATCACATAATAGAAAATGTCTGAAAACCATAAAAGCCCCTGCTGTAAAGACTTGAACTTTGACACCTACAGTACATCAAAGTCCAAAGTATACTTATATTTGATTGCTAACCAAATGCTATGGCAGGGCATAAAAAGATTCTTTTATGCTTGTAAAGCCTGCAAAGAGTTCAATATTAGAGGTCGGTTGGAAACTGGGAGATATTAGACTAAGTTTTGAAAAGACATTCCAACTCCCTTTACTGAAAACACAACTTCATGCCATAATAATTTAAAGTCTACAAAGTAAAAGAGGTCTGCTGAAAACTAAAGATGGGCATGTGGATATGCTTCCCATCGAAAAATTTGTTAGAAAAACTATTGAATCAGAATATCATTCTGGAAGATATGATTTCATGTAATGGTAGTTATGTCGACCAATTTTAAATAGAAAACACGGATGGATCTCCACAAACGTAAAGGTTTACAAGGGGCAAATAGACAACACCATAGTGAAGGTACTTCAGTAGTGAAAAAGAAGGGTATATAATTTTTTTCCTCCTGAAAGGAAGGATGGAATTGTTTATAATGATGTAACTTTGCAGGCTTTCTGATAACTGAAATGAACGATTAAATAGGATTGTAGGTAAGTTTGATTAAAACTGCAATAAATATGAACCATGTGATGATGAATTAAGTCCTTAACACAGCAAAAACATTTTTGTGAGAGGAGGAGGAAGTTTTTTTTTCATTTTTCAAAGGTTTTCTGAAGTCACAAATCTTTACGCCCAGGAATGTTTAGATAAGCATAAGATTTTTTGACCTGTATAAATTTATCCATCAAATCAAGTGTGTTCATGAGAAAGTATTTTTCGGAAAACCATGAAAATCAAGCCCCACAAAAATATATGATTAATTAAGTGTAGTTCCAATTAATAAGAGATTTGAATGAGCAGGTGTGGATATCGCCACAGAAAAGAATTGTCCATCAGGCTTAACATTCATGATGGGTGAACATCCGCTGTCGGTCAAACCCTGTACATCATGTAGAGATCAAAATTTCATAGTATAAAACAACACAGTTAACATAAGAATGTTTTTTATTTAACTTCGGTTATATTATAAAGATTTGTAAAATAACAACATCAGTTAATGTCCAAGTACAACCATAACATCTCTGCTGTAAGATTGAACAAGACAATTTCATCATTTTCAATGAAATGGTTCAAGAAAGAGTGGCAGGCTTTTTAGAAATATTATTATTACTTCACTTAATAATTTTTCATCTCAACTATTAAAAAATATATTTGTCTTTCCGGGCTATTGTTCGGTTATATATGTTTCAAATTCAAGATAAAAATTGTGAGCAGATTCTCTTAAGATAGTATATTGTACCATGTAGTACACATATCATCCAGATTTCTCTCATTTAATTTTTGTAGCATATGTCATCCTTAATTTACAATATATATGTGGAACGTTTGCCCAAAGGGCAAAAATAGGTGGTTAAAATTTTGATGTTAAAATATAATTAAATTTTTCATGATTTTGAAATGAAAAGTTTTAGATGAGACCAGAAACCAACGGTAAATGTTTCCTGTAGTTATATATACTCTATACTGAAAAATGTTCACCCTTTTCATCAAAGAACAGTGAGGGCAAATTTAAGATGAGGGCATTAATTTGTTAAACTTTCATGTAACCCTCGATTAGGGAAAAGAACATGAGGCAAATTTGTGTTCAATGGTACGAGGGCAAAAATATTTTACAGCGAAAATATCCTGGTATTCAGTAGTTAGGGGGAAATATTTCATGTTTTTCATTAGTTCACAAGGAATTAAATATTGTGCTTCTCTGCCTAAAACAATAACTTAGAAAGCAAACATCAGATATATAACTTTTAATTAAGATTTTGAGTACTTGTAGGAAATGTTTACTGGGTGTTCAATTTCAAACGATCTTTAATGACGGCCATTATACCACTAATTATACAATCAAAGTTTTCATAACATGGTGACATATTCTAGAGCAAGTCTCTTCACATCAGCAATCACGTTGCCGGATGCGACATTGAGAATTATTGACTCTGTACCAGGTGAAGTACACTGATACCAGTCCTGATAGAAAGTTATAATTAATTCAAAACAGCCTGAATAAATAACAACATTGCTTCGTGCAAAATATACCAGTATATATAATGTAGAATGAACAACCCATTTCTTCAATATACTGGTGTAAAAGATTGTGAATGCAGCATTTTCTATTTTACATCATTCGTTATCAACAGCAGTAGAAAAAGTGAAAAGATATTGCCTGGAACTTAACAAAGATGCCAAGAATTATTTTGATAAACATTATCAATACAAAAATATAAAGAGTATTGAAATTTCTACACAAAATCCCATTTTCACCAGAATTTCAATGGATACTCGTTTAACTTCTATTTTTCCTAAGAACAGCTCTGACTTAGTCACTGATGCAGAAATACCATAGCTCTTACAGGGTGAAAAAGCTTCAAATTGTAACTGTCTAGCTGAACACAATTTTAGGATTGTTCAATAAATAACTGAATGAGATACAAGTACAGTGAACAATGAGTATATATATAAAAAGGATCTTAAATAAGTTTAAATTATATGAGATTTTACTCAACTTGTCTCAAAGTTTGCATTCTTGCTTGCCTTAAGTAAAACTTGTTCCATTAAATTTCATATAATTTAAGATACTTTTTATTATATTACTCCAGAAAGTTACAGGTTTGAAAGTAATTTTTGTAGAGCTATTTTCAATTCATAATGCAACATCATTATCCATATTATGACAATCAACCAATGAAAAATGCTCTAGGGTATATTACACTTGTGACATATATACAAAAATATTACACCAGAGAATTCACTGGATAACAGGCGGATTATGTGATAGATATATAGTGACGTGTTATAAGTATTTGTGTAAGTGTCTAAAATTGTAATACAATACTTATATTATACAATTATGAACTTTTTACTTGGTTAACATGCTGTGATATTGACCAGAAGATAAATAATGAATGAGACGAAGCAGAGGTCAATATTTGTATTCTTCAGGTCAATATCACTGAACATTTACCACGCAAAAAGTCCATAACTGTTTTATCATATAATCAAGATGGATTAATGAAGATGCAGCTGATTTTCTGTGCAGGAGGAGCATACACTCCATATTTCTGGTCGTCATTGCTGTAATAGGAGTCTGGATGTTAGGTTATTTACAGAATTTATTTTCAGCAACACCTCATGGATATTAAGCGATTGTCTAATGTTAACTAGTTTTGTTATATAAACTGGCTGAACTGGAAAATATCCATTTGATATCAAAATTGAACAAAAGTCAAGTGTAAAGGATTTATCTAATGGCAGAAGGCATACAGCCACATTATATGAAAAATTTTGATATAAACAAAATTTTATACAATGTAAAAAATCAGTATTACATATTAGAATGTTATTACATAATGTATATCTATTAGTTCCATTTAAGCAGAATCCATGTAAGATTTAAACCAATTGGTTCTGATAACTTATATTGCCGTACATATAATGGGAATCTTTTAACACCCAAATTTGCCTGATGTTATGGGCAAGTAAGAAAAATATACCAGAACACAGACTTATTACACAAAACAGGATGACATGTTGAACCCTGAGCTGTGCCAGTTCCGATCGTAATATCACAGCTCATTCATAAGTATGTTCTAATTCTTAAAATAGAGTACCACTGATTAAAAATGATAAACTTCTGATATTTCTCACGATGCACAGCTCAGCGCCAAATATTTTCTGGAAAATGTGCGAAAACAATGGCAAAAATTGTCGCCTACGCCGGCCTGTCTGCATGTCGACTTTAGTCGCCTACAGCACCAAGTGGGTTAAATAGCATTACAGCATTACTGGGGTCAGCAGATATAAAAGATAATGTAGACATTTACAAAAGAGACTGTGGTACCTTCTCTTTTTATCTAAACTTAAGAATTTATAAAAGCACTTCAGTTTTACATTTATACATAGAGGATCAGGTGTACAAAATCACGACCAAGTTATAAAGCTGGTAAAATGAAGATCAATTAAAAAAAAAGAGACATTGCAATGGACGGTTTATTAATTTTATAATAAAATTTAGATACAGTTGAACCTGTCTACAGAGGCCACTTGATGGACCCGACAAAAGTGGCTTTTATACAGAGGTTATATAGAGGTTCTATTACAATAAATTGCATTCAATAAGGAATCAAAACGTGGCCTTTACAGACAGGTGGCCTGTTTATAAAGACGACCTTTGAGACCGGTTTAACTATATATATTTATATATGTACATATTTCTGATTATCGATCAACGAAATAACCAGATGATTCATAATATAATTGCTGATCAACAGCCACAAGGTATAAATGCAAAAATAACATGATAAAAAATCTCCTAAACATTTAAAGGACATTTTGCACAATGCTCTTTAAAGGTAATACACGATACTACATATTACATGTAATGTACAATCATAACTGAAATTCCAAATTTCAACAATTCACTATCGAGACTATATATATTTGAATAAGTCAAATGCAAGGTAAAAAAATTCTAAATTTTGTATCTGTTAGTGTTTTAAAAAGCACATTACTTTTCCTTTTCAAAATGATAGAATTTTACTTAATTTGTGTAAGAAAAGGTTGAATTTTGAAATGTTAACGTAAGTATACTACATGTATATCGATATAATACCACGGACGTTAAGTACTAATGAGTTAAAGGTTCACCTATTGATCAACAATGGGTATATATATGTTTGAAAAATGAAACATATTTTCATCTACAGATTCCAAATGTACTAGTCGTTTCTGACCTAAGTTCCAGACTGGAAAGCACCCTATATGTTACAAACCAATCAGATATGCCACAAACATGAGCAGCACTTGACAGGTTCGTAACAAACTCCTTGTCTTGTGCGACGGTCGATCAAACTGTCACGCTTCGCCATGTTGATAATCCAGAAGGGAATCATGATCACAAAAAATACTGCAAGAAAAACAAGACAAAAAATCTAATTATTAATTTTACAGATAATGTCTCATTCATTTTTTTCAATTTTCATAGAGAAATTAATTAAATTAAAAATCAAATAAATGATGTACATATTCAAGGCCATGTGTAATCTATATTTTAACACCCATATCTTAAGACAGTAAGTTTAATTTACGAGACATATCCAGGGTTTGTTTGTTTGTTTATACATCCTGAGCAACTAAAGTAGAAAGATTGTCTTGCCCATGGACACAATTATATCAGCAAAGATCAATCCATTTCTTGGCTTCTTGAGAAACAAAAATCACCAGGTGTAGGGAGTGTCAAACAATGAACCTTCACTTGTAGGCTAACACTCTAACCATCTGAGCTATCGCAGCCCCATGAGGGTTATGTAAAAGATTCATTTTCAATGTAATAGACACTGTATATACCATATTTATTCTAATGAAAGCTTTTTTTCTGGATACACCCTGTCCCCCTACTTAAGGGTTTGTTTGTTTGTTTTTTTTTTTTTTTTTTTTTTTTTGTATGACTTACTTTGTGGTAAAATAAATTTCAATACATGTGCAGCATAATTCCAGAATATACCAACTTGTATTTCCAAAACTGAACAATCCTCAAAGCATGCAGTCATAAAACGAACACAATTTCTACTTACGAAAGTGTTAATATGAGCTCAAAATCAAGAGTCACAGACTGTCACACAAGATCCCTATGAGAAATTTTATGCCCCCATCCCCCCTGAAGCGTCAATTAGAATGAATATAGTATATAAACAAAGTATGGATAACACCTCAAAATATGAGTATGAAACTTACTTATGGAGGCGCAAGTGAACCAAGCAATCGCTAGAGACATATAGTATAATTCTTCTGTCGTAGATTTCTGTAAGTTATTGAAAAAAAGGAAAACTTGATTAAAATTGCAAACAACTGTATGGAAAAAACATTTCTATTTCTCCTATGGCATCCTGCCCTCCATCTGTTAATAGATAACCAAATTCCTTTCATCCTATGGTGCTTTACACAAAATTTGGTGAAAAATCTACTTGATTGTTCTAGATAAGTAGTATTATAAAGAGAACATTGTTAGACCACTATGAGGTAAGGTTGAAGTAAAACTGACAATCCCTTTGATTGATCAGTTGTTTTAGGTTTGTTTTACTATTTATCACTTATTTTTCTGTTCAGTTTTCTAAGATCTCTGTCAAATAAATAATTCAAGGCTGTTAGTACATGTGAGTTAAAAAATTTTCAATTTCAAAATTAACAAACAATTACAATTCCAATTTCGTTCGTACCAACTTCCTTTAAAAAGTCATTCAATCTTCAAAAAAAATAATTTCTTACAATGAAAGCAGACTGAATACAGTCGAACTTGTCTTAAAGGCCACCTTTATACAAAGACCACCTGTCTGTAGAGGCCACTTTCTTGGTTCCATACGGAATTCATAGTAATCAAACCTCTATATAAAGGTCACCTGTGGATAAAGGCCAAATTTCTCTTGAGTGATAGGGTTGACTGTGTTATACTGCTTTATCAAAATATTTTATTTACAATGCTGATATACCAGGAGGATACCTACACAGTTGCCAGCCCTGGAGGTATACACGACTGCCACCAGACCTTCTATAAAACACATGATCCCGAATATGTGAAACACAATCTTCAACTCCCGAGGTACAGGTATCATCAGCATGAACAAAAAGGTAAAACCTGCAAACAAACATGAGAAACAGAAAAAAAACTATATTTAAACTTTCACTTCTGATGAAATATATTTCAATTAACATTAAACAATTTAGTGGCAATCGTATTGAAGTACTTTTCATAGTGAAGTATTGTGATAAAATATGATTGTGCAAATTGTTGCTTCCGTATATTGTAATTAAAAAGCACCTCAATGCACTAATTAGCTAAAAAGTGATCAAGTGCTAAAATGTGATACCAGGAAATTAAGTATGTTGGTAGTAAATCACAGCAGAAACTGTTCATTGTTCAAAAAAATAAAAACTTTTTTTTTTCTTCTTTTTACAAAAACTTGTCACTTTTATAGTTATTATAAAACTTTTATGACCAATCAAAACACTGCTTTCTTCTTGCATGCAAACGAACCAAAAGCTGAAATAAATAGCAGTTTTATCAAACTATCTGTTGTGTACGCTCTCTTCAAAATTGAGTTCTTTAGTTATGATGTGGAACATCAGTGACTTATGAACTATATGACATGGATAATTTTTGCTTTTGATTTTGCAATGTACTACTTATTAGTGATTTTTATCTTTCATCCCTCAAAAGTGTAATAAACAGAAAATTTAACAATTTATAAAGTACCATCCCTGACACCATGGAAAAAGTAGTGTTAGAGATTCGCATCAAACACTCACCAATGGAAATGAATGTGAAGATAATGGAGACGATGAGAAGCTGAAGAAGAGGTTGCTCGCACCAACGCGATGTTGTCGGCTGTAACAGGATGTAGATCTGGGGTACCAACAATCCCAGTGTGATCAACATCATCACAATAAATCTGGAAATAATACAGTAAACAGTGAACTCCTCAACAAGGGAAAATATTGCACGTTTCATGTGTTTTCACTGCTGAAAAGTACGGCTTCACTTTACAAGGTAGCACTGCCTCAAAATGAATGTCAACACACCAGTTTAATTAGCAAACAACATCACAGCGCATTCTCGACCTTAACAAAATGAAATATTCTTGAACACCCAAAGTCCTTTTGAGGTAGGGTCACTTTGTAATAACTGGTGGTTACTTCACTGAACAACATACTGGAGGCCCATTGCATGCTGTCTAGAGCAATGATAGATAAGAGAGAATAACTAATGGTACTTTTATGTTAGAAGCAATATCTGAAAATGTCTCAAAACCTATATCAACATGTATGGTTTACATGAACCATAACTAATGGCCTTTAACATAAACTTATGAACGAATTATGCAGAGGCACATTGAGAGGAATCTTAACAGTCTATTACATTATAACAATATGGGCTAAGGGGCTATAACAGCTGTAGTGCTTCAGTATTACCCGGCCAACAAGTAGATGCTGGCCAAGCTATGTACCTGAAGAGAGGCAACTTAATTATTTACTGCCAAATAGAATTCTTGGGGGACTTACGGATTATATAATGAAGTAAAATGCCTAAATTGAAGATGTACCACAGCTGAAATACCCTCAAGATTAATATAAACTTAAACATATGTTAAACAACTATTTCTCTCTAACTGGTTAAAACTTCAGAATACCATTTAAAAGTATACTATTTGCATGTAGCTGGTTATTTTCACACATCAAGTTTTTGCAATTTCTTTTTAAGATAAACAAATTGTGTTCTTAATGTTTCATGATCAGGATGTAAAATGACAGCCGATACACATGTATATCATTATTTCATGAAGTAATTATAAGCGATCACATTAATGTACCACGAAATAACTAAAAATACTATCATTGTGAAATTAACTGGCTACCCTGAGCAAAATCCTAGTGAAAGTAGGATACACATTATTTCTATAATACATAGAGATACAAGAAAAATACTTACATCTTGACACGGTTATTTTGCGGAAACCATCGGATAAGATGGTAGGAATTGTGAGCCCAACAGTAATGCCACATCATAAGGCAGTGGCAAGGCTATCCTCAACTGCAAGTAGAAGATATACTGTCAAAACATAATGATATACAGATTGTATTGAACATAACAGCTCAAAATATGGCTGTAATCTAGCTGCCATTTTCGATGACATGAATCCTGTCGAAATGTCTAGCTCCATTTTCAATGACATGAATCCTGTTGAAATGTCTAGCTCCATTTTCAAGATGTTCCTTTGGTGATCAGGTTTGATCTCTGATAAGGTAATTTGAATCACTGGCTGGTATTGTTTGCCGACTTATATTGAAATGATACTTTACAATGGAATTGAGAGGTTGTGTTACTAGTAAACAACTTTTTCGTGTTCTCTTTTTGTGTTTTTTTGTTCCAGGCTTTATAATTTGTCAGTTTTTCATTGGTTCAAGTCTTATTTTTCACTAGTGAAATGTAACAAATATGTGTTATCATTGGCAAAAATGTAATAAATTCTTATTTTTTAGATTTTTTTTTATTTTATGAAAGATAACGTCTATTACTTCCGTTTCACTTAAGGATGATGATAATTTTGACCAATTGAAAGTTCAGAAGATCTTTTCACAATTTTCCTTTCAAAATGCCTACAAACACATGTGATGGCCATTCATTTTCTACTATTCCAAACTGACAGTGCACTTATTCTCTTTTCCTCCTAGGGACTCATTTATATGTGACGTTTGACCAGTCAGACGAGGGGTATTGTCAAACGTCTGATATCACCAAATCCCAAGGAGGAATCCCAAAAAGGATTAACAGTGCACTCATACTCATAGGGATTTGCACAGTTTCAAATGACGATGCTAGCAATGAATATATTGATATTTATCGCTAATTATTTTAGATAATAGTGTACATGTCCTTGTTGCTGATTGGTACGCAACTTGTTTCTGTAAGTTCTCGTGCAGAACTTTCGTCCATTTCCGTTTTCATTCTTTGCCATTTTATTATCACGCAGTAATAACGGATTTGGAAAAAAAATGTATGATTGTGCATTTTAAGTAAATGAATACCCTATAAAACTCAAATAATGGCAAAGACATCGTTAGAGTACAATATTCCTTACCAAAATGTTTTGAAACGGTGGGTTGGCAAGCACTTGTTTACTTCCAAAATGTCCGACACCGGAACTTAATGACTAAGAACGACAACTCTCATTGCCACTTTGAAATTTAACGTGCTACGTCTGGTTAGTTTTACAATTTATAAATACTTTCCATATTTATTCTGCGATTCAAAAACAACGCATGTACAAGTCTTTTATCAATCTAAGGCATACATTCTGATCAAATACAAAAAGAAATGAAAATGAATTAGCATTTGTTAAAAAAGATACAAAAGAAGACTGCATGCAGATTTTATGAAATAAATTCATTATAGATTTATTCTTGGACAAAACGAATTTCTCCTCTTTTTTTATTATCATGTTTATTCAGGTAAAGGCATAATAAAATTACACATTACAAATATCACATTACATAAGCAATTCAATAACAATTAAAATCAGTAATAAATTATTGTGGATTTCTTAAAATTATTAATTATAAAATATAAGATATCACAGAAGAATTTCACGTACCTTAAAATATCACAGTTTAAACTAGTATCGCAGAAATTAAATTACACTGTGCTTGCAAATCTTCTAAGTAAAATAGTTGAAAACTTTAGAAATATCAATAAAAAAGAGAGAAATTAGGTAAAACCAGATGAAAATGCCTTTGGCCTTGGATTACCCATAAAGCCTATAAAATAGGCTTATTTCCAATGGGGTCCATTTAAGGTGTTATCATTCCGGTTGAGATGTAAAGCCATGGAAAATGATATTGAATTAATTTCGCAGCATTAACTATAAATGAAACAGAGCACTCCATTTGAAAGAAAATTACATTTACATACAAGATATGAAAACAAATACTGAAAGTGAATAAAATGTTTTGGCACATTTCAGGGCATTTATGAAAAAGGATGGGATTTGAAGAGATATTACATAATAATATAATATAAATTTTCAAAGTGCCAAATAACAGAAACAAATCACTAGATAAGCAAAGAACGTTGTGAAATTTTACCACAATTATGTATGTCTAACAAACGTGTCCCAGCTATATCCAGATTCATGCTATGGTGAATTAAACCCAACTGGCTTTGGTGAAATGACGCATTTCAGACAAACGGTTAAAGGTTTTGTCATTAAATTTCTGTATATTTTATACTCAACATATCAAGAGTTTGTAAAACTTAGTTTTGGTCATTAAAAATTAAATGAAAAACAGGGCCCAAAGGGTTTATGTATAGCTAATTAATCTCCTACAAATGTAAGGAATATGACCTCCACGTGCAGTTAGCTGGACAAAAAAGTTTCTTGCAACGAGATCTAAGACAATATTACATGTAGAAATAACCAACTTTTCCCAGATCAGAGATATGTTCATTCCAATATTTAATTTTTTCCCATGTGACCCTTTGGTCTCACCTTGGACCTTGAAAGTGGGCCAAGGTCATTCATTCCAACAACGTTTTGGTTATCCAGAAATCATTTGAAAAGTTGAACATATTTGACCTTCTAAGTGGAGTCAATATTCATTTATTTGATGAAAACGTTGATTATCCTTATTAGATAATAAAATAAACTGTTTAGAATTTTGGAAACCTTTGTCACAGAAGATGATGAAAGTGAGCAAATGTCAAACTTGTGTGCAGGTGAACTAAGAAGAGAAAAATTATTATGTTGAAAGGTATTAAATAAAAGGTTCAGGATAGCTCAGGTGTAGAGTCTTACATAGTCTCTGGTAAAGATCAGAGATGCATGGAGATCAAAGCTGAGAAATGGACTAGTCTGTGCTGATGCGATGGTGCCCTTGGGAAAGACACTTTTACTCTAATTGCTCTTGATAACATGTGACGGGCCTCCCATATGTTGTTCAGTGAGGTGATCATCTCCTGCAACATGGAGACCCTGCCTTAAAATGACCCTGGCTGTTTATGAGGTGGTTGACAAAAAAAACAAACAAACAAACAACAAAAATGTCATGAAAATGGTTTTAATATACAATTGATATTTTATGATTCAAGATGAAAATTCATTCAGATTCACAATTCAGTAAAATTTCATAACAAGTTGAATATTACAAACATTTGTAGAAATTCCTGTATACTTACATTCTAAGATCCAATATGATTTCATACAAATGAGGAGATAAAAACAATATATCTCAGTATAAAGGAAAATAAACAATTCTTTCTTCTTGTATTGGAATACCAGCTTTAGCTTAACATTCCTAAGAATTCTCTCCATTTTCCCAACATAATTGATATGAAATCATTATAAGAAAATTAAAACATTAGATGTATCCATGTGAAAGAATATGTAGATTATAACCCAAGTCAACATTATGGCCATAGTGATGCCGAGGTCCTCTCACAAGCACACATTCAATCATCAATTTTTATTTTTAATTCTTCTCAGACAGTGTACCTCTACATAATTAGCTTTGAACAAGGTCTTAACAAGATATCACAATGAATTAATAATCCCAGAATATGAGTGTTGAGAAAATTTGTTTCCTTATTAAAATGTGCTGCAGTGTTGAATTAAGAGTCAAAACACATTTTTGGGGTGACGTTAATGTACTATGTAATATTGAATATATCTCCCCACAACAATAACCAGCTATGAATCATGATATTCTATAACGTTCATTGATTAACAAATCTTAACTATTGATAAATCACACTCACACACACGCATAAAAACAAAAAAAATAAATGCCAGCAAGTGACTGAGAAATCTTTATTTTCATTTTTGATTTCGTATTTGTGAAAAAGTTGTCACAAAAAAAGAAACAAAAAAAAACTATATTTATGAATTTGTGATGAATCCCTCTCCCAATTTTTCGTCGTAACATATTTATGACAATATCTGATGAAGATAATCAATATTGAAACATGCATGGTCTGGGTAATATTAAACAATTTGTATATAAACAGATCTCTTACCAATGAACTATTTAGTTATTTATTAAACAATATAATAATGACATATGAATTACAATATTGTAACACAAACGCCTCAGAATTATTTCATAAACTATATCTGGTACAATACAAAAATTGTATATTATTTTGATATAGAATTTGACCATATATTGTAACAAAGATGTATATACAATAAAAATTATGGTTAAAAATTTTGAAATGCTTTAAGATACCCAGTACTGTACAATCCTGAATTTTCGTGGGGGACTTATTTTCACTGATATCATGGATACTCTTAATCCAATGAATTCATAAATCCATGAACTGTTAAACTAAATATAACTACCGGTATACTTATTGACTAATATTTAACCAGGAAATCAAGTGTCCATGAAAAAGTGTTTTTTTTTGAAAGACCATGAAAATTAAGTCCCACAAAAATATATGATTTTACAACAATCCTCAAAACCAGTGTTTCACAACAAAGGTGAAATAAAAATAACTACCAGAAAATATTTTGTGTTTTGAATACATGTTGTTTGACGTTATTGCTGGAATTCAAGCTTTAAGGTTTTTGCACTTGAAGTGGTTCCAGGATACTGAAACAATCTTCGTCTAAAATTGTCTTAAGTTTTTTTTACTTAGTCAAACCTAAACCTCAGTAGACCCCCATCTTGTAGATAATACAATTTGAATTATTTTGTGTACAGTTTATGTATATGTAAATGTATGCGATCACTATGATACAAGGTACAAACTAAAAGGAAATCTACAGCAGCATTACGGTGAAAGTGACACTTTGATAGGTAACTCTATCTTAATTTTTCCAGGACAGAAAATCTTCACAGCAACATTGTCATTATTTTTTCAAAAGTCAGAACAAAAACTTCATCAAAGTAAAATTGAATACTTCCATGATATGTAACAAAGGTGACATCAAGAATAGAACCCTTGATTTTAGAAGTTGTATTTCCAAAATTTATTTCAACTGCTTCCCATTCTGTAGGTAAAAATATTT